GATATTACAAGCGATTTACTGTCAAAGATCGAGTAGAATTTTCAAACATTATCATATGTACTACGAAAATTTCTTCAATAACTGGACGAAGATTGATGACTCACTTTGGGATAGATTCGGTCTCTGCTTTATGACATAATTCCAACAGGTCAGTAATACTCTTTGGAAATGTTATGAAATCAACTAACAATTTTTGTTGGGTTTTAAGGCTAGTTCAACAGAGAGAGAAAGCGATAAAAAAGTCATTATTGATATCAAGCATAGTATTACAGTTACAGGTAACTATCCTAGCAGGTACTATAAACGATCATACCAGCGTGTTTTGTTCAGTAAGAAATAAGCAAAATATGCTGGACTATTTACTGGTAATAAGAAATATGATAATGAGAAACCTGCGATATTCTTCTTCGCCTAATGTTAGGTTTAGAATAAAAAATGGATCCGCTTCATCAGTAATTCGAATAGCTAACTGCTGGTTGATTATTGAATAAAACGATAAGATCAATGATAAAATTTAACGTCAAATGTTCATACATGTACGCATAATTTGTAAATTAGTTACAAAATAATCTTCACCTATCGTTATTTAGATAACAAAATTTCATATACCGTATACTAACATTATCAAATACAATCATTCCTTAATAGATGTTACAGATTATGGCGATACTGATTTTACGTTAATTCAGAATTCTTCAGAATTATCCATTAATAATTTGTAGGTAACATTTGTTAAATACCTGATTACGGCCAGAGCCAGAGTACTTCCAATCGATAGAAAATGAAAGTTTGACTTGCCTATAAGCAGAGCAGCATCATAGATTAATGTGAAAATAGTATTCATAGAATACAGGTATCTATAGTATTTCATTTAAGGCTTTACAGCAGCAAATACGTTTCACCATTTATTATAAATTTTTTATAGCCAATTAAGTGCAAATTTAAAAGTTCTAGAAAACTGGCTGCTAATTATACTATCATTATAACAAGACGAATATGCTATTTCTACCACGAGCCCGAGTACACTTTGCGTATAAGCAGCTGAGGATCACCGTAATAGACGAATGTAAAGCGAACGGTATACGTATTCTCTCTCATATCTTGTCAGCTGTCAGTAGATATCTTAAGTTTGGTAAATATTGTTATATGATCTAACGAAGATCTTGCAAGCTTAATCATGGATAAATAGGAACAACAGACTCTTCAGAGCTTAACGTAGTGACATAACTAGCTCAATCCTGGACAATAACATTGAAACTTTACTTGAGACTATCATAGCAACATTTATAGTAGAGTCGATAAGAAAGTAGGTTAAAGTCTATATGTAGGAGCTTGCTTCGATATAAAAAGATACGTATACTATATTAGTTAAAGTGAACAGTTATTTCCTTCATTTCAAGATTGTCTTAACATCATATTGACGTCATAATTTCACTTCTGTATACTGGTAATATTAATAATTGGTGATCTCTTTGGAAAGCTTTGCTTGTAAACAGTCCGTTAAAAGCGAGAATAAAAATGGTAAACTGGAAAGGTAGAGTAGATAAGCGAAGCCACTGATAGTGTTTGGTAGACGAAGGAGGACACAAACTCCTATGTATACTCTATATTGACTGTTTTCCTCCAAAGTTGACTTGATATTTCAATGGGTCATTGACCATGGAGAAAGCTATTTTCTCAAAATCATGCCAAGGATTCGTCAGTGAGAAATACTGTGGTGGCCATTGATCATGGCGTTCATATTAGTGTAGTGTAATTAATAGAAATATCATTGTACCAAGACGTGGTAAAATAGAACGCCAAACAACGGATAGATTTTTATTCACTGCGTCCTAAGAAATGGCTTCATAGGCCATTAAAAACGAACTAACCTATCTTCTCCATTCGCTTGTTTAACAGTCACAAGGATCGTGTTTTGGTAGAGAGTGGACATAATGGCATCACCGTATGGACTGGTATAGAATTCTTGAAGAACATTCGTGTAAAAGAGAGAGAAAATGCAACAAAATCCACAAGGAAAAATGGTCGCAACTTAGCCAATTTTCAAGGATTCAAGCTTCAATGAAATTGGACTAGCTTTGACCCTTTGGATTGGCCTTTTCCCAAGGTGCTTCAAACCTTTAAAGTCACTAGACTACAGGTTGACAGTCTTATTTTGCTACACACCACTGTTGATGTCAGTCGACTACGGGTGTCACGTCGTTATACGGTAATGTGTAGTGAACTGCTAACGCGCTGTACCATGCACTCAAACACTTACTACAAGCCTTACAGGCAAAGGAAAAACCTCCCAAATCCCTCTAGGACAGTATTTGAACCTTTGGCGCGTTTTTCTTTACCGGATTACGGGTCTGGAGAGAACACGGTACTATACTGTACAGTGTACAGTACAGAACAGTACAGTACAGTACTTGCTAGTAATCATCTGTACTGTACAGTACTGTACACTGTACTCTACAGTTCTGTACTGTACACTGTACTCTACAGTACTGTACTGTAACCGAGCGGAAGTGGTGGCTGCTGCCCGGCCCCGGCCATTGATGGTTTCCGGTAATTAAATTAACTAGTTGATGAAAAGCGTACTCATTTACAGTATTTGAGCAAGTACAAGTTCTCACCTTCAGTATTTGTGATTTAAGATTGTGCAGGCATTAAGATTGATCATTTGGGGATCAAAATTCATTCATCGAAATTCATGACAAGATTGAGCCCTATCTACTGTTCCGTGAGCTTTGTCATGGGGGGGGGCCCGATTTCGAAGTAAAACTGTATGGTAATCATGTTCTGTAGACTACATGGCACTGACAATCAGTGCTTTCCAAAATGACAACACTCATGGAGCAATACATAGCATTCAATATCGAAAATTCTTGGTGTATTCTTGTGTCTACATCCATCTTTTAAATGGATTTTTATCCAAAATAGTGCTGCATAACTTGTCTGCATTCTGATATAATATACAGTACAGTAAGTTATTATCACATCTGATCACAAGCGTACAGTGTAAAGTACAGTACAACTGTACAGTACTGTATTCGAAAGTACTGTACACTGTAGGCTGACGGCATCCAGTATCCAGGCAATCCTGCAAGCTGTAAATCTCCAGCTCCAGCTTCTGCTCAACCTTGTCAATAAAATGCGTCAATAAACCATCGCGATGGGGCTATCATTCTCAAGTAGACGCAAGGTCCACGCAGTTCGGTAATATCAGAATTTCGAAAGGCTTTGAAGTACTTGGAGTCTATTGAAGTCATTGAACGGTGCAAACTATCCAATCCATCATTTCTCTGGTATTGACTTACTGTATATTCGATCTTAAATGTAAAAACTCTAGTCAAAATACACATGCAGCCATGTTTTACATGTAATGTTCCTTGGTAATGATAAGCTTGAACTCTCACTTTCTTTTTAGAAATTAAGTTAAACTAGAGAGGAAAGAAAGAGCAACACCATGCCTATCGGTAAAGGTGCAATCAAACGTCGGATAACACGAAGTTGTAAAACTTCTGCGTTAATGAGCCCAATGAAAACGAAAGCTAAAAATTCCCTCACCAGACCGAGGTTTGCGAATGGATGCAGATTACTTTCGCGTATAAGCTAATGTAGAAATAGAAACGCCGCCAGATACTTTATACCGTCTACGTAGGGTGAAATTATCTCTGTTTTAAGATATTGCCAAGCACACTCAGATAATCTGATAACATATCGGTATAAAAGTTGATTATACAATACCATCAATAAATTTAAATTTATTTATAACCATGATTCTGAATTATAATTAATGCATGGTATTTAATGCTAAGAGAAATAGTCAGAAATCGAATATTAAGGGAATAGTTGCATCATATATACGCAAAGTCATTGCTGATTCGTATGCTTAGTAACAGAATGATCTGACTCTTGTTTTACACGCATATATGTGTTAAACTTACAGCAAAAGTGCCCAATTACCACATAAACTACTAGTTTCCAAGAGAACAATACGCTCGTTGAAGACGCCTACCAGTGAGACTATCAATACCTTGAAGACCGCTGATACGGCGGCTAATGACAGACCAGCTACAATAATAAAGAATAGCAAATCATCTACTAGAAATAGACTCTGGTAAGTTTAATAATGTTTACTCAAAACTTTTTATGATTCCTTGGTAGACCGTGACTTTATCATATTCAATAGCACACGTACTTGCATAAAATGTAAGACTAGATGATCACAGTAATAGATCCAATATGATGATTAGAGATTAGTACTCACACGTGGCTATGGGCATTTAGTCACAGTGACGTGTATTTTACGAGACACGAGTTATTGAGTCCAAAAGTTCATGGTACCTGCCGAACGCAATAACTTATATTATTGAAAGTGAAAAACTTGTACGTACTTACTGATCGATATAAAGACGATGGAATTTATATACGGTAAATAGTAACAATCTGCTTCCGATATCGAAATCATGAAAGGCTTCAAACCGTCATCAGGTGTAGCTGTAGTCTGTGGTGTACTAGATAACGTTAGAAAAAAACTGTAAAATATATATAAAGTAAAGTAGCTGCTGTTCTGGCTATATATGCAATCCACTGATAGACGTTCTTATACCGAATTCAGTACTGTAATCTGCGCTGGTTCATATACCACGGAAAATTAAGTACAGCAATACACTCGCTTTCTATAAACTCATACTAGTCCTATCTCTACGGTAGATATCTACCCCCTTTTTTCATGCATTGAATAATTAAATGCATTTAATAAGCGAATCATAAATTGGATTGACTGGCTAAATATCTCTAATCCAATTAAAAATTTATAACAAATAATGCAGAATTAGTAAGAACATAATGTTGGCTAAGGATTACTATACAAGCAGACCATAAGTATTTATGGTTCATGATTGCAATGCCAGTCTATACACATACACAGTATTACTATCTCCTAGAATGTAAAATACGTAGTCAAATAATAAATAGAATTATAATTATTAACAAAAATATTATGTTATAGCTTAAAAATAAGCGAAGTCGTCGGACCGCTACCGTGTCGGGAGGAAGAATACGCTAACATTTACGATTTTATTTCTAGTAAATTATTGGATAAGTGTGGAGGGTATGTACGTATATTTTTTAATTTTATGTATTTCCTATATATATAACTGCTACAAAGTTAATGATGCAACATAGATATCAATATGCAATGCCTATGTTATTATAGTATCACAATTAGATTGTAAACTTACCTATTCATATTAATAAGTAATGTAGAACTAAAGTTACTGTCATGTTGGTCATAAATTTTTATTGAGCTTACGATTATCATTAATTAGACTACTATGAATTCATTTCTATCATATATTTGATGGGAAATAGGATGATGTATACGTATCGATGGCAATTAAGAAATAATTATATAATCGTTAGGTGTATGTATATATCTGGAGTACCCGGAACTGGGAAAACTGCAACAATTTACTCAGTAGTTCAAGAACTAAGGCAAGCTGTGCAAACGAAGCAGATACCAAAGTTTAAATTTATCGAAATTAACGGAATGAGACTTACAGAACCAAGTCAAGCCTATGTTGAAATTTTAAAGGTAAGGATCTGCTGTCGTAATACAATGATTGTGTTCAATACTGTCATATCTGCGTAAAGAAATTCTCAAATTTACTTAATAAGTTAAGAAAAATGTAAAAAATTGGTTCATTTCAGCAATTAACAGGAGAAAAGGCTGCAGCTGAAAGAAGCGCCAGCATTCTAAATACATATTTTAACTCTAACCAAAAATATGCGACTATTGTACTTGTTGATGAGGTTTGAATTAAATAGCTGGCTCTTTAGCATAGGCTAATGCTTTAATTCTTGTGTAATTGATTAAAAATTAATTACGCAACTAATAGTAGTCTTTCATATCGTTTTCAGTTGGACCTACTATGGACTCGTAAACAACATGTAATGTACAACTTATTCGATTGGCCAAATGCTCGCTACTCCCGTTTAATTGTACTGGCTGTTGCTAATACTATGGATCTACCGGAGCGAACAATGATCAATAGGGTTTCTAGTAGATTGGTAAGGTGGAAATGATCACTGCTATTCTTTAATTGAGTATTCGATTAATTATATAAACAGTTAAATAGGATGTCTATAATTTTTATTGATAGGGGTTGACTCGATTAACTTTTCAGCCGTACAGTTTTAATCAGTTAGAACGTATTATACGAGCACGTCTAGCTAATTTGGAGGAAATATTTAGCCCAGATGCGATTCAGTTCGTGGCTAGAAAGGTAAATAGTTTAAAAAGTTATTACATGATATACAGTATTCCATAATGATGATATTTGAATTTGTGTTATTGCTTCCTTTAAATCCAATTTACATTGTCTAATTGCCATTACGATATTTTTTATATTCATAAATTATACCAGGTTGCTGCAGTATCTGGAGATGTTAGGCGTACGTTAGATATCTGTCGCAGAGCTGTCGAGATTGTTAATCAGCAGTTAGACAAAGGGCAAGATTTAGATAACAGTAGCGACGCAAAGGTAGAAATGAAACATGTAGCAACAGCTATTTCTGAGATGTTTTCATCTCCGAAGATAGCCGCTATAAGGTATTTGCTCGTACAGAGTTGATCGGTAATCCATGATATCGATTTTATGAAAAATGTCATTGCAATCCTTTGCAGAAACGCTTCCGTACATGAACAGTTATTTCTTCGCGCCGTTATTGTATCTTTTCGATTGAGCGGAGTTGAAGAGACAGTTTTTAAAGAGGTTTGTAAATTCCTTGAAATCATTATATTAATTTTGATAAATGTGCAGCTTACGTTATTTTCTCTGCATAGGTTTATGAACAGTATGTATCTATTTGCCGAACGGAAGGTTATTATTTTAACTATAAATATTAAAGTTAAGTTGCTACTGCATGCTTTATTATCTATTAATTTTTAACTAAATATTTCTTACTAGGAATTATGGTATGCAGCCCATCGGAGGTACTTAAGTTATGCCAAAGATTGGGTTCCTGCAAGTTGCTACTAGTAGAACCCGGTTGTGCCCAGCTGGCGAAGATTAGATTAAACGTCAGTCAGGACGATGTAAGTTATGCCGTTCAGAGTGCTATGCAATCTTAATTAACATTGATAATTCGTATACATTTATGAGTTCGATAGTTATTTTATTAGAATATCTTTTGTAAATTACGTGATAACCCTGTGTATTTCATCAATAAAACGTGAATCCTATATGAAATTTTAATGCAAACCGTATAGAGCAAAATTTTCGGCTGTTAAAATATTTTAAGTTAAAATTGATGGCGACTTTCATGTAAATAAAATTCATGGTTTGTGATTCATAGGTATATGTTGTAATAGGTAACATTCATTATGTCGGTACTGGACTTAAAATAGTATCAGTATGAAAAATACTTAGTGCAAATCATTTCGTTTTTAAAAGACTGTATTAAATGTATGTATTGTTTGTATACTGTCTATCATTGATTTCAATAGCCATCGTGAGTATATGGAATGTATATTATGTGAAGAATTCATTAAATAGTATTTTATTACCAATACACTTAATTTGTAAAATGCCAAGGTTATTCTAGACTAATTTTTTATTTCTGATTACTGATTATATTATTAATTATAGTTAATTCATGATATTTGATGCTAAGATTAATAGTTAGAAATCTACTGTACTGATGGAGTAATCGCTTCATACACACTCTAATTATTTAAATCGCTGTTGGTTCGCATGCTTAGTAGCTCAATGATCTCATCTTGCTTTATATGAATGCATATGCTACTATACTGTACAGTACACTAAACTTACAGAAAAAGTGGCCAAATAATACATAAAGCACTAGTTTCAGAAAGGACAGTACGCTCGTTAAAGACAACTACGAGTGGGACTAACTGTTCATTGTGAACAGAGATTGATAGCTAGTACATCTACAAAATTTGATAGTCATTTTTAATAATTTTATTAGAATAATATCTTTTGTAAATCACGTAATAAGCCTGTGTATTTCAAAAATAAAATTGTGAACTTGACATGAAATTTTAATACAAACTGTGTGGAGCGAAAGTTTCTCCAGTTTAAATATTTCAAATTCAAAATTGCTGTCGGCATAAATGTGATTAAGTATAGAGTTGATAGTTATAATACATAGATATGTTGTAATCCGTAGCATTCATCACCGTCAGGACAGGACTTAATAGCAGTATCAGTATATAAAATATATTAGTGGAAATATTCACTCATTTCATTACTGCACTAATACATATACTGTTGTATACTGTCTGCTGTTATTGATTTTGATAGCTATCGTGAGTATATGGACTACCAATTTCACTACTTACTGAAATATATTTAACAAGGCAGTAATAGAACAAATGTTAATTAAAAGGTACCATTGGACAGTTGATTAGTTACCGATGGCGTTTGCTTCACATTGATAAATAAATAAAATACACATTTCTTCGACATTACCACAGCAAGGCCGTTCTTTCAATCCAAATTCTTTCATTATTGTTAGATGATTTCTATTTGGAGTGATAAAATGTTTACACCTAAAGTTATTCTTTCTTAAGCTAGCCATAAATCGATTTGCATCATTGAGGAGAGGTAAAAAATCGTGTTTTGGGTTAATTATTAGAAAAGGTGGAGTGATTTCACTCTTAGCTCGAGTAATATGATTATAAGGTGAAGCTTTAACCCAGGTGGCTGGATCATTACCAAAAGCTGGATTTAAATAAAACTGTTTAAGAACGGAGCGCGATAACCAGCCAAGATCGTATACCCCAGAAATGCTTATTGCCGCCTACATCATAATTAAAAATGAAGACAGGTTAAACGGCAATTACATACTGCATTATCAATACTTTGTTAAGTTATAATACTCTACGTATAGCTACGAATTAAGGTATGAAATGTACCAATCTACGAGTATTTAGTGTGGAGATTATTAAATCTAGAGCTTAAATCTACAGTTATAATTCATCAAATTACCTTTATAGATGATTTTACTGTTATTTTATCTTTAAAAATATTAAAGCTAGAGTTAAAGCTTGTAATAGAAAGTTCATTAAAACTAGTGAACAATCTAAGGTTGCAATTTGCAGCAATTTCCATGATACTAAAGTGTAGTTTTAAGTTACCTTCACGTTCGATGATTGGACCCCTACGTTATTCAAGTAAGATTGATCTAAGGATAGTAAGGATATAATATGACCACCAGCAGAATGCCCGCATAGATATAACGATTGAGGGTTATAGAGTTTCGTCTTTTTACCATATTCTGTTAACCACTTGACGCTTAAAGCGACATCATTAACATGCGTAGGATGGCGGATTTCATCAATATTGCTGTCACGATGATTAACTTTATCATCCATTAGAAATGTTTGCAATAAAGACAACATCGCTATTGTCGTGGTTATGTATAATATATAATAGTGGAAATATGGTTTGAATGGAGATAGATAATTTATAATTAACAGTAGTAGTAACGAGAGTGGTAGTAATAGTATAGTACGCTTAGGTGGTGGATAAATTGTCATGCTTAAACAGAAAATTACAAATAACAAGGGTGTTGTCGACCATAAAAGCATTAGACAATCGTTTAGAGTTATAGCAAAATGAGTGGCAGCGAATACGTAGCGTACGATGACCCAAGAATAGGCTAAAATTGGCCAGCAAATAATAGCCATAGTCATTAGAAAAGAACTTAGTAATTCTAGTATGAGATAGGGAAATTTCAAACGACTTAATCGGTAAGAGACAACAGCGCAAGCTATGCCAGAACGAGCGAAAGCTTTACCCACATTCTCATAAATGCCCCATCTCACCATTAGCATTGCTGCAAATAAATTGACATCATATTTGGAAAAGTAGTAACGAAATGCTTTTCTATCGCCTCGTCTCCATCCACCGCCATGTACAAAAACGACGATAGGTACTGTTGATGGGTCAGCGGCTTTTGGAAGATATAAATCTAACATTTGTTTGTCAGATGTGGTGCCTGATTGATTACTATCTTGATGATTCGCCGAGGTGTTATATTCTAGATCGTGTAAGCAAGTATATTTACGTAAGTCGTCATCGGCACGCTTATCGCTGTCCATAACTGGATCGTTGATAGTTGAATTAATAGATGATAGTCGGATTAAATTGCCTATATTCTCTATTATGTTCAACATTCTTTCGCTTTTGAATATGACAGAATACAATCTCCAAGTGGATTGTATGGATTTTCTAGTATATTAGTATGATTACGCCTTCAAGTATGCTAAAATTATGACAAAATGGAATTTGATACTTTTCGTTCAAGTGCAATCAAATCACTTCTATCAATATCATTTCTTCTGTACTGTCGTTAATAATTGGTTCATAGAATTGCAAATTCTACTACGTTGATTGATTATGAATGATCAAGATTGAAATAGTTGTAGTCAAGACGTATACGATCGTTAAAATCTCTTCCGTTAATCTTCCTTTACCGGTAGATCAAACATCCAATTCATTCCTTCCCCCCAAATTGATCCAACCATTTGCTAACTAATGGAAATAACCGCCTTTGATTCTTTCTTTATATTATGCTCGTGAGAGGCGTAGTAATCGGCTATAATAGTAATGGCTGCCAATGTTGCAGTAACTAACTCTTAAAATACTATATTGCTAAGTATAGTTTTAATAGTTTTAAATGACATCACTGATGACGAAGGAATCCTAAAAATAACAAGAGATCGCTGTTTGACTAATTTGTATAAGCAATGATTGGTAAATTGCTCATGTCGGAGTTTGCGTTACTAGGTTTCTACTGGATAATCAACTTTGTTCTGATTCGGATATGGGTAAAATAAAGCATGAGTCTCATGCTATTATCACATGACGGACCATCTATGGGATAGTGATATCTTCGTTAGCGGACGTCTATGACAGATGGACAAGATGGAAGCAAAAGAAATTGAATTGTGAATTATCCATCTTGTAATTTACTCCAGAATAAGCTACTATAGCTTATGGAAAAAGAGAAAATTTAGTGGGTCGTACGTACTGTCATTGCCCTTGGGTGTATCTAAGTCAAAGATTGCAATAACTTTTTAATTTTTAGAGGTTTTGATAGGATAAATTATGCACTTTATAAAATAAATAAATAAATAAGCATTTGAAATATTTTCATTCTCACATATTCATCCTGCCCAAATTTAAATATTTTCCAAATTTACCATAATTCAAAAAAGAGACGTACGCCTAGATGGTTAATCATTCAATTATCCGTATTCCTTACTTAATATTTACTATGCTACAGTATACAAGAAGAGAAATTTTAAAGACGACAATGATTATATAATTCTTACATCCTGTACTCGCTTGCATGGTAAATTACATAATTTATGAAATAATATACAGCACAATTGTACGTGCTTAATTATTTTCATACATCATGTTCACTCTTTAATACTTGAATCATTTTTAGAAATTGATCATGGTTAAAGAGAGATACGTGTAAGTGCTTAGACGGTTTATGATTCACTATTTGTTTCCTCAACTTAGTGTCTGTACAAATTGTATTCTGTGAACGGTGGCTATACATGGAATTGTACCGTATATAAAATATTGCATAACGAAGTCGATTTTTCGTTGATTCTAGGATGGTAAGCGGTATCGTAATACGGTATAGGAGATAGGCCAGGATAATCAAGTATAAGTATTAATTCATGACTAGTTATTCACAAAGCATGAGATCGGTACTCTAGAAGAAGCAATAACTGAGCTATAAAACATTAAAACTTTATTTTTAGACTCTCTACAATAGAGGATGATGCAAAATTTAGTATTCTAATTGTTTTATTGTAGATTTGATTGTAAATCGAGATTGAATAAAATTTCATTCAGAATAATGACGACTCGAGCCTTAGAGATGTTCTCACGAGATTTAGATTATGCTTGACTAAAAAATCTTTTCATTCTTGTGCTTTAGAAGATACTACGGCTATTACGATAGTATTTAAATTTTTAATAATGCCCTTTGCCCTCTAAATTCGAATGATGTCGTCAACACTGATACTAATCGATAGGTTTGTTGCTATTTTAGCATCCCCATCTCTATCCTGTAATTTAAATATTGTCAATCATGATTAAAGGAAACAGCGATATACTGTATATTAAATGTTAAATAATTGCATGACATGCTTTTCTCAATTTAGTATCCCTACAGACATTGAACTACTAATGCTTATAGGAATGCAGTTTAAGTTGATGTCGTGCTTTATAAATACAATATATCGTAGTAGAAATTGCATAGTTTTGACATAATGCAAATATAGTATTATATTTTCAAACTCATGCATCCGTCCCTCTGTAATTTAAATATTACCCTAAACATCTCCACGACTGTGTTAGTTGTATAATGGCTACAGAAGTGCTCGTAATTAAATTAGAAGACAACCATACGCATTGCATTATAGGTGAATATCTTAGATGATTCATAATTTTCAAATAGCACAATTATTATTTTCATGCTCATTAACGTTTTCCGTAATTAAAATTGTTTTTTAAAAACTCTTTTATAAGTTAAAAACGAATAAACGAAATTTTAAATGATAGAATTAAACTAATTTTCCCGTTGGTCTAGGGTCTCCACAATTGTATTAGCTTTAAAATAGCTATAGAAATAATTAAGTTTCATGTTGTAATCTTAAAATACATCGGATGCTTCATAGTTGTCGAATATAGTAGATGTTTCTTTCACACTAGCGTAACTATCTTTCAGCAAATATACTCGTGTATGTACATATTAATAGCTCCAATCGTGGTAAATAATAGCGACATGAGCTGGATATCAATGACTAAATTGTCTTTTTTACGACTCTTTAGTAATCCTACAAGTATACTGAATTAATGATTACAAGGAAAATTCGGTTGCAAAGTTGCAATAATTGTTACATAAGTAAATTATAAATGAAGTAGTCTTGAAATTCTAGAAGTGTTTTTATTTCACACGTCTATCTTTAAGTAATTCAAATATTCCAAATCTTAAAATTCTAGAAGTGTTTTTATTTCATACGTCTATCTTAAAGTAATTCAAATATTCGAAATCTTAAATTGAAATGGCAATATTCGCTAAATTATACTTATAGTTAATAACAAACTCTGTTTCCTTAGCTTAGCGTCTCTGCAAGGGGATTATTTAAGACCGTGTAATTTACAAAGTAGTGATAGTGTCAGCAGAATAGCGTGAAACAAGTCATCTGACATGCGTTCATTCCTTTTCGGCGCATCATGAGAAAAAAATCATTCTCCCATAAAAGATTCAAGTTACGAAGAAGTTAAACCTCAGATGTAGTTCATCTTACCAAATTTTTGATTACTCGTATTTATTACTGATTCTTATAACATTACAATCACGGTAATGTAAGACAACATTTCATTTCATTAATATCTGTAACATTTTATGATTTACTGCAAAGACATGGGCAAAAGGTCTGCTTCATATTGATCTTTTATCGAACGAAATTCGAAGTCGATCTATTGCTAGGTGTTGCAGATCAAAAAAATTGCTTGTATCGTTAAATGCTATGAAAAGTGTATTATTCCATTTAGGCATTGAACCGTAAATATTAACTGTACTTAATTTTAAAATAGTACCTTATTCAGATATCCGGAAATATCGTGTAAAGTTAAATAACATCCAATAATATAATATAAATATAGAGTACATATATGTATCTCGTACTCGCACATACATCCTAAATTCATATACAGAGACATATTCGTCTAAACCGAAACCTATTGTTGGTTTAAACTGCCTATCGCAAAATTTCACTTTTATTCCATGATTAAAAGTCTAGGCAAGACAGCTTTGAAGAAGGCCATGATAACTGCAGATGTTATCGTGTTTTAGTACACATCCAGTGAGCTCAAATGTGGAAATAATAACATAAATATCGTTCTTTAAATAAGTGTAGTAAAATATAAAATAGCTTAATATTTAAAACTTGTTAGGACTTGAATGATAACAGTAATTGTCTACAAAAATTTATAAACGATGCTATCTTGTACGTTACAATAAATTTAAAACCAAAATTTTACGAGGTTTCTCTGCGGCCTTTAATATATCACTTTTTTTCACGCCCTTGGATTGAAGCCCAAAACTAAAGTAAAAAAAATTGAGCGTTGATACTCTCTCCTTAAGCATTAAGCAAGTCTATCGTCATAAGTTACATCAAATGTCTATGAACTGATACATTAAATATTACTTACACTGTTTTCACTGTCACTTTCACTATCTTCCATTGCATCGAAACCTTACAGTGAGTGAAAAAATATTTCAGGATCGCAGCAATATTAGTAAAGAAGAAGTAAAATATTCTCGGAGGTGTTTTGCGGTACGAAAAAATCTTTTATTAATTTCTAATCATACCTTCTGTCTGATCCGAATTCGATAACGAAGCAGCTGTGGGAGTAACAGTTATTGCATTCGATGTAGAATTATCCTTTGAATTTGAAGCTAACTCCGTAGTAGTTACTGTCAAGGTATTATTACTGCCGATAGTCGAAGATGAATTGTTAGCTGATGTGCCATTATGGCTTAATGGTTCTTCTATATTATTTCCGGCTTGTTCACACGATGAATTGGTTTGGCGAATAGCATTTACATCATTTTCCTATGTATCGAAATATACAAAATAATTGATAAAATATAAAGATACATCGTAGATAGAATATTTTAATAGATTTATCACCGTTTTCTTATTTGTGACTAAAATTGATATACAACAATAGATAGCAATTATTTATTTTATCTTGATATTATTATTCTAGTATTTGCATATCTAATACATATACGGGCAGTGAGATAAAAATTTTATCATAAAGCAAATTAAAGCAAAGGGTAATATACCACCAATTAGGTATGCTAAGATTATTATGACTTTGGTTTTAAAACTAAATGCATACCAATTTTAAGACACGTTTTTCAACCATGTTAATATTATCTGCCATATTTTCTAAAGAAGAATTTAGTGTTGCACTCAATTGCTGTACAATGACGGCAATTTTTGAGTCCTCTGTAGAGTCATCTAAGGTAGAATAAACTATGCGTTTTAAGTTGAAAAGTGAAGTATACAATTTCTCCATATTGGCTTTTAGTTCTCCTATTCCATTCTAAATTTACCAATATAATGCAATAATCATTAATTGTATGATAGTACAAAGCTATACTGTCTACTTTTAATTCATATTTCAGTTTACCCTTTAAGAGTTGCGATTATACTAACCTTATTGATCATTGTTAAGTTGGTTAGTTGTGTGAGTGTCTCTTCAATACGCAAGTCATTCAATAAATCCTGTGTTGGTTGAATCTAAGAAGAGCAACGATGAACAATTACTATAAGGGGAGTACATGGTTGTTTCTTGATTAAAAATAATACATAGTATTCATCGAAGGACTACATTAGAATTATAAAGACATTAACAGAATATTTCGGCAGTGAAAAGTCGGCTCCAGTACCGTTGTCGTATTGTTGTAATTAATCTTGGCATCAGTGCTACTATCTCGCCTTTCAACTGTTGTAGTTTCCCATGTAGTCGTAGGATTGACGGGAGGTGTCGTAGGATTGACAGGAAGTGTCGTCGGATTTGCCGGAAGTGTTGTTATTAGAGTGTCGTTACTATTTCTAGTGAGATTGGATGTTTCGGCTGTGTCATTCGTCTCAACTTTGTGTTGCTTATAGTGATTGATAATGCTTTCATACTTTGCCTATGTATAAAGCAAAAATAGCAATGAAGCAATGAATAATAAATTCATAAGCAGCTTTACCATGGCCGTTAGGTAAATAAATTCAATACACTCTCCGTCATTTGGTAATTTTAGGCCGAGTTAATTAGTGATTGATTTGGTAATCATTAGAACAAACCTTGACATCTTCAATTGTTGTATTCAATAATTTGATTTCGCCATTGTTACCAATGTTGTCTTCTTGCAGTGACTTTATAGCAGAGTTAGTGTTATTTACTAATTTATTTACTCTGTATTGAAGTTGAGCTATAGTAGTTATCACGATTTTGCTAATGTTTGATTTCTTGGTAACATTATTCCAAAAATGATGAGGTATTTTTTCGGACTCTTGCCATTTCTTCCATAATGTGGCATTTATTGTTTTTACCTTGAAATAGCATGTAATTATATTGACGTATTAGGTTATGTACAAAGTTTAGCTGCACAGTAGTTATCACGATTTTACTAATGTTTGATTTCTTTGTTACATTATTCCATAAACGATGAGGCATTTCTTGCGACTCTTGCCATTTCTTCAATAATGTTGCATTTATAGTTTTAACCTTGAAATAACAGGTAATTATAGGAGTATATGCATTTTAGGTCACGTACAGATTCTGTGTCGTTCAGTCTTGAACGTTTTTTTCAATCGGAAGAAATTGCTTTAAAATTTATTGATAATATTTTTGCAAAGTTTGAACAGTTTCATCCGATATATTATTAATAAAATTACTGCATAGCATATTGTAAGATAATTACAATTACAAGGAAAATTAGAATCATTAAGCACGGAATCGGCATGATTTTAAATTTAGAAGTAAAATATTGCTAAATTTACCTCGCTTTTCAGAAAGGAGATTTGTGATAGTAACTGATTTTTTCCTTGATATAATTGTTGGATATCCTTATCGATCTTTGAAAATTTTTGTTTATTTAGACTAAGTTCTTGTTTCCTTTGAAGATTTTCCTTTTCAACTGTACAAAAGAAAAGAATAATTAATATCTTTCATTTAAAGATAGATTGGAAGGAGCAGTGTATCTCGATGGATACGGTACTTTGATTAATTATTTGTTAATCGTCAAGATGATAAAATTTGTATCGTAGCGTATAGAAAATTTTCAATGCAGGATTGTCAATAATAGAATTAATTGTCAAGAAAATTAACTAAGGTAGCGTTAACGGATCAATAAAGTATTGTCAATTGTGCAGAACTTAAATCAACATAAGGCATATGGCTTACTCAATAAATACACACCTATGAAAAGTGATTTTGTGTCTACGTATTAATTAACTTAACGTACACCATGATATGATTAGAACTATTTGCTTATGAAAGAAAAAACGATCATTTAATGCAGCGACTTACCAGTATGTAACTTGACTCTGATTCTATCCATTTCATTTTTAATATCGAAAAATACCCATATCATTCCAACCAGAACAACCAAGAAGCCAATCATAATGATAAATAGAAAGTAACGGCTACATGAACAACAGCTACGATTGCGATTACTTGCAGAATAATCAACAGAGTTGATTCTTCGAGCTTTCTTGCTAATAGGTATAAAAAAGTATACAGAGTGATTTTCAAGTCTAAATCAGAGTATAGTAACGCATCAATAGCCATTGAAAGGACATTCTATCATTTCTATGCATGATTTTTTTAGTTATCATTTGTGTATCGCTATGTAGGCGTCGGGCGAGCTAGTGATTGAATGATTGGTGGTAAAAGGAATATGAATACGATGTTGAATCATGTGCACACTCATTGTATCGAAATGATCGGCAATCTATATGGGAATAGAAAGGCGCATTTACAAATAAATGGATAAAAAAGTCCAACAAATTATCCCAACAGCTGTTGATGTCCAATTCAAGGTTACCACAGACTACGCGTGTAGTGGAATAGCGGAAGACAGGTCAAAAAAAAAAAATTCAATAGCACGTCATAGTGGTTGGTTGTATCGAGATAATTTATCCGTATACGTAATTCTTTTTTTTTTTCATTGGAATTTTTTAAGATTTTGGAAATATTTTCCATTTTTAGTAGGTGTAGAGTTTCTCCTTTAAAGGAGTTTAAAGTAACCGTTATCGTTGTCCAACTGGAAGAGAAAGAGATAGGGTTAAGGTAGATGATAGAGATTTTAAAAATAAAATTGCCGACGGTTTTGGACGGGAAATCGACTGGAGTTTACTCGTTCGCAGGATCCCAATTTGTGGCCATGTTGATCGATCGTCGATAGTCTCTGATTAACATCTCTACTATAGCTCTAGTACCATTGATGGACTTCAACTTTACAAAAACATCATTGTAAGCCGAGTTCATTAGGATTAGCGATTTCAGGCTCATCGACTATGTACAGTGGTCGACATACTCGACTCGTTGAAGCTATCCTTGAATAAGCATAGGAGAGGGAAATAAAGTAGGTAAAATTAAAAGCGTGCACTACGGATTGAAACTGCTTTAGTTGGAAATGATTGTACGGACAGTCTTGTCTGTTTTTAGAGATCGCTAATTCAATTCATTATTATTGTACTGTATTACTCATCCTTGACGATCGTCAAGTTGATGAGAGAGCGCGTATGTTGCGATGATTCCTTGCATGTCTCCAAAACTTGGCGTAGAATGGATAAGATAAAAAGAAGAAGACGACGAAGAAATCAAGTACTCTACCTGCGACGAACTCGTCGACGAGATGGACTCGTTTCTTGGATTAACTGAGCTTGATTGACATTTTCGTCGGAATCGGACGGTAGTAATTTATCTCCTTCAATCCTTGGAGCTTCTACATCCACAATATATTTCTTCATGTTGTATCATTAACAACAACCAAGCGGTCAAAGTGATTTGCAACACTTGAAGAAGATGGAGAGTAATTTTCCTACTGAATTCGATGATGGATAAGGCCCAACCAGTGTTGATTGATCAGATTTGTCGATCACAAGCAAGTGTTGAAATGCAACTTGGCTGTCGTTGTTGAAATATTGAAATGGCTTGCAGTCTGTCGGTTGTGCTGTTTATATACTGTACAGCTAGTGTCGATCTTCTACTTCATACTGTGCTGTCGAGGCAGTAATTATGTTCTAGCCACAGTATATTAGTGGTCATTCCTATAGTAAAGTGTTGAAGATGGCATTACCTGATACGGATACATGCTACCATGGATACTAAACCATACAGTACAGTCTCCAGTCCGGGACTGCTCTCACAAAAACGGATGGGACGGACACCTAGCCGTCGTTCAACATGGTCAAAATGGGCGATTGACTCTCTCTGTCTAGCTACTCGAACATTCATTGCTGCTATTGATTCATACCATACACAAGGTAACTTTGAAGTACTGGCTACTTAGAATATCTACAGTATTCTACCCGTACAGTACAGCGTACTGTACACTGTACAGATGTGTCAAAATACAGTATCCCCTTTGAATCTGATGTTCACCCTGTTTCAGACAGACAGACTTAAGCTCAACTGTTTCCTACGGTCTTGTACAGTACTGTATGTCAAAATATCCCCCTTGAATCTGATGTCCATCCTGTTTCAGACAGACAGACTCAAGCTCTAATGTTTTCTACTAACCATACAGTACTGTACACTGTACAGACGTATCAAAATATCCCCTTGAGTCTAATGTCCATCCTGTTTCAGACAGACAGACTTAACCTCTAATGTTTTCTATTTAAGGCACTTGCTACTTCGAATATCTACAGTACAGTATTCTATGGCTACAGTACTGTACTGTACTGTACTGTACAGACGTATTGAAATATCCATCTTGAATCTGATGGCCATTCTGTCTCAGACAGACTCAAGTCCTAACGTTTTCCACCTTGAATCTGATGTCTTTTTTGTCTCAGACAGACAGACTCAAGCCCTAATGTTTTCAACTAAGCACTGACTACTTCGAGTATCTACAGTACAGTACACTGTACAGACGTGTAAAATGCCTACAGTGTACAGTATTATGTACTGTACACGATACTGTACAGAAAGACAGATGGACAGTGCCGTACAGTCACAGTCAACTACAGACTGTAGACCGTACAAAAACGGGCAGTACTGTTAAAACTACAGTAGACGCTATACCAGTCAAGATGGCGGAGAACGACGACTCGCCAAAGTTAAACACCAATATTTCCTCTTTTCGCCAAAATAGGAAAAGCGGCATACTAAACCAAATTGTTCACAAGAATATCCGCTATACTGGAGACGGTGAAGATTGTGTAGATAAAGCGATAGGTTACAGCATTACTGGCGGTGTATTCGGTAAGTGATACCAATGCAACCATGCTGCTACTCAACTTGATCGGCAAGAGTAAAGTCATTTCAACGCCTGCAACATGCTGCATATAGCATTTCCCTCCAATGATAGAATATACCTCTACTAGAATAGTGTCGTAAGCTGAATAGTTTCGAATACCATCATTGTATCTTGGACTATTAGCCAACATGCCAAATTGGCCGAAAATCATTATACAGCGTACAATGCAGCCAGTCAACTTTGAGACAAAACCAACAGCCAACAAGGCGTTGATAAAGAGTTGTCGAAAAATACGCGTACCTTAATAAACATACAAAGATCGAGTACTGTCGACTAGAATGCACTAGGAAAGTAGGAAGTTATCTTACACTGTTCATGAAAGGATATGATTTAAAATATCCTTCTTACTATAAATAGTACCAAGATCTTGAGACAACGAAACAATATACATCTATCTTGCTAGCTCACTTTGGCCATATTTTCCTATCAACCCTTTCATCAACATATGGAATACGAAGATAGCAAAGGATGGATTATAATGAATACGTAATGTTATCATTTCGCTGCTACAATACAACATCTTAACCTTTCCTGTTCCTAAAGCCTTAGCTGTAGTCTTTATTCGCATAGTACCAATCGAGTGCACCTGACTAAACGCCTTTTCTTCCTTTCCCAATTTTCAGCTACATCATCAATTCATTTCTCATGCTAATATCGCTGATAATTAATCATAAATAGATAGCAATAATTGATTAGACTCACGTAACGATTAAAACCCTTTACTGAAATGATCGTAAGGAGTGCTACCAAGCGAGAAAAGCTCAAGATTTTGACTTTGCCTTTTCTAGTGCTGTTAACAGTTATGCTAATTTTTTAAATTTGCCCATTGATGAAAGAAATCATCCTTTCACGACTAATCTACGCTGACACAAATTCAATCCATAAATACACTAAAGTAGTAACTACCGTAGTGGATACTGCATCACAATTCTACATTAACTTTTAACTTTTATCTAGATTTAAGGTACACTATATGGCGCAATGTACGTCGCGTTAGCCTACGAAAAACCACAACCGTACCCGCCTCTCTACCGCCCCGGTATTATAAATCTAGGAAAACTTGCTACCTGTACAGTTACCTTTGGTAAGTGAATACAAAGTGAACAATATGATACCACCACATACAGTTGTGTAGACTGGTGTGTAATCATAGTTACAGCACATGTAATGTATCTTTTACATTTGATGTTAGTCGATGCAATAACTTGTCTTTATTGCTTACTCTAGCTGCTACCGGTAGCATGTTTGCTGTAACAAGCTGCTATACAAGCTATGTTCGCGGAAAAGACGACTCTGTCAATCAATTTATTGGAGGATTTGGTGCCGGATTAGTCATTGGAGCTAAATGTATGTCATTATTACGTGCATACGGGATAGAGATAAAATTGAAATTGCTAAAGATATAACCGATCAATAAATAAACACAAGTTATAATTGCATCCTTTTATTGTTTGTATTAGTCCGCAGTGTAGCAGCTATGATCTTGAGTGGAACTCTAATAGGAGTCACTTCTGCCAGCCTTAGATACCTCGACTTACATCGAGGTATCGAGACTTTCGTTCCTGATACAATCTCACGTTCCAGTATTCCGGACAATCGTTATGGATGGCAATCTCCCCTTCCTAAAGATAGTCAATCTATAACCATCTCCTCAGCGTCAAAGAAACAAGTACCAGAATGGTATGAATCCAAAAAGTCATTGTAACAGGGTCGATATTTTTTAAGTGGTCAAGGCTGGTTTTATCGCAGTGTTAGAAAGTAAATACCTTTTTCATCTATTAAAGGAAAATAATGCAATCAATCGATCCTTACCAAATTGTGTAAACAGGTCCAGATCTACTAAATTCATTCAGGCCATCACTACATACTAAAGATACAGTATGTGAAATCAAATACCAAAATCTAACTTTTTCTTAGTACTGCTTTGGAATTGTCCATGATGTATACTATTCTAACGCTTGCCAGTCACTGCGATGACGTTACGTTTTCTTCATGAATTTGCAAATTATTGTTAACTGTATATTATCTAAATCAGTAAGATTCAAAGGTTAATATTGCATGCTTTCAAAAGTTCTTTATATTGAACATGGCAATAAAAACAAACCTTCCAACACTTTGATGGATGTACTATTGAACCTTCGTTGACTGCTAAATTTCAGCAGATGTTGACGATGAGCATGTTAACAGGTTATGTTACTAACAGTAAAGGGGAATCACTTGTACAATGTGTGGTGCGTACAATATCTACCTTATAATGAGCTAGCAAACTTGATCTGCTGTATTTATAGTTTGCACAGCTAGGACGTGCTTGCAATTTCTTGATGTTAACTATGCTGTACCACAGACTATACAAACAGAACCATAGACTCTATTATATCTTAGAATGCGTTTGGATCCACTTATCACTGTGAGAACAAGTGCTAATACAAGCAAGTTGTCGTACAGTAGTATTAGCATGAATCAAACAAATAGTCTGTGCTTCTATTGAAGCAATTACCTTGTTTTATGTCGTATGAACTTATTCTATACAACAATTGTGAAGAAATGTAGTTTTATTTCGAATTGCGCTTAAGGATATAAAACTTTACTCTTCATAATTTCATTTTACAGTTTGTAATTTGTATAGGGAGGCATCCACACGGTAAACTATCTTTAACAGGCATCTTTTCAGTTACAAGACATTTTACAGTAATCATTTACAAACTTTACTACTCTATATTTATGAATAAAGTAGTATGTACAATAAATATTGTAAACATACATCATCAGAGATAAGCTAAAATTAAAAATGATAAAGTATATTACAGTAGTTTATCCACAGTCAAATTAAATCAAGTTATATTTTTCGATTTCAGTCAGGCCTACAATGAATTATAAAAATTTAACGTCTCTCTTTTCCTTTTTCACGTCGTCTCTTGTTGATCGGATTTCTCGGATCGTAAATATGGTAGGCGTCGACGTCTTGCTTATTCGGATCCCTAGATTTATGTTCTGTATTATCGATATCCAATCGAATAGACATCCTATCATTGCAATAAAGTCTATTAGATACTCTATTCTATGATTCTTGTCTTATGATTTAAATTCTATATCGTCAGTATTCAATCGGTATTGATTGATAACGATTTACATACCAGCTATCATCTTGAACATCTTCATCTGTATCTTCATCATTAGTCAATAAGGACTTATTATCTTTTCCATCAGTATTCATGGAGTCGTTATCCGAAGGCATACTTCTTGCTGCTTGAAGCTTTGATTGGAATTTCGCTAAGAATTCAAGAGTCTAAAATTCGGATATAAAATTTATATGTAGCCTATTCGAGGATTATATTATATACCAGATACCGATTGAAGAGTTCATTTATCATTCAATTTGTGCAGATTTAAAAACTGTAAATATACTACTGTCATATTCACTCTACTGGTACATTTTACTGTTATCGCTCCATAGGAATGATACATCTACTGCATGTGTATGTACCTTCTTTTCCCTATTAGAGTCCTTTCGTAAGTTTTTATTCGTAGAGTATTTCTGCTGTTGCTCTCTATACTCTTTCATAACTTCATTTTCACCCTCTTCTTCATCCTCATCATCTGTCATTATGTTTTTAATACAAGTTATTTACTAGGTACTTATACGTATAATAATAAATTATGCTTTGCAAATTTTCGATACCATCTGATTCATCCTTTACTGTTTCCTGTTTGCGGGATTTTTTTATTTCTCGCATCAGTACTTTTGCCTCTTTTCGTAACTCTTCACTAAAGTAATATCGATGTAATGAATGAAAATTTTACAACTAACAATTTTTAAATAAACAATAAATATTAATTTTCAAAATGTCTAGTTTACGAAACTGAAATGGTAGCAGGAATAGTAGTATCAATCTTACGTTCTAGAAATCTTCTTTTCCTGCGTTTCAATAACTGGTTTTTCAATTTGATTCCTATTCTGTAGTTTATTCCTAATCCGTTCTTTCATGAGGTTGTCATATTCTTCCGATACATTCTAAATCACGTAAGAAATATCATTAAATAATTAAATTAATTGTCATTTTGCAATAATTACGGCTATACAAGAGTCTAACTTCTTCATCGTCAGAAAGTCGCCTTTTACTGCTTGACTCGATGGCTGGCTCAGCACTTAGTTTTGGATCATCAAGGACATCATGACTACTCCTAATTTTGCGATCTGTGGATGTAGCTGCAACATCACCGTCATTTTCTTCTTCTTCCATCCCAAAAGACAGTAATTTAAAGTTTCTAGATAAAAATTAAAATTTGTTGTGATAGAAAGATACTGATTAAACACAACTAGCTAAAATTAAGTGACTGCATCATATAGACAAGTTTTAAATACTGTACTTTGTTGCTGCTGATTTTGCCTGCTTCTTTGCTTCAATTTCAACCTTAGGCTTAGCTTTTTGCAGTAATCTAGGAACAATATCGTCGAAAGGATTTGCAAGTACCTACATCATAGATGATCAGCAATGTTATTACAAAGGTTTATCATATAATCTGCAAAACAAGATAATATCTACACAATTCTTAATTTCACTATCCAATTGTGACACAGTCTATACAGTGCAAGAACATCACCTCTGTTTTAATAATTTTTGGAGGATAAAGTGGTCGATCGTTCCCATCAGTTTCAACCTCAGCAATTTTAAGTACATTATAGATAGTATTACCGGTGACCTAAGTCGTCAACAGTAATAAATTGTATTATTATGTACATATCAGTATGGATCAAACGATTTATTCTTTTAGTAATTATTTAGGGAATCTATAGCCAACCTTTCCAAATATAGTGTTCTTGCCGTTTAATTCATCAGCTCGGTCTAAGGTAAAAAAAAATTGACTACCATTTGTATTCGGTCCGTAATTGGCTACACCGACTAAACCCCTTCGCGTGTATCTTAGTCGTTGATGAAATTCGTCCTGTTATAATATTACATAGTAGATATCTATCAAACGTCAATATTATACAAATTTCTAGGCCAGAAATTTTATTGTCCATTAATGATGATACAAAGTGAAGATCTAGAGCTAATTTAAACGCTGCATAATATTGATTTTAAGTTACAGATCTTACCTGGAATGATTTTCCGTAGATGGATTCACCACCTAGTTAAGATAAAGTTACATTTTGAAGTTAAAGCGAGCCTTTGTGAGTTGATCTTTGACTATTTAAATATCCAGCTACATAAATTTAGCCTTGATTACAGCTACCTTAATTGCTATCTTATTATAAACTTGTCGAAAATATCATTGAATTGATACGGTACAAATTCTATATTATGCATCAATTTACTGTACATTGACTTTAATGTGCATTATAAAGAATAACTAGTTTAAATTCACAATTTTTGAATAAATTTAATTTAAATTATCGCTACTAAGGCTGGTAAGAGTGTTGATATTGAAGAATTATCTCTTAATGTGTACAATATTTCGTCATCATTAACAGCTATTATTATTCTGCATGCACAAATCTGTTTTACTCAGTGGAACTGACAATCATTAATACCGACAAAAATTAAATCTAAAAGCAACCTTGACCAGTTCCTGTAGGATCTCCGCCTTGGATAATGAAATCTAGTTTAGAAGCAAAACATTTTGTTCACTGTAGATGATACAAATTTATGACGAGCTGCATGTTTATTCGACTTGAAGAAAATTGAAAAGTCAAAGTATTTTTAATTGCCATATCGATTACTGATTACTTATGAATGTGTCTCAGATACATACTTTTGACAACCCTATGAAAGACGGTAGAATCATAATAGCCTTCCATGCATAGCTGTATAAAGTTTCTGCAAGCTTTAGGTGCTTCTTTAGACCATAATTCGATGTCAATGTCTCCACAGGAAGTTACTACCAAGACCTACGTTACATCAAATTTTTGTTGAGAATGCTATTGATACAGAGTTTATAAAATCATAATATTTTTATTAACATACTTCATTTTGATTCAAATTAGCTCAAGGATGAATATACTGTAAGTTTGTGTTTAATTCATTATTTGAGTTGATGATATTATCTCATGAGTTCGACAATTATTCAATGTTGGTTTGATTTACTATAATAATTATGATAGGTATACTATTTTATCGTAGGCCAATATTGGATATCATTGCCATACTATAATAATACATCATTATGGTTTACAGGCTAGGTATTGAGGTTCAAATTGAAGACCTCCCTGATAATGACTGTAATGACCTCCACGGTTTGAAGGCAAGTACTGCCCAAAAATGGACTACAAGTATGCATTGCACGAATATACTGGTATCTTTGGGAATATCCACTATACGGTATAGCCATGAGATAATATCAAACATGTAGTTTATGCAAGAAATAGGCAAGAAAATTAGATACAGCTAGTGAAGATCTTGGAATGGCATTTTGTAGATGTGCAACGTCATGCATATCATGATGGCAAGATACCTTAGCTGTTGATGAAATAGGCAAACGTACGATAGACTATGAGTATTTATTTCATATCAAAGGATAATAGTAACTGTTGGAAAATTGCATGGTATGATAATAACTATAGGATATATCCAAGTTCTATGGTAAAAGCTGTCTATATGGATTCAAATTGTTGAATGTTGAATAAGCTCAATTGATTTGGTAGTCGTTTCCAGACTACCAATATCCATGATCTGCAAGTAGAGCGCTGCAAGGGTTGTATCGAGGGATAGGTTGTTGGCTACTGTGGTGGCCGTTTGAGCTACTGCAGGTACTAGCATCACCAGTAGAACAGTTTTCAACAGTTGAAGCAGAATGATAGTCAATCTGTCTAAAGTAATCTTACCTTGCCACTTGTTGGCGGTTCAGTAATGTAGATATTACTCATTTTACAGTTGTTGTAGCTTGTTGTAAAAGCCAAGCAATCGCCAGACAACCTCGCACTTCAAAGATGAAGGATTTTGATGGAAATAGCAGTAGCTAGGACAACTTCGCTAATGTTGCATTGCCTATAGTACAGTACTGTAGTTTAGACTCGTTTCGACCGCGCTACGCTATACAGTACAGTACAGTACAAGGATACAGTGCAAAGTACATATTTCACTGTAAAGTGTACACTGTACACTGTACACATTGGGCGTACAGTGTACAGTACAGTACAGTACAGTACAGTACAGTACTGTACAGTACGTTTCATCAGAGACTACAGTACTGTACACTGTACAGTACAGTATCAGAATGGTATCCTCTTTACATAGCAGTTGTCATCCTTCTCCCCAAAAAGTAACAAGGAGCTTATTCTCTTTTTAAGGGAGAAGGTGACAACTTATTATGCACAAGGTACAGTGTCATTGGGATGGACTGGATTGTACTGTACACTGTACGTACTGTGATCAAACTGGCTACAGTAACGTAGTACAGTCAACACTTACAGGAATAGACCAGCTGTTGCACTGTTACATGGTACAGTGTCCGCACCGACTGAGACAGCGATGGGAAACCTCCAGCCTACGCTAATGATGATCCTACGCAAGCGTATTGAGCTAGGAGCTGTTCGGGACAGTAGAGTAATAAGTCGACCACAACCCATAACCCCCTGTCCATGACCAACATACGTGAGTGGTCTCCCAAGGTGGAAAATTCATCTTCTCCATGGCTGCTTTACTCTCTAGTCGTCTAGTCATCCGACGATTGCCTAGCCATTTGCCCGCTGTAAGTTGAAATAGGGTAGGCCAATCTTGAATGATTAGCTACAGACGAATTGTATAAGACTGTCTATCATTTTGATTATTTGAAATAGCGACTGTCAGTGGGGCCAGCTGCTCGTCGAGCTTGTAGGACTTTAACATCGTCATGCCCATTCATCAACCATAGCTGCACGTCGACAAAGTCTCTCGCTACGGTTAGTTCTCTTGATACCAATTCTGCTAATCTAATTTTAGGCAATGGATAGTGACTATAGAGGATAACGAAATCATGATGGAATCTTACTTTTATGACGATGATCATCTATTGCATGTTGTAGAGCATACGCGATAGTGGCAAGACTTTATGCAATCCATTCGACGCTATTTCGTCAAGACAGTTGCGCATTTCTACAGGTAGGCACCGCAAACTAGTTAAGAAAATTTCTGACACAAGCCCGTGTAGGTACTGTAGATCGATTACAGTAGACGATAAAACCAAGCCAGATTGAGCATACGAGATAGAGGATAGGATACAATTGGATAAGAAACTATATCTTGATATCTTGCATTTCAGTAAATATAAAACACATTTATTTATCCACTCTCTACTTTATTGACAGCCTCGTTGGGAAAGGTGATTGCCTTCAATTTATCGGACATCGGTGAAGGTATCACCGAAGTCAGTATCAAAGAATGGTAATTCTACATGAAAAAATGAATCCGTCATATTAATCTATTTTGCGTATCGATTCTATGCTGGCAAATTATAAGTTACGCTTTTCATAAATGGAATAATTTAGGTTTGTTAAAGTTGGCGATCCTGTTGCACAGTTTGATAATGTATGCGAAGTGCAAAGTGACAAGGTCAGCCTATGATGGTGTCTCTAGAAAACCAAACTTATTGTCCTACAGTGATGCTTTAGTGATTAACATGAATTATTTGCAATGATAGGCCTCTGTAACAATCACAAGTCGCTACGATGGAATTGTTACAAAACTCTACTACGAGGTTGATGATATCGCAAATGTCGGTACTCCACTAATTGACATTGAATTAAATGATGATGCAGCCGACTCAGAAGGCATTCAAAGTACTCCAGAACAGCAGGATTCTACCCCGAAAGAGGCAACCCAGTCCAGGAAGGTATTAATGAAAATAATCAACTTGAAGTAGTTTGGAAACACTAAAAGTTCTATTGAATAGTCTACGCTTTACAAAGTAACCGTAATGAACAAAAGTTTCCAACCAATAACTCACCAATACTAAAATTCCTCCATCACTTCTACTCTACTCTACTCTCATGGGCGTCAACTGATGTTATTATCTATTTCGCTAGGTGGAAGCTGCCAATCTCAACATTGACAAGGTGTTAGCAACTCCTGCTGTTCGCAAAATTGCTATGGAAAATAAAGTCAGTACTGCTAGAACAATTGTAATAGCATTTCTATGCTATAATTTAAAGTCTCATATTTGATTTTAGATTGATCTGGCAAAAGTACCCGCTACAGGAAAAGATGGGAGAGTCTTAAAAGAAGATATGCTTCGATATCTTGAACAACCACAAGCTTCAGGTAAGTTACGATAGTAATCATCGAGGGAAATGAAAATTTTGCAGCATTACAAAGAAGATTGCAATCTAATTCGCAATGTTAATGCACACATTATATCATTCAGAAACCGTTAAAGAACCTGCGCCTATTTCGTCGAAACCGACTCCTAAGCAATCGCCCATTGACGATGGTGTTCCTGTTCCCATACGTGGAATTCGCAAGGCTATGGTTAAAACCATGACCGAATCATTGAAAGTTCCTCAGTTTGGATATTGTGATGAAATCTCTATGAATGCCTTATCTGAGTAAGTATGAAAATACAGTTCTTAACTATTACCCTTGATAGTAGAATACATCGATTTTGTATTTTATCGAATCCCTTTCAGCTTAATCGCAAAATGGAAACAAAGCGGTAGTACTCCAATAGGAATGATGCCTTTTTTCATTAAGGTAGATTCGCAGTTCTCTTTTCTCTGCTTCCTTGATGAAGTAAATAGTATTTATACAACTCTTATTACTTTCACTTTAGGCGGCGTCGCTTGCTCTAAAAGAATTTCCAATTTTAAATAGCAGCGTTGACGAAAACTGTGAAAATATTATATATAAGGTATGAATATCAAAAATTACTCTTAATTTATGGCTTCTGACTCGATATCATGTTATTGTTGTTAGAGTTCTCACAATGTTGGCTTCGCTATGGATTCTGAACAAGGCTTAATTGTACCGAATATCAAGAATGTTCAGGTACCGAGATAGAGTATGAAATAAATCTTTAAAATCTGGTAAGAACCGTAGGAATAGCCAAATGATGCACACTCTTTTCTAGGAATTATCACTTGTCGACGTGTCATTAGAATTTAGCAGACTAAGAGAATTAGGCATGGCTGGAAAACTTGGAGTGGATGATTTATCTGGTGGTACATTTACCTTGTCTAACATTGGATCTGTACGTGTATAGTCGTAACATTTTTTTGTCAAAGCTGGAATAGAATATAGTTTGCCAATTAAAGTAATCACAAATTCTAACGTTTGTAATTGATACATCTCTTTAGATTGGAGGTACCTATTCACACCCTGTTATACTGACTCCGCAAGTGGTTATTGGTGCTTTCGGCCGAACACAGGTATTTCTAATTTTATAAACGTTTTTGTCATGTCTGCAACCACTGTATTATTTATCTATGTTCTTTTTAAACTATTATTCTAATGGCAGGTTGTTCCAAGATTCAATGAGAGTGGACAAGTGCATGAAGCTAAATTAATGAACGTTAGCTGGTCTGCAGATCATCGCATTATTGAAGGAGCTGTGATGGCCCGTTTTTCCAATCTTTGGAAGTCTTTCGTAGAAAATCCTCACTTAATGCTAATGCACCTCAAATAATATCAAAAGTTTGCTTTCGTTTCTTCCAATGCTCTGGCAAATGCACTATAAGATTCGAAATGATGGTCTTGCGAACGAGCTGCAAGCTCGGAGTTATGTATCATGCCTGATAGAGCCTCAAAGTTACAAGCATTTACATAAAGAATCACACAGAATCATTATTTTACGAGAAGATGTACCTCGGATTGTTCATATTTTACGTACATGCCAATTTAATGCAGAGAAAATTATGATATTCATTTTCTTTAAATGATGATAAATTGATCGAAAATTTGGTCTTTTAGAAATAAAAAAAGTTTATGGAAGTTTAGAAATAAACCTCAAGCCCATATACCTTTTGGACCTATATAGCAACCTAAATTATCTTTTTTTCACATTTATTAAACTTATTTTAAACTTACTTTCAGCTTCATTACTGAATCATTGCAAAGGCATTCTAGTATTGTTACAAACCCGTGATAAATTCTAAAGATTTAATAGATGTCTCCTGCGGTACTTTTTGCTATCTACATATATCTTAGGGTAGGATGCATTAGGGGTGTCAGAGGTTCGATCTACGATGCATTAACTAGAAAAAATTACTTCAATTATCTAAATGTGTTTACAGCTTTTATATAGCATCCGCTATAGTGACAAGGTTAACAAATCTGAAAGGAATGATTCCGCTTTTAGACCAAAGTAATCTGTACGTTTATTATACTGTATTCAGATGGCACCCGCATTGTAGTTTTCATTAATTTCATTAGGAGTTTAAATCGAATAGGAGTAAATGAGCAACTCTGTTCTGCTAAAGAAAGTTGAGAATGATAGAAGGAAAAGACATACACTTTTTATTTTTATCTTAAATTGGTTAGTTCAAGCCGAATGTGAATGTGCTCTACGGTTAACTCTACATTTACAGACATATTTCCAATACTACAAGCCCAAGAATTGACTATACTGATCCAAGTGTAAGATAAAATGTAAATGGATGAGTGCCTATCGCGGTTGCACCTCAACGCTGAATGAAGATGAAATCAAAAACTAATGCATATTCCTATACTCACAATCATTGACTCCTTCCTGCATCTACGTGAGCCTCCGAGAATAATATTGAACTAGTCACATCCTATCACGGGCATGCAAACGAGCTTTCCAACAAAAAGTAGACTACATACTTGAAGCTTTCCGTCTTCAAGTAATTAGTTATATACTCGCATAATGTAACGTTTAGAAGAGCAGTTTTCCTTTTTGTTTAGAGCTGTGGAATGAAAACACGACATTTCATTCTACTGCAGTCATGCCGTCTGCTGTTGAAGGAGAAAATACTAGTTCATGCGTCACTTTTTGCATATCCATATATGAAGTGGAGAAAGCTTATTCCTGTTGGCTCATGAATTTTATTACAGACACGACAAAGTAAAGCATCGAGCAAGAGACATTTTATAGATTGCGAAGGAAAAATTTCAAAACATGGCTAACAATGGTGCGCGCCCCCTTTTGACCCCTAGCTCGATACTTTCCATACTGTACGCTAGTACAGTACTGGTGGATGGCCGAGTGATTACAGTTACTGTATACCGTGTATTAGCGTGTAATGCAGTATACACGGCGTAACATCTTCGCAGGGAAAGTACCCAAACTGGCTATAACGTCATAGAGAATGCACCAGCGGATACATGATCGTAGACGAAAACAACTACTTAGCGACCTGACACGAGCATGCGCATATCCGTAACATCGGTTTGCAATATTTCAAATTTGTTACGGTTGCTAATTTAGTAAATAAATCAATTAATCTGCATCACTCACAACCAGCAAACTAGGAAGAATATTATTAACTGTAAATGATTTATTACACTAAGAGCCTGTCGGATTTTCGATTAGAAGCACTAGGAAGTGTACTGGATACTTACTATTCGATGAATCAAGGCTAGAACTGACTGTGCATTCATCGACGTATCAAAGTTAAATGTTCGCTTGTTATTTTTCACGCCTTGAACTCGAATATTCTGGTGCTGATTTGTAATCAATCATAACCGGACTTATTTTAGTTGCTGCTAAATACGTATCTACCTTTTGCTGACTGGCACAGAATAGTAAAGTCAAAGGCGTATTGTCTTCGATAGCGTAAATTAGATATCATTGGTGAAATTGATAACATACTATATTACTCGATCGTAGTTTACTCGCAATTGAATCACACACGTATTTCGGTAAAGGAAGAACTTGAAACAACAAACATGGAATCATTTTATGCATTAAAAGAAGAAAAAGAAAATCGGTTTTGTTCCGGTGATGATAACGTTAACGACTGTATAACGTATATGAACCAGGTATGGATGAAATTTTATCATCACTTAACTAGGAATCACTACAACGTAACTCAGTGTACAAATTACTTTAGCATGACTAAACTTGAGCTATTTCCATTAGAAACCGTACCTGCTGATACTGCAGTGTCTCACTTGTTCATGGATAAAGTACAGTAGTGCCTCAGAACTATTACTATTCTGTTCATTAAATGAGTTGTATTTTTCAAATTGATACAGTTTGACCTCTTTTAGGCTTCCAGCTACATAAGATTTTCTTTGATATATATTGTAATACAGTTGATAAGGATGATATTCATGGATAGGTTAGGGTAATAAGATTAATTCTCCATTTTAATACACTTTTCTAGGAATTACAAGTACATGGATTTCAGGCCCTACAAACGTCATCAGAAAATTCGCGTACTTTAACCATTGAATTATTGAATCACTTATATGTATTACTACAACAACATCGTCATGATATGAAAATTAGAGAAGATCTCCAAGACAAGTAACGATAATAATATATAAATAATACAATTAATTATTAGTCAAGTTCCTATGACATGTCATATATCCTATTACTGTATGAGGTTACTAAATGCATAATTATGCAATTTAATCTATAATCATATTACTTATTCCTATATTGATTTATTCCACGCTGCACCTATGCGAATGTCGATCTAATACTGTAATCATGTGTTAACTTAAGTATCTAGCGCTTCGATAATTAGAGTATGCACTACCATCTATTGCACTAAAAAAGTTCGTCGTCTTAATAATTTCAGACTATTGCGAAGCAATAGTGATATGCAAACCGCTCAAAGAAGTCAAAAACTATACAAGGTAAAGATACTGATAATTCTGTTTATTGGTTAGTATGCACAAAATCAAACATTTCATTTTGTAGACATGCTCCGATTTTGCTGCTGATTGACGTAGTTACCATGTTTTTACCCGTAACTTAATAAAATCTATTACACTATCGTGCTAGTTCTTATACTGACTTTTCGTTGCAATAGGACGAACTCGACAAATCGTTGCGAGAAAATCAAAGCATTAGCGAGCAAAATCGACAGTTAGAAGAGAAAATTAAGTCGTTGAATAGTAAATTAAAAGGTGAAAAGGATGAGGTATGGAGATTTCAATTATTAAAATTCTTTGAGCTACGCATTGTCACATATTTAATATTGATCAAGGTTTGATTCAAATTTAATCTCCGATCATTTTTGTAATGTCCACGTATATACTGTACACATGTAATTATGAACTACTGCATGTATATACGAGTATCTTACATTTTCATTCTTATATGAAATTGATTAAAGCTGAAGAAATTAAGAAGCAACGTACAGTATATAAAAAATCAGCAAAAAAAGGAAATGAATAAAATGGAAAAAATTAATACAAGACTAAAAGAGAGATTAAACGTCGTAAGATATGACATGACTTCTACTCATTCAAAAATTAATATCAAATCACGATACAATATTTAATCTTATAAAATATACGGCCATTCTTTAATCAAACTCAGTTCATGTCAGACAAAAATCAAGCAAAAAAAGCTGGCATGGATGTTCTAAACTCACTGCAGAATCCTAACGGTAAACGTGCTGTATGGAAGACCAAGGCTAAGTATGAACGATAATTTTACCAGTATTCAAATTATGTCATTCTCTAAGTCCATTTATCGGGTTATTTTAAGTTGTAATGTTATTCCTACTGTACAGGGATGATGAAGAAATGTACCAATCAATCGTGTGTGGATACGAAGATAAAGTAAAAGTAAGCTATAAATTTTTATAGGATTCAAAATGTGAGATAAAGGCATTTACTTTTACTAATTTTAACACTTTTTGACGTAGGATCTGATAATGGAAAATAGTACTTATCGGGACTTTGCCAATAGTATATATAGCAATTTAGTACGACTACAATGGAAATTCGAAGGAAAGGTAGCATCATCATCGTCTATGTATGTGATTTGAGCAAATAGTAAAAGTGCGCTTTTCTTTCAGCACAATCTTGCAGAAGCTGCAGACGAAAATTTGCAGCAGTTGGACCCAAATATTTTACCTGACGGTATTTTTCAATTACCACTTGAGATGTCAAGGGATTGTAAGTGAATTGCCATAACATACCAGTCTTAGTTACAATTTTGATCTTGATTCTAACATCTTGAATCTTTCATTTATAGCTATTGAAACTACTCTCCAGAATATGTGGGATAACTTTGATAAAGCTATTTTGTCATCCCTTAAACAAACGATAGGTTTCTTCTAATTACTAATTACAGTCTTTATTGATGGCAATCACTATAAATACTTCTAATGTTTTTAATACGTTAAACTTATTTACTCTCTCTTGAAGACACTGCTGGTCAAAATTTAGATGCCAATGTGAATGAAATCGATAGTCTAAAACTGGAATTGCAGGAATGTTTATTAAAAATATCGGAACGAGACAAAGTTATTCATGTACGTCAAGGATCTTTTATGATGCTATTATCAATTTCTTAAAATCTTTTACAATATAATATCATGTTACATACAACTGCAGGAATTCCAAAATGCTCAGAGTGATATCAAGAACGATACCCATGTCTTGGTAAATTTTTAATTTCGTGTACAATTTGAAATCGATAGTTTAATTAGCATTAACTCATTTTAGATATATTGTTATTATTCCAGAATGAGTCGCTTTTATATGCAGAGAAGGAGGAGGTCGAGAATTTAAAGGCTGAATTACGAAAGCAGAAGGAATCTCTTGAGAAGGAAAGGGCTCTTGTGGCAGAAGCTGCCGTTAAATTAAACCGCGAGGTAATAAAATAAATTTTCAAGCTTTCCCTTTACATTTTTACTATATCGATATGATTAGCTGATGATATATTTATATTTGGTTAGCGAAAAGAATTCGAAAGTGATCGAGTGGCTTTATTAGAGGCACAAATTGGTGCATCTCCTCTATCATTTGAGAAATCACAAGGTATGGGACTATTATTAATATAAAGTAATTATAATTAAAATACGTCAGCTTTTAATGCTATGTTGTACTTTTGCATTATGCTATGAACAATTTAAGTTATTGAAGCTATAAAATCATTTTCAAAATCGTTTTCGTAAGACTTATCCACACCGGTTGCCGGAAAGGCTAGTTACGATCGCTACAAAATCAAGACTCCCTCTACATCTGAATTATATAAATTTATAGACACTGAAATTGCTGGTCACACGACAAAGTGTGTATGATTTATATATTTGCTGGACTCCAACTGAATTAAATTATTGATATGACATAAATTTAGCACTAATTTACATTCAATACGTTATATATCAATAGTGTGGATTCTGGTGTAGAACAAAGTCCTAGTGATGATCAAACCCAAACGGGCAGTAGTCTCGCACCGGTGCAAGAATCACCGAAAAACAATGGAACAACCGATTGTAATCGAGTCAACTTATTTCAGGGATAAAATCACGGAAAGATTTTGTGTTACGTATTCATAGCAATAAGAATGTTATACAGCCTTCCTTTATAGAAGCTTACTTGTATAAAACTGTCGTGGACTGTATGTATCTATATGATTTGATAATATTTAATTTGGCCAATATTTTATGGCCGAGTATTCTATCATTAATTACTCACAGACCTGACATATACAGTATATTCCTACAAAGGATAGCATTATCTAATCGCGCTTTTTATCAATTAAATCTGATGCCATGTGATATAATATATTTGATAGTAAATTATTCTCATTTTTCTACATTAGGGAAAGAATGCGACTTTAAATTACGATCATTCTAAATTATGCTATTAGGCTTCCTACTAAAATTATATTCTGTTATACTTATATTATCCGTCGAATATCTTTCTATATACTTAAGCATTATACACAAATGTAATTCAGCATTATTCGTGGACGACCTGATTCTTGAATATAATATTGCTGTAGAGTTTTGTTTAATATAGTCTTGCTGTAAAGTTACTATCATATTGTCAATAAAATCCTTGCGTCGTAGAGTTTGCAAATGCTGACGCAAAGATTAATATAAATGCTTAGTTTCAGAATGTAGCCAACATCAAGCAGTGTAGGTATAAATATAATTTAATTTGCAATTACTGTAGCGGTAGTTAATACATATTTAACACATGAAGTAAGTTTTAATTTTGATCACTATGTAGCCTAGATCTAGGGAAAGTTTTAAACTTATTTCTTTATAACATGGCTATATATGTATATTAATTAAATGTAGTTATTTATTTATTACTGTAAAGTCAGTCTTCCCATTTTAATTAAAGCCCTACAACACCATGTATAAAAATATGACAGTTACTTTATAACGAATGAAATCCAGATATTATTACTCTAGCAGTAATTGATCTAAGTCGTTAATAATATTTAATAATTATGATTTTGCGTAATACTTCCTATAGTAATGATTTCGGGAAAGCAAGCAATTACAATTCCAATTTTTTAGTGCCTTGTTAGCGCAACGACAGCCTACATAAAATTAAGTAAAATTATCATTCATATCTGTGCTACTCCATAGTAATTAACCAATATACCAACTAACACAGTGACAATATTTTCTTCTATTTCGTATTTTGAAATTAGATTAGATCCTACTTAAGAAGCTGTAAGTTGTAAAGAAAGCATATCAATAAGGATATTCGCAATCATTAGACTAAAGTTGTACATAGTTGAGTTTATGGCCAAGAATATTATTTAAGCTACATAGTAGCTGCATAATAATCTGTATCTAATATAATTGTACTTTGTAGTGAGGTATAGTAACTTTCAGAAAAAACATCATAATTTAAAATATCAATCAAAGGGCGGAATAAAGAATTATGCAAGTCATCTCCTTTGAGAAAGTATAAATGAGAGACAGAAATAATCAAGAATACAATCTATTTTTCTAACGGACTTGAAAGTGTATAATCTTGCTAACAATTGATGAGGTTATCGGATCTATCCCATAACGAATAATGATCAATCAGCATTTAAATAATAAATCGGCAAATTAAAGAACACCAATAACTTTTTGGAAAAGTGTAAATGTAGTATCAGGAGCGTCTCTAATTGCATAATGGCCAGCATTTAGTATCCAATGATAGGAAAATTGCTTATAGCTCTTAGTAAATGCTATGATATTATCCTGATCATATATTGGTACTTTATCAATTTGCTGATATTGATACAAATCTGACCACTTTAGTTTATCTATCCATGCTTGTGTGCCGATGGTATTAGTTAAACCATCAAATTGGCCAGTAAAGACAGCAACTGTTATATTATCACTTAGTAGGCCATCTATTTTATCGGTAACTGATTGCATGATGTCGTTTCCTAATATTTGATAGACTTGACCATTGCCAGGATACCAGGTTAAATTTTGAGGTATGTTGCCTAATGCGTTCCTTATTGGGCCATTCATCAATTGTGATAATAATACTTCTTCACTACTATTGTTGATACGATGAGATGGTGTAAATGGATTATGATCAACATGTCGAAGTACATTATAGACATCAACTAGACCAGTAGCATCTACGATATACGTAAGCAATCGTATTAAAGTTGTGGATGCTTGATCAAATTGTTGTTTATTAATTAATTGGGTAATTTTATAAACGTATTCATGAGCCAATTTAGCTTCATTGTCATCCATTAAAGAGAAAGCTTTGTAATAATCAATATAGGATGTCACAGTATCTATAGGCGATATTAATGGATCGAATAGGCCGATTCCAGTAAGATTACATTGGATTCTAGTATCAGCAATGGCTTGCGTTAGTAAAGATGCAAATGAAACTGCCATTTTACCACCGTAGGACTGGCCAAAGATGTACAAGGGCAATTGATGCATATCTGGTACTGCGCTATAGAAATCTCTTAATACTGAGAATAAATCGGTAGCAATTTGGTGCTCATCTCGTGCATATAACGATAAATCATCAGCGTAGCTAAAGCCTGTCCCTACAGGACTATCAATAAATAATAAATGAACTTTATTGGCCCAAGTTGTATTTCGAGTACGCCAATGCATATCATACGGACCAATTTCTAAAAAATTTCCCATACCACTAGCAGCTTCTCCTGGCCCACCTTGTAACCATATCACTAATGGTATTTGTTGGCTTTTGGTCTTGAAACTGTTTCTGCATGGATAGTACCACCAAAACATATGCACACCTGGTCTAACAGTTACATAAGACCATTTCTTGCCAAGTAAATCTGTAGGAATATGAGTATTTTTGTTGACCAATGTGTCCGCACCTTCCTTCACGATATTTGGAGTCCCAGCACGTATGCTTGCTGCAACAGTAATTACCGCAAGGAGAAACTGGACTGCCTTATAAATAACCTTAGCGGGGTTTTGATGTCTTAACAGCATGTTAACATTTTAAGATTGTCAATCTTCGCTATTTTAAACTTAAATCTTCAATTTCTATTGTAAAATAAAGTAATCTTTAATCTGTCGTGTTATCAGTAAACAGGAAAATCTCTTCGTTAGTCAATAATTTAATCAGAAAATGATCACTATATCAAATTTGTAAAGTAGATCAAACCGAAAGTGCGCAGTTTATTAGAACTTCAATACCGTTGCAGTAGATTCGAAATAGATCAAAATTGAATAGATACGTATAGGGTAATTAACTCCTATTTTCCTTATCCAAATCTTAATCGATAAGGATGATTATAAGCTATGTGATAGTTCTAAACTAGAAATCAACTTGATATTAGTTAGGAGAAAATAAAATCTAAAAATAAGAATCAAAAATACTGTACTTTACTTTTCTATTTAGTAAAGAAGTTGAAATATTGCTGGAACGTTATAATTTATTTTTAGTCTTTCTAATAATGTTGATAGCCAACAATTTTGAAGAGTTACTTTCTTTTCAGTGATCGCTTCAATCAATTTAAATCCAGTCAAGATGAATAGCACTTTTCTTTATTCTTGACAAATTTGGAATAAAAGATTTTGCTCAATTTTAATTATAAATTGAGAATTTTAGACATGCGTGTTCAGTTATCCATAAGTATTCGCGGGTCGCCACGGGGTCAGTCATAATATTTAATCAGCAAAAAGAAAATTAAATTAATCAAATATCCTCATGATCAATTAGCCAGTGTATAGGTTGATAAAGTCTCGATGAACACGTTAAAGACTAGCTAATGCATACTAGAAACTCGCCTAGCGGACAATAGATCAAGTAAATAATTCACATTTTGAAAAATGTCGGGCATTGAAGGAAAATTTTTAATTTTTCACTGCCTTTCTTAAAGTATTTACATTTGCAATCGGTATAATAGCGTTATTTGTACTATAGCCAATGCTGCTAGAATGAAAATATGTTATTTTTTAAAAAGTTTTGCAAGGATATTCCGTATATGGAAATCTATTCTTATGGTGATAAATGATATTAATAACTTTCTTTGTTCCTTTATTTCAGCTCAATGATCACAACGATCCAATTTTTTATAGCAGAAAGTAGGATTGCTTTAAGATATAGTTTTGAAATTTATATCCTAATGAATCAGAAAATATCTGAGTCGGTACAATATTATTGCTTTAGCGCTATAGTAAATTAGAAGTTTTCTTTGGTCCGTTATTGTAAGAAGTTATAATACCGTTTATGATAATATAGTCTTAATATTGGTCACTATTTTATGTTTCTGAAAACGGTGTGGATTTGATTTGAGATGCTAAATATTAATTGAAATAATCTGAAAATATTCAATCTGTATGATTTAATCACTTTAATATCATAGCAAATCGAAATTATTTTTCGTTATTGCAACTACTCCGAATAATGATTTTAACCTTAATTTTATAGCCAAAATTGGCAGTTGTAATCCTATCCTTAATGCTACTGAAAACTATCAGTGATTTTGGGCAGTAAATTCTGATAGTGTAATCTAAAAATTACCAGCAATACCAACCCGTTTTCTGCTGCTAGAAAATGATCCTAAAATTTAAGCATTAAAATTCTATGGAATAAACTGAAAACATTTCAAAGCTATTCGATCTAATGTCAAGATGAAAACTAAAAATTTTAGAATTTACTCTAACATTGTAACCGCTGTAAACTGTGTTTCCGTTTTTATTGTTATAAGTAGCCTTATGAAGAAATTCTGTAGTGTGACTATCAAAAGTTAAAGACCATCATACTTCCTTTAGCTATTAAAAATTTATACTAATGTTACATTAATCCTTTTGGTGTTACGTTAATTAAATATTCCGATATTTGTATGGAATCAACACCAAGTATTCGATTTTTAGCCTTTAATCATAGAATGACCTAAACAGCAATGCCAACAACATCGTTAGAGCTAACGTTACCGTAATGTTAGCAAAAAATATGATTTGTCCAGAATTTTCGAAAAATAAGTCGTATAGACACACTATAAGGCATTACCGGTAATGGATGAAGCTAAGCACTTTAGAGAAGGATTGATTATATAGAGTTTCCATAAGAAATTGTGCATCATTTGCAAATAGACCATTAATAGCGAATAAAGTACAGGGCATTGTAAGTCTATAACATCTTTTAAATCTACTCGTAATTTAATGACGCCTAATTTATAAAGAGTACCCCAAAAAAGATATGAATTTAAAATGCAACGTGAAACTGTTCAACTCAGAATGTATTCCAGCTTTATAGCGATGAAATTCGACTACAAATGACGAATAAAACTGTCTGTATGTTCTTTCCTAGTAGGATACCATTATTAGCAAGACTATTTCTTTCATATAATTTAATGAAAGGAATATAACTGAGAAGTAAATAGCGCAATGCTCACAATTCTTCAATAACATCCATAGAATAACTTTCAGCTTTACATATTACAAAAATGAAGCATTTTACGTTCCTTTCATTGAAATTACAGCCATCGACTGCGAACTAGTTTACCAGATACGAAAGTATTTATATAAATAGAAATCCAGTATTATGCCATTCAGATTGACTGAAGAGTTTTAATTATCAGCTTTTATTTCTCAATACGGTTTATTGTATGCCTTAGCTTTACATATACTGGCATTAAAATTAGGTTACTACTACTGTACTTCTTTCCTGAAATACTCAGCCACTGAACAAGGCTGGATCCATTACAGGGATAACATGCCTTATTTAAAACAATATAGATTTATACAGAAAATCCTATCTAATTCGAACTGGCTACCCGTTTTTTACTAACGAAGGTCATTCTTCACAGAAATTCTATGATAGAATATTTTCAGACTGGCAACGATTATATCGTACCGCTATTATATTTATCTCTAAGAATGGATAGTTCGTGAGTAAGAATGTACTACTTGGGTAAAGAAGTAAATAATATCATTTTACATTTAGTTGTGGAGCACTTGAAATTAAATAATCGCAATTACAAGTATGCAAGATGAATAAAGAAGTAGTTAGTGCTATTTTAAATATGATAGTGAAGGCTAAAAATTAAAAAATATGATCTTAACTCTATTTTATCCGCGATCTTAGAACGAAATCTTTTCGCATGAAGCTGTACGTATTAGAGACTAGCATACTGATATCGCAGGATGAAAGGACCCTAGGTGAGTTTCATTAATTGCTTTAAGTTACTAGATATTAGTAAAATACTGCATGATGATGAACTATTTTATAGAATAAAAATAAAAGATTGGAATATAACGTTTGCGACATAAATATTTCTTCTGTCTCATATTACAGGTGATGAACTAAATAATGGTAAGATTGTAGACTATCCTTGCTATGAAATTCCGATGAATCCATATATGTGCGTATTTCATATTCTAGAGAGAATATAAAGCATAAACAAAAATCTATTTATAATGCCCATTGCATGTGTGAAGCATTCCATTAAAATAAAGACTGTTTGTCAAAGATATAATAGAAAAGTTAATATTTATAACCTGTGCGGCAAGGATGTATAGGGCAACTCTCTTTTTTGTTCATCTTTTTTTTTATTTCGAAAAGTTAACATAGATATATAGAGAGAGAGCCATTACTTATGACAGATAATAAATAAGACTATAGCTATCTTTAGGTAACAAACGCAACTCTTTGCCGAGGAACAAAGAAATTCAGTTTCTAATAGAATAGTAATATATGCGCCTTTAACATTACAATACGGCTAGAATAACTGATAATTCTTCAAACTTTTACGATATTTTAAACTATTTCATTACTCTGAATAATTTCAAGGCCATTTATCAAGCTACAATATTAATGCCAAAACTATCACAATAAATAAAAGTCACCAAAAGATGTAGTGTTGGCAGTTGGGTATTTCTTAATGTTTAATGATTTATTGATAAATTGATCGTGAAATATTGCCACTTGAAATCATTTTCAAAGCTTGATTAGATTTTATAGAGAAATTTCTCTTAAATAATGAAATACAGAAAGAAATTATATTAGTTTAGACTGTACTTTGAAACTGTACAAAAGTTAATCATAAACTTTTGTAGTCATGGTACAGGAAAAGGATTTGCCGAATATCCCTTGTAAAGCTATTGAATAATATACAATATGAAATGTCTTTTTAACCTAATTTACTAACATCAAATTTTTATTATTGTTGTCATCGCCTTACTTCAAGCTAATTTATGAATAAGTATTACTATAAATTAATTAAAGATCCTAAAGCCATATAAATTATATAAAGATTCTCATTTAATTTTCCCTGCTATTATGGATTTTAATCATGTATCATAAGTTGTCAATAAGAATGAAATAAATACCTGTATCATTCTAATAAATATACAAATACAAGTAATGTCTGCTTCATATTTAGAAAAATTAATTTTCTACATCATATCCGTATACAGTAATAGTAATCCTTTGCAGTAATAGGGTTTGGTATCTAGTCAATCCTTAGTATACAGTATTTTCTATGGGGTACTTACTATCAGTCGTTTATGGCCGTTTTGCCAAGAGAGTATTCCTTGCTAATGGTCTAATGGATCTAAATTTTTTAGTCTATTACTAAATAAATATACACCCTAGTCGCTTTGGTTTTATCATGAACTATAGCAATAAACCTCTTTTATGGACATTTATGAGAGATTATCCCTGTTATAGGAAGAAAATAACGTATACTACATAAAAAATAAAGCCTTAAAGTAAAGCAACCTACTCTAGTATGATGTGTCTTACTTACGGTATACCATATTTTGTCAAAGTCATTTAATTAGACTCTAAAACAATTTCCACTATTTCATGAAAAGAAATTTGTATAACTATGGAAAAATTAAACATACATGCTTTGTAATTCATATCATTAAATATACTTTGCCTGGATCACATCACCTTAAAATTACGTAAACATAAATTGACGCCAATTAATACTGTTTTATAAAGGAAATCATAATGCAGTTACAATATGTTTTAAACAGAAATAGACTAAATTTTTATAAGATTTCACCCAATACTGGTTATGTTATCATTAACTAATTAAATAAATATTACAGAAATCTCAATATTTTTTTCTCTGCACCTGTTCATATGTACTATACTCTAAATGTATCAAAGCGCGATGAAGCATTTATCTACTGAAATTATTGTCGTCGTGTAGGCTAGAATTGATTCAATCTAATCAAAAACTCGTAGTGGTGTACACGTATTTGAAGTATATTGCTACGATTCCGTTCAAATAACGATACTACTCCATAATTCTATTTAAGGTTTACTTGGCAAAAAATTCTTCGAATTTCAAGATATATCACCAAGTCTAGTTCTATTCATCTTACAGTTGCTATAATTGAGAAAATAAGTATCATTACCATAATTACCCTAGTATACGATTAGTACATTTTATTAAAAAAAGTTGTTAAGTTACAGGCGGAAATCTAATAGTCTCTACTTTATTAGAGAGCTATAGGAAACGAATATGCGGATAGAGCAGTCTTTCGTTGACAGATTTTTATTGCCATTGTTGAGGATTTACATAGAAATGCCGTTTACAAAGGTAAGATATCGCCACTGCCAGATAGCAATACATTAAAAAACAAGAAAAATAGATTTTGATACTATGAGAACATGATGTCAATAATACAATGCCATCCTATAGATAGAATTTACTGGAATTTGACCATTTCTTATAACATGGCAGATTATGAAGTATTATTAATAAAAGAAATGAAAACTACTAAACCCTATTTTTAACTATTATACATACAATCAGAACGTTCATAAATCATCTTTTGTTGAGACGTAGTTTTATTCTTATTGTTGGATATCTTGCTACAAAGTAATAGTTTGCAAACGATAGAGTAAATTCTAGTTGTCTTAAATCACAAGCAAATTAATTTTATTAATAACATTTTCCTGATATATATACAACAAGAAAGAATTTTTACGATATAAACGAAATCTATTCTATTTGGTTATAGCCTATAAATCAAGCTACAGTATAATAATATTTTTAAAATGACAAATGGTTCAATGTTTCGTTAATTGCAAAGATAATAATTGCTACAGAATAAGTTAATAACATGTTATAGATTGAATCAGGAATAATATTAACATAAAGAATAAAGAAATAAGGCATGAAATCATGTTTAATTTAATCGTATCATGCAGTAATGACTTATGATAATTTAAAATGTATCCACAGTTAAGATTGCCAAAGTATTTTTGAGTAGCATTTGCTATCTTATACATGTGAGTACTTTAAACCATTGATGGATATCATCTTCAAACCCGTTAAAGCAAAACTACATATTACTAAAAGCTACTCCTGTGTTAAGATACTGTATGCATTATGCCAACTACATACATCGGAGAAAATACATGTATATCAGGAAATTGTAGGGTCGTTCTTATTAAAATGTGAGTATGGTATCTACCATTTGTAGTGCAGCGTCAGGTGCATCAATTGGTACCATATGACCAGCTTTCAGTATCCAAAATAAGGACAGATTATTGAATTTTTTATAAAAGCCAGCAACTGATTTGTTGCTTAATTTCATAATGTGCTTCTTAGCACTTTGGAAGTTTTGCAAATTTTTCCATTTTAATTTTGCCATCCAAGCTTCCGTACCCAAGGTATCGCATATAACGTCTAATTGGCCGTTATAGACGGCAACAGTAACATTCATATTTAACAACTCATCTACTCTATCAATCACTGGCTTCATAAAATCAATTTCTTGATATGCAAAGACTTGATTTGCTTGGCCACCCCATACAACATTAGAAGGAATGATACTTCCTAACATTTTCCTGACGTCACTATTCATGACTGAAGAAAGTGTGCGCCCCGATGATCGGCGAACTCTAGAATGATAATAAGCTTCAAGTTTTTCTTGTTCCGACTGCTCTCGTTTTTTAGAGGAGAAACGGTAGCGATGCGATAAAACATTGTAAAAATTGACATTCCCAGTTACCAATTCTATGTATCGTTCTGCTGATCGCCACAAATTAGTAGCATTTTGATACTGTTGATTTTTCATTGCTTGTGCAATAGAGGATGAGTAATATTGGACCGATTTTTCTTCCTTCTTATCCAATAACGATAAAGCAAATAAGTATGGTCCCCAAGTGTTAACATAGTCATAAGGTGATATCCATGAATCTCCAAGGGCTACTCCATGAAAATTGCATTGAATACTATTGGAAGCAATAGCCTTTTTCAATTGGATTGCAAATGCTACAGTCATCTTTCCACCATACGACTCAGCAAAAATATAGAATGGTACTTTTCTCATTTTAGGAATTTGATTGAATATAACTTTGATAGCTACGACGAGATCGGAAGCAATTTGATCCACATCGGTGGTATACAAGGAGGAATTATCAACGTAACTCCATCCAGTACCTACAGGATTATCTATAAACAATAAGTTGGCTCGCGATAGCCAAGTAGATTTCCTTGGCTTCAGATTAATATCTAACGGGCCAATTTCTGCAAAGTTACCAAATCCAGTGGACGATCCACCCGGACCACCTTGCAACCATAGGATTAAAGGCAACTGATCGCGTGAAGGTGTTGTCTTTGTTGAGCCATAAAACATGTAGAACATATGCGCTCCAGGTCGAACGGTGACATAATCCCAGCGTTCTCCTGGTACACCATTGATAGTAACATTGGTTACATTGGTTGGAGTTTGAGCCTTGTTGCCGCCGATGATACCGGTAGCAAAGAGAGTGATTAAGACTGCTATTAAAATTACTGCTATTACAAAAACCACGATAGCCGCATAGATTTTGGATGAGAATCGCTTTTTCTGGACAAATTCTAACGCCACTTTACCTCCATGTTGTGTTTCATCTAATAGTTCGTCTTCCATTTTTCTTTCCTTGTTGGTCACCAGTCAATATAAATATTTGATGATGTCGTCAAGCGTGGAGTTTTTTTTTTTGAATTGGAGTAGGCAGATTCAACTTGAAGGATAAATTTTGTCAAGTTTTTCAATACCGACTGTGTTGTTTATATAAAAGATCGATTACCCCCACGAAAGCCCAGTACTGTCAGTAGAAAATTCTCGATAGTAAACTTTAACAATCGATTTGAGAAGATTTCAAAACCGGGTTGGAATCAGCCAAGGCGCTTTTCTACACTGTGTGTCAGCCCTTGTGAATGTTGACAATTTGTCAATTCTGCAAGATTTCTAATCATCAACAATGTCGTTTATAGACGTATTATAAGATAGATTGTCTTACGATGACTCAGTTGATTGAAAACTGTTGATAGCCAACATCAATGGTTGATTTGGTAAGAGTTTAATACTGAGCTAGAATCAGTGGAGTGGTTGTTCTATGCTGACCGTCCGCTTTTATGAATGTTGACAATTAATTGAAGATTTTGGTATCACCAACAATGCTACTTATACACGTAAAAGATTGATTACCATGCGCTAACTCTGTTGGTGGAAAAGTATAGATAGCCAGCTTCAATAGTTGATTTAGCAAGATCAAAATATGGAGTTGGAATGAGCCAAGTCGTTTTTCCACACCGCTTGTCCACCCTAATGAACGTTAACAATTGGTTAAAGATTTGGAATCACCAGCAATGTTGTTTATATAAACGCACAAGATCGATGAACTTGCGATAACTGCGTAGGTAGAAAACTGTGGATAATCAACTTCAATCGTTCATTGGACGAGATCGAAACTGTCAGTTGAAATCAGCCATGTCGCTTTTCCTACGCTGGCTGTCAACTTTGATGGAAATTCACAATTCGTCTACAATATTTGTTGTTGCAGTCATCAATTGATGATTTACAATTTGTAGAATCAAGTATGAGAGTGATTGCAGTCTAGCGCCATACAATGACAAAGGTTGAACCGAGCAATGGGCTGACACTGGGCAACCGTAACATCGACCAGGCAACCAGTAAGACAAAAGAAACTAAAGTGGAGAACAATAGCAATAGGAACTTCCTTTGGAGATCTATTGTCGTCATGAAATAGCGAGTTGTGATTGACTGACGCGTCTTCCACACCCATCATACCGGACTGAGTCGAACTGTAGGAAGAGTCAGCCAGCTTGTTCGAGTGGTATCCATTCTAGCGTTGGATACATACTGTACAGTACAGTACACAGTACACTGGCTACTGACTGCGCTATCAACGACTTCTTGCAATACTGTATCAAGAGTGTGTGTGCCGTGCCATTGGACAATGGACAGTACTGTACACTGTACAGTGTACAGTACTGTACTGCCTACTGTGTCTGTGTTCTACTGTACACTGTACAGCAGAATATACTGTATATACAATCGATCACATTCCGCTCACGTGACTCCTTCACCACGACAGGAAATATAGCATTAACGGTAAAAGATGGGCAAATGTCCTTGATCCTACACTATAGTACAGTATGTAAAATTATGGACGATTTTATTTCAATTGAAATGTCCTTGATCCATTAGTACAGTAAAGTATACGCGTATATAGTCATATGTCATATATAGGTAGAACTGACGACGATTTTATTCCAATTGAAATCACATTCAGCTCTTGTGATTCCTTAATAACTGCATGAAATACAGCATTAACGGTAAAAGACGGGCAAATGTCCTTGATCCTACAGCATAGTACAGTATACTGTACGCGTATATGTGTAAAATTATGGACGATTTTATTTCAATTGAAATGTCCTTGATCCATAGTGCAGTATACGCGTATATATGTAGAACTGAATACGATTATATTCCAGTTTAAATGACATTCAGCTCTGATCATTCCTTAATAATTGCATGAAATACAGCATTAACGGTAAAAGATGGGCAAATGTCCTTGATCCTACAGTATAGTACAGTATACTGTACGTGTATATGTGTAAAATTATGGACGATTTTATTTCAATTGAAATGTCCTTGATCCATAGTACAGTATACGCGTATATAGTCATATGTCATATATAGGTAGAATTGACGACGATTTTATTCCAATTGAAATTACATTCAGCTCTTGTGATTCCTTAATAACTGCATGAATTAGGGCATTAACTGTAAAAGGTAGGCAAAAGTCCTAATTTTATTAATCCTTAATCCTATAGTACAGTATACGCGTACATAAGCAATATTCAGTAGGATTTTACTTCAATATTTCAAGCGCACTCATGACCATTGGTCTAAGACCTAATAAATCATCTACAGCACTAATGTATGGCTCAGGAAGTGAACATCGGCCCCAGTATTACAGTAGCTGTTGTTGGTTCCTGACAGTTAGAATTAATTGAGACATATTGTAGATACTATATGTTATGTATAATGATGAATGAATCAACCGCATACTAGTGGTAAATACAGTATAGAAATTACTAAGCTAATGAAAACTTACACAATCACAAGCTTTGACACATCGGATAGTAAAGGCATACTGAAGATAAAACCATAAACTACTAGATACATCGATGTACAGTATATCCAGTAGTCCATGATAAAACATTCCATACAATCATGATTTCCTACATAAATGCATTAATGTCAAAGTTAATGCAGCAGTATAATTATGATCCATTGCATGGATACCCTCGTAAACGTTGAACTCTCTCCTAGTTGTTTGATTGTAGGACTTACGATATATGAAATGAAGACAATATTTTACTTCAGAAAATCGAGTGCATCACCATTCTTCTTACTAGGCCACATGTCAGTAATAGGATCTAAATGGCCGGACTCGTGTACTGGAAATTCGTATATTTAATCCCTACTTTTGAAAAATACCTAATAAACTAGCGGTCAGCAATGTCTTTCCAATGGAAATACCAATCTTCCTGTTTTAAAAAAGGACATGACTACTTGCATATATACTACACCTACTCAAGTCATCTACATTGAGCGATTGATTTAGTTGATGCTATATTTAATAAGTCAACCGAAAATCGGCAATGATACACTTTCAGATTATCAAAGACTTCAAAAAGACGCTACAATTTCTGACTATCATTAAAATAAATTTTCATCATCTTTTATAAAATAAACTGAATATTTTCGACTATGATATAAACTAGCTGACAAGCGAATCGGTAAAACCGTTACGAGAACTCTATCAACAAATTAGAAACAATTTAATGCGATACAGTGTACACATATTCACTCAATCATTAATCAGAAATGACATGATACCGACTGCATGCGTTGACTGCACGTATAAATGTAAAGTGCAGTCAAAACGATATTCTAACAATTTTGACTCACTCTTGATTACGAAAAGACTGCAGAGTACTAAAAGTACACCTTAATTCATATGCTTTGCGCCAATAACTCTTTCCAACATCTCTAATGCTACCGGCCCATTATCAGCAGGCACCATATGACCAGCTTTCATTATCCAATAAAATGACAAATTTTTGTAAGATTTATAAAATGCGCCTGTTTCACGAGATCCAGAAGCGTATATCGGAACTCTTTTGCTCTTTTTATATTGACTGAGATACTTCCACTTTAACTTATTGACCCACCTTTCGGTACCTAAAGTATCAACAATAAGATCAAGTTGTCCGGTGTAGACAGTAACTGATACACCCATATCTAATAATTTATCAACATCATCAATGACAGGTTTCATAAATTCAACCGATTGATATTGAAAGACTGGTCCTGATTGACCACCCCAAGTTACATTCTTTGGAATAATTCTAAGCTTCTTACGAATAGGGCCATTCATTAGCTGAGCTAGGGTAAGGGTATTCATTTCACTTAAAATCCGGCATGCAGTATCATGGGCAGCACAGGTTAACCCATTGCTTGATGGTTGTGTCAAGATATTATAAAAATTGACATTGTTGGTCAAGTTTTCGACAACATTTTCCATCTGACTCCATAGATTTGTTGCTTTAGCATATTTCTTGTTTGAAAGAGCAGTCCTTATGTTATTGGCATAGCTTTGAATTTGTGCTGCACCTTCAGTATCAACCAATGATGTAGACAATAAATAAGGGCCCCAAGTATCAACCGAATCCTGTGGTGATATCCAAGAGTCCCCAAGGGCAACACCACGAAAATCGACAGAAATTTCTTTGGACATGATTGCCTTTTTCAGAGCAACACCAAAAGCAGCAGTCATTTTACCTCCGTAAGATTCACAGAAGATATAAAATGGGATTTTACGAAAGGCTGGAATAGTCTTTAAAAATGCTTTAAACATGGTGACCAAATCGTTAGCAATTTGTGTCACGTTGGTGCAATAAGCAGAAGGTTTATCGACATAACTAAATCCAGCACCGACAGGATTGTCAACAAATAAGAGATTTGCTTTTTGTAGCCAAGTAGTATTTCTTGGTTTCAATTGGACTGTTAACGGTCCAATCTCCAGAAAATTACCAAAACCAGTCGATGAGCCACCTGGACCACCTTGTAACCACATTACAAGTGGTGCTTGATCGCGCCGTTGTTGACTAGCACCATAAAACCACCAAAACATGTGAGCATTTTTACGAACATCAACATAGCCCCATTTTTGCTTGGGGATTTTAGAACTGCTGGCAGTGGCCCACTGAACACCGCATAAAAGTAATCCAAGAATAATAATCCAACGCATCCTAACCTGTGTCAAACGACAACGTCTTCTAAAGGATAGTTATAAGATTGATTCAACTTACTCCAATTTCAATCTTCCAATCTCGATGGAAAATCAGACTGCAAGATTGGGATATGAGATCAATTTGTTTACCTGTCAGCAGTGTGGGTAAAACTCCAAATCACATACAGTGACTGCAGCAACACTGCATGTATCGGTAGTGCTACCCGTACAGTACTGCGAAAGCACAGCTATTAGTATCGTCAGCAATATGCTTACTGGTATTGTATAGCGAAAGCCTAAGCTACAGTACGCTCTATCCCATAGGTAAGAAAAAGTTTTCGATTTTTTTCTTCAATTTCACCGCTCTTTTACGACTAGTTTAGAACAGTACCCAATATCAACGCATTTATACTACTATTCAGTCCTACTGAATCCTGACAACTTGCTGACTAAATCAAAATCGCATTTGCACATTCTGATTGTGGCAGAAAGAAAAAGCCCAAAGAAACCATCAGCATTCGGCCTAACTATCAATATTTTACGACTAGATAGTCCAGCATGATTCTTTGCAGATCAACTTAGCTGAATATAAATTATTGCTGTTGTAGATAAGATATCGATTGTAAGCATTAGGAATAGAATGGCTGGTAATACAGGTGAATTACTAGAATTTGATCGACAAATCTTCTTGGATCTTTTGAATGAAGATGGTTTAGTTATCATGGCCAAGTAAGTGAAATGACTATTAGCAAATGTTTGGCATAAGCATTGCAATAGCCTTCTTTGAGCCATACCAATATATGCTACAACTGCTATTATTTTCCATGAATTTTATCTTTGAAAAATGGGAAATGATTTTGTAACAGAAGATGAAATTATTCATTCATTACATCCCTTAATTGATTGACATCTATTTCGGTAAACAAATTAGTTACCAGCTAAAATTCAAGAATAGATTGATTGCAATTGACCACTCCGATATCGTATTGCTGTACGGTATATTCAAATAGTATCTACATTCATGGTGTAATATGACTACAGCTTTTAAAACCGCCGTGTAGATTGGTATAATTATTTGAAGATTACGTTCTAATTCGACTGTCACTTAAAGATAAGTACAGTCGTTTTGATCAGACATGCATAATGCTCCTTGATAATTATAATACGAGTGGTTCTGCATCGACAGTAAATAATCGATTTCATTGGAAAGTAGATATAACTACATCATTAATAAGGACTGGAGTTATGACTAGTTGAAAATTATAACGCTACACTATATCCTCGAAGAATCAATCAAATACTATGGAATATTTAGAAATGTCCAGTATGGTTTTAATCCGCGTATATGGCTAACCTTTTACTAAACACTTGATGTTTTGTTTATACAGCGAAGACAACCGTAATAACTTTCTTATATTAGATGTAACTGGAAAGATACTAGATCTACAAGAACTTTTATTTTAAGCTAAATTCTACGTTATATAACATAACTAAAATAGCGCCATAATTTCGGTCTTACTAGAATTACTTCTATCTTCAAAGATCACATCAGGAGGGGATTTTTGTTACAACTAAACGCTTTCAGCTGTGTTAATACATTGACTGAAATCTAAGTTTGTAACATACTATATACGTAAACCTTGTAAAACAACCTTACTTTCATAGAACTTTATGCTGAAGGCTACTTTATTGTATTGCATTGGAAATGTTATTGATCGTTATTGCATTTGTGGCTACATTCAGTGATTCAAGACTCAACATATAGTACATTACCATACTAATCTTTTATATTCAGCTTCTCCACTAATCATCGAACGATACAAATTAATTATATTTCGCTAATCTTTTTTTCTTATAATTTATTATTGTCGTTAGAGGCCTTGGAGTTGACAGAATGATGCTCAATTTTTTGAAATTGTATTGCAGTCCTAAGTCATTTGTACTGGTATTAAATACTTCTAATTATCAAGAGGTTATTATTCCACTTAATCAATCTCTTTGGATAATTTTCATACCGTAGTTTTTATGTACGATATAGTATATACTGTAAGCAATATAAGCGTAATTAATAACACCTTCATATTATAAATTAACATTTTGGAATTTATCCGTATGTCAAAGGAATATTTCATCGAGGAATTGAAAGCACACAATGTAGATCTTATACCCAAAATTATTACTAGCCAGTATTCATCTATTGAAAGGTGAGCTAAAAATTACCAATGATATCACATCTTGGCATTATGGAAATCGAAAATTTCATAATCATGTAGTTGGAATGAGATTAAAATGTTGGCAGACCTTACCTTGACCTAAGCTATCTTCTATACCTCGTACTGTAGTACCTACTATTACTTTACAATCTATAAAAATAGATGAGCGAAATATGTATCTTTAAGCTAGTATCTTCTAGCGACATATTACGTATTAGATGGCGATACCTAATCCCCGAAAAAACTTATTAAAACCAGGGAAGAAATCTATCTACAAGGTGGTGTTTTGTTTGTGACACCTCGAATTTTGGTTGTCGATATGTTATCGAAGAGAGTCCCAATTCACCTTATCAACGGCATCATTGTTGCAAAGGCTCACAAGTTAGTTAGCTATCCAAATTCATGAAATTGATCATTTTTGTTACCAATATACGAGCAAAGCTTATTTTACCTACAATGTAGAATGATAGAGTCTTACCAAGAAGCTTTCATTACAAGACTATATCGGCAAAATAACAAAGTAATCGAATAACTAATTTTCTATTACTGACCTGTACTTAATCAAAATGTCTTGAGCTGTGAAATTTTTAAACAATTTCTCAATATTTTAGAACGGATTTGTCAAAGCATTCTCTGATGCTCCCTCAACGTTCACTTCTGGTTTCTCTCAAGTTGAAAAAGTAATGAAAAATCTTTTTGTCAGGAAATTATTTCTTTGGCCAAGGTATGATAATTTTCACGGAGTTTATTAATTCTGAGATAATTCTAATGTACTATATTTTGTAACATTATCGATAAGATTTCATGCTACGGTTACAGGCTGCTTGGAGAAACATAAGGTAAAATAATTCAGACGACAATGTAAAAGCAATTTTCTCGGGAAAGCTTTAATTTCCTTACTACTATTAAATTTATCCGCAGGTTGATGTAGTGGAATTGTTGATACCAATGACAAAGCACATGGTTACAATTCAAACCGCGATCATAGATATTATCTATACGTGTTTGAAAGAACTGAAAAAGGGCAATCCATCGGTAAATTATTACTCCCATTAATTAAGCACATGTTAAATACAATGTAATTACACATTCTCGATTTGAAAGTTATGATGTAACGGTAAACAAAGTGCAATTGATATGTAGTTAGATACATCGGATTTGGTGGTTGAGAATGCGATGAGCCAAGCGTTCGATAATATAGTAAAAGTACAACTTGAGCCTATATGGCACCAGTTGGTGAGAAGGAAAAAATAATATAATTGGCAAAATTTAATTTGTACTAATAATGTGAAAATAATATTGATAGAGTGGAAAGACCAAGCAATTGATAGATGATTTGAAGATGCTGCGCTTGCTAATCTTGTTTGTATTTTTAGATTAATAAGTAATTAATAGTTTCATTTTTGTTTAGCGCTAGTATTCACTAATACTTGATTTTAGATTCTTGACACAGTACGATTGCATTACATTTCTGAATTATTTGGAATCTGTCAGGTTAACTAACAGTTACCTAATAATATAATTCGTACTTAAAAATGATTGCACATGGTAATATTTTTAAGATGAAAATATATTTTCTTATGATGTTATGAACTTTCGTAGAACAAACGGAACACGACTGAATAAGTATTCACTTTGGCTATTTCTAGATTCGACGAACGTATTGTTTACAGTAAGTAGACCGTCCTTCGTGGATTTGTATGGAATATATACACTTAAATCAGATTCAATATATTTAATATCTACTATGTTTCCAGCATGCTCGAAAGCGTGTTTTTGGTGACAGTACCGTAGCGACTGAAAACTCGAAGACAAGGTAATTATAGATTTCAGGGCATAAATAAATAAGCTGAAATCACATTGTCTAATAAAATTATGTATTACGAAAAGGGCGGAATTTATAGAATCAGATCAGTTAGGTATGATTTCAGTTTATCTACCATTTGGTCTCTCATACCACATACACCTGATTAGCATAATCTGATAATTTTATTACTATATACATTATCTTGCTAATATTATGCAATCTTAAAACTTAGATACTCTTCTTGAACCAAATCCAAAATGGAGTCTGCTGACTAAAATTCTGGAAGAAATTAAGGATATGGATTGTAACTGTTAGTACAAGATGATAAAATTTTGGAAGGCAGTCATTATTTGATGTTTTCTATGATCCTTGCGTACGCAGTCTTGAAAATACTAAGTTGCAGTTTTTACTTCGTTAAATAATAGCTGAAGAAAAACGGGTATTGATATGTGCTTTAGACGAAAGAACATGTTATCAGATTAAAAATGTAAGATCTGTTAGATTGATAGAGCAGTTCACGTTGAAAGTCACTTTAATATCTGCATTAACGGTTGATTTGTTAAACGTAACTGCATTCAGTATCTCATTCATGGAGAACGTGAGGCTCTTATGCGGAATTTTAACAGAACCAGATCAGAAAAAAATAAAATATCCCTTGCAGATGGTAAGGAATCACGGTATTTTATTTGCTAATGAGATTGCTATAACTCGATTTCAAGTGGAAAATGCATCGTTAATGATTTGATATGCTATCGTATAAAACTAAAATTATTTTATATTTAACAAATAATAGGTACGGGGAATGAAAATCGTAACGCAGAAATCTCGGCTAGTTCAAGCTCTAAGGCATGACTTTTATGTCCATCTACACGTATACAGTCGGTATAGAGATATGTCATTAACCGTAATTGTAATATCAACCTTTAGATTTCACCTATTATGGTTAAACTCTCAAAAAAATCGAAAGAAAAACGTAAAAGTAATGAGGCAGAAAATCAGGAAGAGACTAGCAAAAAGAAGAGCAAAACAGGTTTGTTGTATAGCTTATGACCCAAACGGCTTTCTATGCAAAGAATGCACAAGTATATCTCTTCTAATCTTGATCTTCTAGATGCTATTCACTTAAATCCTGAGGAAATTGAAGGTCTTCCTCTAAACGCTATTACCATTCACCCGTTACATGGCTGCAGGTACGATCATATGATGGAATGAACATTACGGACATTTAAAATAAGTATATTTTCGTTTTTTTCAGTGATCCATACAGTCTTACACGGGTTCTGACTTCACTTAATCCACGCTTTGTCATCTTGTATGATCCAGAGCTTGTCTTTGTACGACAATTAGAAGTGAGTAGTAGTCAACTAATAACATTATTCGTGAGACGACTGGTTAAGTACGCTAAATTGCGGGTTCTGTGGATTTAATCATCTGATATAAAGGTATTTAAAGCATCACGGCCGGGTCAGCAACTTCGAGTATATTTCACGATGTATTCATCATCAGCCGAAGAGCAGGTAATTTTAAATCTTATAGCCTTGTGGCTGTGATAGGAATGTGATTAATTTGTGCATGGGTCAAAAGTTGAAGAAGTGCCTATATTTTTATTTATCATACTCATATGTGCTTGTTTAGAAATATCTAACGGCATTAAGGAAAGAAAAAGAAGCATTTGAGACTTTAATTCGTGAAAAAGCGGTAAATTAAAAACATAATATATACCGTATTTTAATTCTGAATAGTAACAAATTATACGCGATTTCATATAACATCGTGAAAGTAAATGCAGTACGATCGAACGTAGGCAATGGTTATACCTGAAGAAAGGGAAGGTAAATCCGACAGCTGTCAGCAATTTTCTTGCGACATCCAATCGATAGCTATGAATGTTGACACAAGGATAGCAGGCGGTAGAAGTCAAGTTAATCGGAATAGGAAGGTTATTTATCTAGTCTTTTAATGCAAGTGCAGTTAATGAGATGAAAAGTGTTGTTATATATCATTTATGACAATTTTCTCTAATTTTAATATAGATTATTGTTGATGTACGTGAATTTCGAAGTGAGCTGCCATCTTTAATTCACAAGAGAGGAATTGACATAGTACCTATTACTTTAAAGGTAGCCCAAATATCTTCTATATAATATTTTAATTAAAGAATATTCATATTCTTAAACCAAATTGACGAATGATGGCTATGTTAACTAGATTGGAGATTATATATTATCTCCAGATATGTGTGTGGAAAGAAAGAGTTTAAGTGACTTGATTGGTTCTTTAAATAGTGGTCGTTTGTAAGTAAGATTCATATTTTAATCTTTCGTACCACTTTTACTAACCTCTTCTTCTATACGGCATTTATTTTCTTATCTTAAGATATAACCAAGTCGTTGCAATGACCAGATATTATCAACGTCCAATATTGTTGATAGAGTTTGTTAAAAATAAACCTTTCGTTCTTGAATCTAAGCGCTTTCACCCGGGTGAGATTTCCTTTCAAGACCTTACTTCCAAAGTTGCTCTTTTGACATTACAGTTTCCAAAAGTAAGTGTATAACTTAGATGTGAACATTAAATTATGTAACCCTATTGTTCCTTGAGCGTAGATGTGTATAACTACTATTTTTGATAAAACTAGTTAAGATTGCTATGGTGTGACAGTCCACACTCTACTGCCGAGCTATTTGAACAATTAAAGGTTAGTTCATCGTTTTATTTCACACAATATGATCAAGCGAAATAACTATGAGATACCTTATTTTGCACAAGTTAGGCTAGGTGTATTTATATTTAATAGGATAACTTTATTATGCGATTGCTAAATACTATAGTTAAATCATGATGAGCCTGACCCCAATTATGCTAGTGAAGTTGGAGATGAAGAAAATGCAGTTGTCCAATATGATATGTATACACCTAAAACGCAAGACTTTGTTTTAAAACTTCCAGGAATATCCATAAAAAACTATAGGTAATGCAATGTATAAATTTTTAGCGCAGGATAGTTATTTTACTACAACTCATGACGGACTTTGTGCTATTTTATACCACTAAAAGTAAAAAGTTTTGGTTAATATTGACCATACGTTGTAGATCTATTATGAATAATATAAAAGATTTTCAAGAGCTACGAACTGCAAATAAGGAACGTCTCATTGAGCTGTTAGGCAACACAAACGTTGGAAAAAATCTTTGGGAGTTTATACATTCTGTTAATCAGAAAGTATCTGCAACTTCTACTGTATCAAGAAAGAAGTGATGATGGATAACCTATAAAATTTAGTTTATATAATCAAATATAATGTATAACGTGTTCTATACATAGCTACCTGTAAATATATGAGTATTTACAAGTTATTATTAGTGATACTGTGAATAGACAGTTATTACTCCATCCAAAATAAAATTGTATGATAGAAGTTATTGTAACTTGTTGCTATTCTTACAATATATCCTTTATTAGCGATGCTAATTTTATTTTAGCAAGTTATATAAAACAATGGATTATTTTGAAAGAATTCATTTTTTTGCTGAGGAATAGTAGATATGACGGATTGATTATCAAATTAAGTCTACTAAAATAAGTGGACACGATATCAAGCACTATTTTAGTAAATATCTGTCACACCTACGCTAATGAAAAACGCCTCTTACTAACTTTAAGAGATGAGATTTGCTATATCATCAAATAGGCCAGTTCCAACGACCGAATACTACATTATAGTTATAGCGTCATTGACGGTGTAGACGAGGTATTAGAGAATTGCTACTATTTATTACCGAAAGAATCTTGACAACCAAGATTATAGTCTTGATAATTCAATAATAAAATCATCGATATCTATAATTCTACAAAATGTAGAGTTCGAAAATTCCTAACAAAATATTTCGACTCAACATATGATGATTGACCACTTGTACAGTATTGGTTATACAGGGCTCAATATGCAATTATACAGTCACTTATTATACTATATATTGTACTTATTCAATGATGAATGATGATATGGGTAAGTACAGCATAAAGTGCGATTGCAATCTAGTATGTACGAATAATAATAATAGTTAATGTAGTAATATATTTGTGGCTATTGCGGACATTACGTACGTACTTAGTAGGGTACCACAACTGAATTTCACATAATATTCAATAGCTAATAATTTGATGTAGGCAATTTATAGTTTTATATAGAATTTCAATCAATAAGTTCAACTACCGTTCATCAAAAATTTTATACAAAACAATACAATGGGCTAAGACACATCGGTAGCCTCAACCATCAGGAAATATCAAAATAATATGTATAGCAAGAGAGCTTATCAGCTGGGTTCATATTTCCTAGTTCAGTCTTCATTTAAAACGGCAAAATCCAATCAATATTCTTAACTACTACATCTTCTTTCATACTTTCTGATTAAATTTCACCTAATGTGAACTAGGGATAAGATCATCAAATCGCACTTAAATTTTATCCTAATAAACGAAACAAGTATGCATGTGACCGCTCAAAGTTTAATCATCAGCTACTCTAGATCCCCATAGCGATTAAGTAAAATGTTATAAATTTTCATGGAATCAAAGGATTTCTCTTACAAATTCATCTAGAGTCTACGATCCTAATGTCCTTAATTCGTTAATACTAACCATCGGGATAATCCTTACAAAATAACACATATCGTTGCAAACGATACCGTATCTCGAAAATAATGATCACAAAAATACATTATACCTACAATATATCAATCACTTATTTAAAAGCATTTATAATACTTAGTACATTTACAAGCAATTATTATTTATTATCAACTTATCTATAAAGAGTAATTTTATGCTCTTCATTACTGTTGTAAACGTATTTTATAATATTCTCTCAATTTTAAAATTTTGCCTCCGTTATCCAATATCGGAGCATTGCAAAAACCCCTCATTTGATAAAGTGTTATTTAATTTGGTTAACATTATACTGGACGAAATGGCTTAATTCTGCAATTTAAGCAAGTTGATATAGTTAAGTAAATGGACTAGGCAATCGACCAAAACAATTGTGCGTAAAAATAGTATTCAGTTCGTACGTTTCTTGTAAAGATATTCAATTGTTAAATTTAATTTAAAGATTCTGCATAAGTAGTTGTTGGACTGCAAGCATTAGAATGATCATGATAACGTAATTTTGAATGAGTTCTAAAACATGTAATGTGGCCCTCATACTTGACTTGATTATAATAAATCTTTTCTATGCTGCAAATATAACTTTACCTTACTGCAGTCATAACTATCGAGGAATGATAATGAAATTTTGAGCTATTTCTGATACATAGAAGTGGCTTGTTTAAGCTTACTCTGATATTTATAGACATTTTCGAGATTGTTATATGTTGTAGCGATATCTGGATGATTATGATCAAGGACGGATGATTGAATTTCTAGTGACTTCTTGTACATAGATATGGCCTCTCCATACTTGCTTTGATCACAATACACAGATCCCATGTTGTTATAAATTGCAGCGATATCAAGATGATTATGATCGAGGACTGATAATCGAATTTTGAGCGATTGCTGAAACATAGTTATAGCCTCTTCATATTTACCCTGATCATAATAGCTATTTCCCATATTGTTATATGATGCAGCAATATCGGGATGATTAGAATTAAGGACTGCTAATCGAATTTTGAGTGACTTCTCATGCATAGAAATGGCCTCCTCATATTTATGCTGATGAGAATATACAATTCCCATATTGTTATATGTTGTAGCAATATTGGGGTGATTGTCACCAAGGGCTAGCAATTGAATTTTAAGTGATTTCTCGTACATAGCGATTGCCTTTTCATATTTAGCTTGATTTCTATATGCAGCTCCTATGTTGTTATATAAATTAATAACTTCAAAATGATTGCGATCTAGAACTGACAATTGGATTTCCAGTGACATTTCATACATAGAAATAGCTTCTTCATGCTTACTTTGATGAGAATAGACATTTCCCATATTGTTATATGACGCTGCAATATCTAAATGATTGTGATCAAGGACTGATAATCGAATTTTAAGTGATTTCTTATGCATAGAAATAGCTTCTTCATACTTGCATTGCTCATCATAGACGGTTCCTATATTGTTATACAATTTTGCAATATCAGGATGATTGTGACCAAGAATTGACAATTGAATTTCAAGTGATTTATTATACATGGGAATAGCCTCTTCGTGTCTGCCTTGAAGAGAATAGATAGTGCCAAGATTTCCATATGATACAGCAATATCAGAGTGATTATGACCAAACACTGACAGTTTAATTTTAAGTGATTTTTTATACATAGAAATAGCTTCTTCATACTTGTTTTGAGCGTTATACATAGCTCCCAAGTTATTATATGATGTAGCAATATCGGGATGATTATGACTAAAGGCCGACAATTGAATTTTAAGAGATTTTTTGTACATAGAAATCGCCTCTTCATACTTACATTGAGCACCATGTACAGCTCCTATGTTATTATACAATTTAGCAATATCAGTATGATTACAGCCAAGGACAGATAATCGAATTTTGAGCGAGTTCTCATATATAGAAATAGCCTCTCCATGTTTATTCTGATTAAAGTAGGCATTTCCTAGATTGTCATATGATTTTGCGACATCGGAATGATTGTAACCAAGGACAGATAACTGAATTTTGAGCGATTCTTTATACATAGAAACAGCCTTTTCATATTTGCCCTGATCATGGTAGACTGCTCCTATATTGGTGTATAATTTGGCGATAACGGGATGATTGCAATCAAGGACTGATAATTGAATTTTGAGTGAATTTTCATACATATTAATAGCTTCTTCCTGCTTGCCCTTCTTCATGTAAATGTTTCCCATATTGTTGCATGATGCGGCAACATCTGGATGATTGTGATCTAGGGCAATCAGTCGAATTTTAAGCGATTTTTCAAACATGGATAGAGCTTCGTCGTGTTTGCCCTGATCATCATATACGACTCCTATGTTACTATATAATTTAGCAACGTCGATATGCATATGACCAAAGACTGATAAATGAATTTTAAGTGATTTCTCATAAGTAGAAATAGCTTCTTCATGCTTACTCTGACGAAAATAAATGTTTGCTATATTATTATATGATTTGGCAACATCGATATGTTTATGGCCCACGACCAATAATTCAATTTTGAGTGCATTGTTATACATAGAAAGAGCTTCCTCGTATTTACTCTGGTGAGAATACGCGGATCCCATGTTATTGTATAATTTAGCAATATTAGGATGATTGCAACCAAGGATTGATAATTGAACTTTGAGCGACTTTTCAAACATAGTCATAGCTTTTTCATGCTTTCCTTGATCCATATAAACATTTCCCAAGTTGTTATATGATATAGCAACATCAAGATGGTCATAGCCAAGGACTGATAATCGAATTTTAAGTGATTTTTCATACATCGAAATAGCTTCTTCATATTTGCATTGATTAAAATAGCTATTTCCCATGTTATTATATGATATTGCAACATGTGGATGATTAGGACCAAGAATTGATAATTCAATTTTCAGTGATTTCTCAAACATACAAATAGCTTCTTCATACTTGCCCTGATTCCAATAAACATTTCCCATGTTGTTGTATGATTTAGCTACATCGTGATGATTGTTATTGAGGACTGACAATCGAATTTCAAGTGACTTCTCGTACATAAGAAGAGCGTCTTCATACTTGCTCTGATTAAAATTAACAATTCCCATATTGTTATACGATATAGCAATATCGGGATGATTATAACCGAATACAGATAATCGAATTTTAAGCGACACCTTATACATAGCAGTAGCCTTTTCATAATTGCCCTGATCATCATAAACACATCCTATATCGTTATAGGATTGTGCAACATCAGGATGATTATGATCAATAACTGATAATCGAATTTTTAACGACTTCTTAAGCATAGAGATTGCAAGCTCATACTTGTTTTGATGAGAATAGACGTTCCCCATGTTGTTATAGGATGTTGCAATGTCGGGATGATTATGACCAAGGACTGATAATCGAATTCTAAGCGACTTTTCATACATAGAACTAGCTTCTTTATGCTTGCCCTGTGCATCATATACAACTCCTAGGTCGTTATATGATTTCGCAGTATCAGGATGATTGTAATCAAGCACAGATAATTGAATTTTGAGTGATTTCTCATATATCGAAATAGCATCTTGATACTTGCTCTGATGGTAATAGACATTTCCCATTTTATTATATGATTTAGCAATATCGGGATGATTGTGACCAAAGACAGCCACTCCAACTTTGAGTGATTTCTCATACTTCGATATCGCCTCTTCGTACTTGCCTTGTGCGTCATGTACCATTCCCATGTCGCTATACGATTTCGCAATATCAGGATGACTATGATTAAGGACTAATAACTGAATTTTAAGCGATTTTTCGTACATCGAAATAGCATTTTGATACTTGCCTTGATGATAATAGACATTCCCCATGTTAGTATATAATCTGGCAACATCGGGATGATCGTGATCAAAGACTGACAATCGAATTTTGAGTGATTTCTCGTATTTAGATATAGCCTCTTCGTAATTACCCTGTGCATCATATACTATTCCCATATCGTTAAATGATTTCGCAATATCAGAATGATTATGATTAAGGACTGATAACTGGATTTTAAGTGACTTCTCATACATAGAAATAGCATCCTGATACTTGCCCTGATGATAATAGACGTTTCCGATGCCATTATAGGATGCAGCAACATCGGAATGATTATCATCCAGCCCTGATAATCGAATTTTCAGCGATATCTCATGCATATATAGAGCCTTATCATATCTACCTTGCGCATTGTAAATAGTCCCTATATCTTCATAGGAATCGGCAATACGTAGATCATCTTGTTCTAAGCAGCTTGATTTTATATCCAGTGACTTGGTATAATCATCCAATGCCTCATTCCAATTTCCTCTTATTCGTTTAATATCGCCTTGTCTATCTAAACAGCGGGCAGTCAAGATTTCTATATGCATCTTTTCGGCTATTTGTCGTGCTTTTTCGTTGACTTCTTTGGCTTTTATCCATTCGTTTCGTTTCATGTATATACTGCTAACTAGAAGATATATATCATATTGAAATCGATCTAGATCAATGTTACTCTTAGGTAATCGTTGAATTTTTTCCAAGATTTGTATACAATAACATATCACTCCATTAAGGTTACCGGATTGGTAATTTTCTATAGCCTTTTCGTACATAGGCGTTATTTGTCCAGGAATAGATTTAATAACTGGAAAATCCATTTATTAAGTCAGGAATGATATCGATTGATTAGATATCGAATTGTGTTTAATGAACATCCAATTCAGTCCGTAGCTGTCAGTGTGTGTAAAATTCAACATCGGAGCTATTAATTCTTTACTTATCCTATGGATTTAATCGCATGTTTAAGCCTATCATCAAAGAACTTTCCTAGCTACGTCATTTTATCGGTCCACGTAATTTTTAATCGTCGATCAAAGTTCGAAGTTTCCTCTCAATTTATACTATATCAACAATACAATCAGAGAAAAATAGGGAAAACTATTATGTAATCCACAATTCTAACCCAGTTTAGATATTTTTCATCGCAAAATCAAGGCATTATTCTAGTTTATCGTACATTTTACATTTATACTTGTATACGTAGCAATTGGATTAATCTGTTTTTGTTTATTTAATTCTATGTCTTGAGATGTATAGCCAGACCAAAGCTATTTAGATACTATGCTTTACGTCTCGACGATTCGGCATGATATGTCTCAATGCTTAACGGTTTGCTGACATGAATAAGTAGAATAATTATCTGTGTCGACAATTGACTCCAAGAAAAAATAGCAACTGGACTACATGTCCACCCAACCAGTCAATGATTTCATGCATATGTTAATAGCCGTAAACAATATGGAGCAGTAGTATAGGTAGCAGCGGAGATGAATAAAGATGAACAAATGGCCACTAAGTAGGACAACTCTAATACTATAATTAATATTAGTAAAAAAATACGATGGATTCTACTCGATTGATCTAATAATATAGGCATTTCCACCTATCTTGCAGGAACTTTGATCATCAAATCTAAATTTAAGCAAATATTGTTAACAAAGAGCGCTACAGAGCTTGCTAGCCGATTAATAATACTGTATTGGCCATTATTACCATCAATTTTATAGATTTGATCCACATTAGTTATCTTGAACTAATACGTTTAGCTGAAATGATATTATAAAATCTAGCTCTATCAATCGTACCGCATTTTCATTATTTCAATAAATTTTAGCTATATATTGTGCCAGCTACCAATAGAGATTAAAACACAAGGATTCTCTTGCTTTAGAGTATCTGAAAAAAGAGAATGTATGTATGTTTGGTAGATATACTAGAGTACTAATATAGATTAGAAAGGCATAAATATTCTCGTGCTGCAGTGTATCTGTAAGACGAGAATGTACATATGCCTGGTAGATACCATTCTTTCATCTTAAGTAGTTTCCAATTCACGAGGCAGCTGATGAATTGGCTTAGTAAATTGACAAATTAAGAAGGACTTTCTATTTTTAACTCATATCAAAGTCTAACAGTCCATTATAAGCTTGCAAGGCGCTATTTATTATTATAATTAGTACTACATGTGGAGATATAAACAAAATAGTATGAATCACGGTAGACTATAAATGTATTATAGTAGATAACGAACTAATACGTGCAAAAGCAATCTATTAGAACTATCGAATACCTAACATTCTCCACCTCATAGAATATTCAGCTTAGACTTCAACATGACCTATAAGCATACGTTTAAACAATTTGTAATACGATATAGCCGCTAGAGATATTGTGATTTATTAATCATTAAATATTTTGCCTTACAGAAATGATTAACGTGAAAGATGAATTGCAAATTCTATGGAAGGAAATACTACTTGTTGTAGATCACTTCAATACGCAACGTAAACAAAACTATCAACATTGCTAAAGTACAGTAATAAAAAGCTTACAACGCAGTTGGTATACAGCTCCTAAGCTTAGTCACTTAAAAATATCGAATAATAATGGCTTACAATACAATGCAAGAACTTAAACTCAATAAACGCACACAAAAAAAGTTCAGATAATTCTGTATATACTAGCGACTTAGGTTACTTCCAGGAAAGAGGGTATCAATTAGTCTTCAGTAGTATTCCCTTCTAATGATAACCAATTTATCAATAACTCTAATAGACAGTACCTCATTTCATGCCATCAGCTAGTAGATATTGTAATATACTTGGAGAATGCGTAATTTATTGTCTAGTTATGCCTACCTTTGATCGTAATAAATTAAAGAAATTATGCATTTTCGGGCAAAAAGTTTTAGTATCATTTTCGTATCTTATTTTACATTCGCTTATCACTAACTAGATTTGTCACCAAGTCTATAATGTGTAAGTAATCCTGTAAACTTACTATAATACAGTTTATTTACTAATTCTAATCTAAGTTAGATATTCATAATATTGACTACTAGGATAATTCTAACAGAGTAGCAAATGCAAATATATGAAGGTACCGACTCTAAAGAAATACGATATTAACAGCAGTACGAACATGACTTATAAAGATTATCCACTCAAGCCATCCAAAATTAGTAATAAGTATAATCAATCTCGAATCTCATCATAGTAATGATATCATTAAGGAGACTTCTCTAAGTCATAGCTTGAATCCATTATGTGTTATTCAATATTACTCTTAGCCGATGATAACCAAACATAGTAATATAACGAGTAAACAAGTCAATTCCCATTCAGTAAATGGATTAAGATACTTTATCATAGCATGTGTTGGAAAAATACTTGACCTAAATTGTTCGGTTTACTGTAACCAATTCAGTATTGATTTTAATTTAATTTAAATGATGCCATCGTCGGTGTTGTTAAATCCTACAATATCAAAAATATTGATATTAAAATTTTTGCAATTTCTGATACATGCAATCGAAAGAGTTTCTTTGCGCTTACCTTGGTTATAGTAATGCTTTTCTAGATTATAATAAGATTATTCAATATGGAGATGATTGCGATCAAGAAATGGCGATGAAATTCCAAGTAAATTCTCGTACACAGAAACGGCCTCTTCGATCTTGCCCTGCTGATGATAGACTTGAGCTAGAATTTCCCTTATCACAGCAAAATCGGGATGATTGTGATCAAGAACTGATAATTTAATTTCGAATCCTTTCTTATACATAGACAGAGCTTCTTCATGCTTGCTTTGGTCTTGATACGCTAACGCCATATTTACATATAACGTTACAATATTGGGATGATTATGATCTAGGACTGATAACTGAGTTTTGAGTGACTTCTCATATTTGAAGATAGCCACTTCGATCTTGCCCAGCTTATGATAGGCTTTAGCTAGATTTTTGAACGTCAAACCAATATCAGGATGATTGTGATCAAAGACTAATAATTGAATTCTGGGTGCTTTCTTATACATAGAAAGAGCATCTTCATGCTTGCCTTGGGCATGATACGCAAAAGCTATGCTTAGATATGAATTCACTATATCGAGATGATCATGATCAAGGATTAATAATCGAATTTTGAGTGACTTCTCACACATAGAGATAGCCTCTTCGTATTTACTCTCAGTAAGATAGATACATCCTATATTACAATATGACACAGCAATATCAAGATGATTATTACTAAGAATTGCTAATTTAAATTTGAATGATTCTGCAAGCATAGTAATAGTATCTTCATGCTTATTCTGGCGAAAATACACCACTGCTATGTTGTTATGTAATCTAGCAATTTAGAGATCATGATGATCGAAAGATTAACGATCTTACTTCGAGTCATTTCTTGCAGTAGTTTCAGATAATTACAGTAGTAATTGAAGTATGATAGTAGCATTAAGAATTAGAATAGTCTACTATACTTATAAGGTTTCATGATTGCTGATGATAAAACGATGTACTTATACTATTCGTACTACGTGTGTATAAGGCTGCAGTAGTCGGCCATATAAGGTGAGGTTTTTGTGTAATGTCTTAATTCGCAATAACTTTTAGATAATATGGAATTGTTATCGTGGAGACGAAGTCAATTATCCGGTTTATCTTAGCTACTTTCGACTGTTACTATAAGGGAAGAAAAGTGAATTTTTCTCTTGTCAAGCGTTCTATTCATAAACGGATACTTTTAAGGTTAAATACGGTGTTTGCCTGATCTTGTTTCACGTTAGAGATTTGCTCAATTTTAATAATTCAGATTTTGAGTTAGACGATTGCGAACCTAAGGGGTTGTAAAACTCAAACACTACATAATTTGGCGCTGTGAGTACACGCATAAATCTAACTACGAAACTTAACTGGTCTAATAATATATATATAAAGTCAAGTAGTTAAATTGTTATTTTAATGACTAAGTGATATTTAAAGGTTAATTCTGTAACTTTTATAGTGTGTAATGATTGAGAATTGTGTTAGAAATGAAGCTTGATGTATTTCATAGTTAGTTTGCTGGTTCTATAGTATTTTGTAAGGGAATCATGAGGTAAATTGTGTCTGAACTTTGAATGATTTTTGTTTTCTTAATTTCTTAAGTTAACTTTAAGGGTGATTGGTTGATAAATGTTTAATTTTAATGGCGCCTGAGGGAAATGCGAAGTCTATATAGCATACTATAAAAGTACAGTACACTGAGTACAGTGCAGTAAAGACCAGGGACTACTCAATCGAAATTGGACACCGTGCATAAAAGTTGTCACCCCTGCCCTGTAGCTCGTCTTTCTAGTTTACAGTGTGTAGTGTATTTCACGAACTGTATGATACTGGATTACTCACAACTAGAGTCCAGAAACAGACTATAGGCGGTACTACTACTATGGATGAAAGGGTTCATTTTTTAGCCTAATGATCATCACTATTCGAATCGCAAGTCGACTTCGATTATGCTTAAACCAAATCAATAATCCTTTAGCATTTAGAAACAACTTATTCATAGTTATTTAGGATTAAAATTAGTGAGAGAATTTGTTGGGCTATTTTGATCATTGTTAATTCATCAAGTCGAAGATCACTGACGTAATATTCATACTATACTTGGGAAAAATGGCTAAGGAAGACCTCAGCATGGAAGAGAAGTTTGCTAGTACGACTTCTTGTCATGGAATCTCTCATGTCTACCAAAATGATAGTGGCAGACTACCACGAATGATCTGGTTAATTTTGACTATAGCAGCCACAGCTGTATGTATTAGCCAATGTATCATCATTATCTACGACGCTTCTCAACTACCGACAAGAATTACTTTTAGCGATGTTTCAGCCAACTCGACTGTCTTTCCTTCTATTACGATATGTAATACCGATAATTCTCCAAGAGATGCTCTACCAGAATCTGATTTAAAATATTTATCTATTTTATTGCACACGCAATCAACAGAGAATGCGTATAACGAAACTCAGGTCCAGGAGGCAGCTCGTTATTTTATAAAGAAATATGGCGATAAATTCGATTACGAAAACTATATACGAACATCTAGTGCAAAATTGGAGAACATGCTGCTACGATGTCAGTGGATGAATCGTCCATGTAGTCTCTCTGATTTTACATCAATTGTAACCGATTACGGCAACTGTTTTACCTTTAATCCAGGTAGGATATGTTTTCTATAATCCAATAAAAGTAACTTTAACGTCGTGTCATCAATATTTTGTTACGATATAACTTACAGACTACATGGTAGAAGCTTAAAGTTTCTAGTTGGTATAATTTAGCTTGGAAGAATAATGTTATTTTCTTCAGAATAGAAACTAGGCAAGTCCTATTTGCTGGTAACTATATAGTCAGCCATCCTACAGCAAATAAATTATGGCCAAGTTATTTTAGTAGAAATTTTACAAAACATTTCACGTTCATTTTATAAATGAATAGGATGTTTCCGCGTCGATTTATTGAACGGATATAGTTCACTGAAATTCATAATACTATCTCAATCGATGACTGTAAATTAGTTGATGAAAATTTAATGAATAGTAGAAGGGATACAGCAGTTCACTGTTAAGTTGTTAACATTTTCTGGCAGTACGACTTAAGGGTGACAAGATATAAAAATGAAAATGGCAGAGTAAGAGCTGCCTAATGTGCAGAGATCTACTTTAAAAAATAGCAATTATTGGAATGAAATTTATCGATAGGACATTGATCATAATAGTAAGATAACAGATAGGACATTGATCGTAATAGTAAGCTATGACAACCAAGAAATTATTAATTATGAACACTTTCATTTCGATGGAGTTGGTAATAAATATATCACGTATTTTTTCAACTAGTCTAGTTTAGTTTAAAGTATCTTTCCGCACCATAATCTCTAACGTACACGCTCATGTTGCTCTACTTTTGGAAATTAGGTACTAAAGACTTACCTCTGAAGAATCAAACCGTTCCAGGGGAAGTGTATGGTCTTCGCTTAGCTTTTAATATTGGGCAATACAAGTATTATCCAGATCTTTTAGACAGAAATCGCCCTGATGCAGGTATCCGATTTACAATACACTATCATAAAGAACCGCCAAATCTTCTAGCAAAAAGTATTATTGCGCCTGTGGGCTCCCATACCTACGTTTCCTTCACTCGAACTTACGTAAGTCCCTGTCTGATTACATATTAGATTGTACGAAGGCAATTTAATCAAAACAATTACATTGTCGTGGTACAAAATATCTAAGTTATTGTGCCAGTATAATTCCAATAGAGCCATTCTGAGTCGTTTTCTCATATGTCTGGCTTATTTACTAGAATAGTCCTAACCTTTGCCTGATGTATTATGTTGAACTACCTAAAATTATCTCAAGCCTTACAATCTTAAGATTGAGCATAGAATCGGATAATGTTTATCGAAAGATTAAATTAAATGCTAAGTTCTTTTATTTCAATCAGCGAAATACTCCTAGCTTGCTTATTATAGAAACCCTAACATTCAGATTAATGTGTTTCATGATATGTAAGACCTATTCAAATAATACTTACTGAAGATTGATCAAGATGTGGTCTTCTATCTTCATTTATTGATATAAATGTTAAATGTAATTTTTTTTCGGTAAATGATCAATTGATGACAGCATAAAAAGTTAGAAAAACCATGGGGAGAATGTGGATCTAGAAAATTACTTTTCCACGAATTTTATTCCCATGTCGCTTGCATTGACGAAGTATCGGCAATTTATGCATCTACATTATGCAATTGTAGTATTATTGGTGCATTTGGTAAGATATATGTGCTACCATAATTCTAGGATTGGTTAAGGCATCAACATTTTACAGTCATTACTCAATTTCACATCGTTATAATACACAAACTATCGCATAAATCTCACTAGTAGACGAATTTTAAAATGAAAATTATACATATCGAGAACAAATGTTTATTATTATTTTAAAATAGGACCCTATGGCGCCTGTGACAGCGTTAAATTTATAACATGCATCGTCCCCATTTTAGGTAAGGCATTAACAATTTTGCGATTTCAAAAATAAATAATATCAGTGTACCTTAGATAACGACTATTTTAGGAAATGTATGATAATGTTTTATTTTAACGATCTTTTATCCGATTACTGCTAGCTAAAGCACGAGTTCAAGCTAATGAAAACATCGCGGCTTGCCCTGTAGCTTGTGAAACTTATACATATCCTACTGTAATCTCTTATGGAAATCTTGCACTAATTCCGATTTCGAGTTTAATTACCAATTATCTTAATGTTTCTGGGATAATACGCCATGCACAGTCTTTGGACTGGATTAAAGATCCCAATTACTCCACCGCTAATTTTGTCAGGCATGAGAGACTATAAATTTGTTAACGTACCATTTTGTGTCGGTATAGATAGCCATTTATCATTATGATATTTATATCAATGCTAGTAAAACTTGTATACCGTCAATATCGTTTTAAAAATTATTATATATTGTATCAGTTTGTATAATTTTAGATGTCGAGCTAAAAACGCTACATCGGTAGTATGAAATTACAGATACATAACTTATGTTAATTTTAATTACAGTATAAGCATAAATTGAAAGGATACCCAGCGTAAGGATGATTTTGAATAGGCATTTATTAAATTCTGTTACAGGGATAACATTCTATACCTAGATATTTATTATAGCGATCTACATACCAATGCCATCGAACAAAAAAGGGCAACTGGATTTGCCGAAGTTTTAAGTTAGTATTTTTGTTTACTTTTCTATTTTTAATTTATACTACTTTCTGTCCGAGGTTATGCTCTATTTATAAGGCTCATAGCAATTGATACTCGAAATCATAAATATAGTATGATAGATGGTTGGTTAATATACAGTACTTAAATAGTAAATTAGATCGAAAAATTTCTTCTATTGATAATGGCGAATGTGTATCTTTAATGGTAAAATAGACTAGCATACTTACTATACATGATATTTTATACAGTACTCAAATAGAAAAGTTGATTGAACTGTTCTTTCTATTAATAATGCCATATATATATCTGAAATAGTAAATAGACTAGCATACTTACTCTACATGATATTAACGTTACAGAAGATAGAATTGCGATTAAATCAACATCTATTTTAAGATTATTTAATGTATCGTTATATTTTAAACATGTACAAACTTTTTATACAAGTATACTGAATCTAACCCATTTAAAATCTCTAAAGGCAATATTGGCGGACAAATGGGACTATTTATCGGTGCGAGTATCATTACAATAGCAGAAATCTTACAATATTTGATTAGGATATTCTACAATAAATCATTCAATAAACCTGCAGACAAGTCTAAAGAAGATTTAAACCTTGAACAAAATAGAAAGAGCTCATCTGTCTAATTACAGTATCTGGTCTATACTTGGATTCATTTAATACATTACATGTTCTTGATAGTTAGCTTGGCAGCTTTTAAAGTTTAACACAACTTTGATGTATGGGCCAAAATATGTTACCATATCTGGAAAATGGGGTGTATAAATCAAGATTTTATACTATAGCAACAGATTTTGAGCTGGTATCTTGCTTGCTAGCTTACTGTATGGTACCATAACGTGAACATCAATGTGTGTCTACTGATATATTTTGAAATCATCTTCTACTTGGTTCAAAGCTTACCTTAGCAATTTTTGCCCGTATCAGAGTACCATAGCTGCAGACTAATGTATCACTTTGCAAAATGTACTATGATATATACGATAATGTTATATCTTAAAATTAAGTGACATGAAACTCAGAGTCTTTATACGTTTTCACATTAGCCTAGCCAAATATGTAATTAAATAAATATTTCAATACAGTACATTTTCTAGTATAGATTTGTAGTATTAGTTTCAGCTAATTACAGTAGTAATTGAATTACGGTAGCATTAAGAAGTAGAATAGTCTACTATGCATATAAGGTAATTTCATGATTGTTGATGATGAAATCTTGTGTCACATTAGAGATTTGCTCAATTTTAATGACTTTAGGTTTTTGAGCTAGACGATTGCGAACCTAAGGGGCTGTAAAACCTAAGCACTACAAGATTTCAGGTAGTACATTTCGCTACGTTAGTTTTGTTTTTAAAAGATAGCACAGTTCAGCCTAAGAGTGTTTTAATATAGACGTCAAGACATGCAAGTGTAATTGTATATTATACCAGGTTTATGCATCTAAAATTTCTTACTAGATTGAAGTAGTTGAATATATGATGCGTAACCTTTAATTTATTCTAACAGATTATGTATTTCTATTATATCTCGAAATAGAGTTATTTTACTTTGTTGGATAAAATTATATTATATGCGAGACCTTCCGTCGCTTCCAGTACTAGCGCTTGATTACTTCAAAACTGGAGAATTAATTTTCGAGTTTTTTGGTCTTGTAGAAATGTTAATAAAGATTTTTTAATATGTGTTTAATGGTATCTACAGCTATCGTGGTTCTGTTCAATGACATTTTCTTCTAGAAATCAATTACTGAGCTATGAGAAATATGAAGTCATACTTTATTGCATTATACCTTGCCATATGATCCAGTAATATTAGGGTGGTCATGTCCATGCACTAATGATAGAATTTTAAACTACTTATCGCGCATAAGTGCTGTGGCTTTATGCCTGCCTTGATTGGCATCGGTAAGAGCGATGTTACAATATGATCTTGCAATATCAGGGTGATTGCAGCCAAGTGCTGAAAGCTGAATTCTAAGTGATTTTTTGTACGTAGAATGAGCATCTTCATGCGTGTCTTGCTTTCTATTAACATTTCCGATATTGTTGCATAATGCAGAAACATCGGGATGTTTTTGACTAAAGGCTAATAAAACGAATTTTGAGCGGCTTTTCATTCGTTTAAATAGCTTCTACATGCTTGCCTTGATCAGTATAGGCTAAGCTGATGTTATAATATGACCTTACAACATCAGGGTGATTACAGCCAGGGAGATTGTCGCAATATCGGGATAATTTTGTCCAACAGTGAATAATTCAATTTGAGTGATTTCGCAAACATAGAAATTAAATCTTCGTTCTATCCAGATAAATAGCTGTTATATTGCCATAAGATGCAGCAACATCAATTGAATGGATTGACAATCGAATTTAGAGCGAGTTCTCATACATATACGAGTACAATCCCTTTCTTTGCGGTTAGGTTTTTGCCACAATCGCAAACCAATTTGAATCAGCAAAAGCTATCAAGCCCCTTTCTTAAGGGCGAAAGAATAACACTCTAATGCAATCGCTACTAAACAAGTACCGGTACTAAGTAATTTTAATTCCCAAAAAATGTTTCCTTTCAGAAATTTAATAAGCGAAAATTAATCTTGTTATTATGGCCGTATTACTACAGGTTACAACACCAATGTGTTACTCCTGGCTTGAGCACAGCCTTAGTCACCTACTTTACCAGCCCTTCTATTACCTTCACCATGGTCATTAGATATATGCCATGTACCGTATATCTTAATCTATGCTACTAGTTAGTAAAATATCGCATACACCTGTGGTATCACTCTTGTTTAGTAATCTTCAGAATTTTATCAATGAATAAGCATACTAGTATGATTTTATGGAATTAGTGGATAGGGATAAGGATAAATATTTTTTGCTGAGTAGACCTACCTAAAGAAGTATAAGCAACTCTTTTATTTTCAAGCAGCCATAATACAAAATATACCGTCAATTATCTTGCAATTTATAAAGGCTAAAATAGGGATAGAGCAATTTTAAAAGTGTGCTGTAGGCTACGATATATAATATCATATATAATCGGAGAGATTTGTGAACGCCACTTAAATTATATAGATGAGGACATCTTTTATTGAGGATTGACGAATGGCAGTATTTCCACTTTTTGCCATACGTATGCTAAACTAGCTGGCATAATAGTAAAATACCTAAGAGCTTGATCCCAGATTAAGCTCCGTAGCTACACTGTACTCGTAAACTGAAAATGATTATGGCTATTAAGGATAACTTCCGTCTATATTGTGGGACCTTAATTTAATTACGTATTTACCCAGTTAAAATTTTGCTAGCCTTAAGTCTAAAATTTTTTTATTCTTACCATATTGGTCTATTAATATAACATATTGCTAACATTCTGAACAATGCCAGTTGTAGTGGTTGCCATTCCTATTCGCTTTATTACTTTTTATTTCATTTATTAAATAAACTGCGCCCAGAGTCGGTTTCAAACAGCAACAAGATTAATAACCTTTTCTCGATCGTAACCTGACTGCGTTGAATCGATCACTGTTAGAAGTTAAAATTACAACACATTAAGGTGATCCCACTCCTCATCGATGGACTATTCAGAATCTGCATCAATTAATTAGGTAATTTTATTATACTTCAATACCAAAAGTAAGAAAATCAAGTAATATAATAATCGTAGCAATTAGTACAGTAGTAATCTTGTAAAAAATATATATTATCGCAAAGATAGATTATATCACATTCGGTTATAAACATAGTAAATTTTAAAACCCATCATTCTTTCTGAAGGATTATCCAGGAATCAGATCAAAATAAGTTTAATTTAATATTCGCCATAATCGACACTAGTTTTCGTCCAGCATATAGCAGTGCTACTCGTTCTACTATGATCTTCATTGCATAAAAGTAAAAATGCAAAATTTTAAAGAAATTCCATTTTCATAGTGTAACGAGAAAATTTCCGTCTGTTACCACAGATTAATTCGTAAAAGAAAGGAAAATAAGTTGAATAATTATAATAGTCAACATTAGTCCTCGTCAAGAAAATATACCTATAAACCTATACTTGACCTTTCCTTATTGCAAGAATAGCCAAATTTTAAACATTCTTTTCGATTGTCTACTCAGAAAAATTTTAGCTACGGTACACGGCTAGAACATTTTATTTCTAGCTAATAACCGTATCTTACCCAATATTAGGATAAATAACAAAGTTGAGCTCGATATTATTGATCATCACAACTTTATGCCCTAAGATTTAATATTCCAAACTGGTAATATCGGTCAAAACTGAGCTGAATAAGCCTAATTTAAGGTTCTATAACTACAATTGTTCGATCATATTTGATACGGTATTCTACAGAACTAGATAAATATTTTAAGATACCGACAATATTTTAACCAAAGTTAAAGATGACAATTTTTATTAATTATAAGTATAATCGACAAATGATATTTGCTTCTTAAAAAATTTTTAATTGCATATCGCTGTTTCATTGTGAATCCAGGACTATATGCTGATGTGTTATGGGTTCTAAAAGCGAAAATCCGCGCAAAGTATCTAATGGTCAAACAGATATAGTATCATTTGATCTAGAGGAAAACTTTGCTACTTCAACAACTTGCCATGGCGTTGCCCATATCTTTGAAACTAAGGGATCTCGTCGTAGCATGTGGTTTGGCATTACATTAGTTTCGACTATTGCTTGTCTTGTCCAATGCTGTATCATTGTCTACGATGCCTCTTTATATCCAACACGCGTTAATATCAAAGTCAAATACAATACCCAGTCTTTATTTCCATCAGTTACCCTTTGCAATACCAATTTAATAGCTAGCATAGACAATACAAGAGAAGAGTTAAAATATGCAATGTTGCTCTATCGGCATTACTATGCCAAAAATCAAATAACGCACCAAGAGTTGCAGAGCGCCGAAAATTATTTCAATCGCGTTTATGGCAAAAATTTCAGTCTTGAAGAGTATGTTGCAAGATATCGATTTAAAGCAGAAGATATGATTGTGTCTTGTCAGTGGGGAGAAGAACCTTGTGGATCGGCTAATTTTAGTCAAGTAATTACTGATTATGGCACTTGTTATACCTTTAATTCAGGTTTGATGCATATATTTGGCTATTCGATTTTAAAGTAGCTTTAAACTTATAATTGATCCAAGCGGAGTGATTTTTTATGATATGCGAGTATAAGAATCATTATGTATCTACATTATCATTTTACAAGTTAGCTAATTCGAGAGTAGATTTTAAATTAGCCCTTTTTATAACTCAACTTATGCTTATATACTTCTACTAATAACATAATATGCTATCGTGACACGCGAACTTTACTAGATATAGTATATTTAGGGTATGATCTAGGTTATGCTATTTCACACAGTGAATTCTTGTACATCATATTAGTAACAGAATGATTACATATTCATATTAAATGTTATAAACTCATCTAATTTTACGTTACAATCATAATTACTTAGCTTTACAATACTGTACATATTAAAAATCGTTCCCTATTGACCAATAAAATTACGTTAATGTATGACATAATATGTACATAGCGTAGCTAGTTTTTTAGCTAATTAATTCGTAGACATTAAGTTTAGCAAAAATTATGCACAACTGAATCTTAAATTATCTTATTTTATAGCAGCCTAGTTGGTTTCCATATTTATTGTAGTCTGCTTTAAGCTATCGTACTTAATTTGTAGGTCTTTGAAGCCTATCCAAAAGATGTTTCATTTAGTTTTTAAAATATTTTAATCTACGGTAATAATTTAGTCAATTTTCTTATTATTATAACTAAGTATATGTGATTTATTTTCAAAAGTTGAGCTGTATCCATTTCATAGCAGTAGTTTTCTATAAAGTCTTTCGATTATGATAGTTTATAGTAATAGTTAAATTGACCTCTACATTTAGCGTAGCTGGCCATAGGAGGATCGATTTCCAATTATAAAAAAATAAAAACATGTATAAGTCATTACTTGTTGAATTTTTACGTTATTTTAATCGGTAATAAATAATATTTTGACATTGTAAGTAGTCAAAAATAAACTAATCGCACGAGCATCTGAAACAAAATTTAATCCATAGTAGTGATTAAATTGATCCAACTATCTATGTATTAAATTTTAAATTTTAAACTGGTCTGATCTATGATTGTAAATAATATAATTAACAAACTAGCCTTTTGGTCAACCAATTCTATAGTTCGGATATGTAAGAATCGATGTCTACAGAATCATTAAGCTATTTTAATCTGTAGTATTGATGGAATTGATTTCAATTTGTCCACGAAATTTATATTGAGCAATTTAGACTTGTAAAACAACAAAGTTATACTTATGGAGCTTTAATTCATTTATAACCAATTCTGAAATTTAACGGATCGTTACTTGCCATTTCCATGTTTTCCAGGTCAGAAAGGATATCCTTTGCTATATCAGACAATAAGTGGATCTTCCCATGGCTTGCGATTAGCGATTAATGTACAGCAATATGTTTATCCCACATTACCTTTATCATTTCTAACACCTGATGCTGGAATTCGCCTTTCTGTGCACCATTACAATGAAATAGCAAATATGGGTTCTCGTGGCGTCTTTGTGCCTCCTGGAATGCATGGTTATATTGCCATTACCGACACACATGTAGGTTTATTTTATGCCCATCAAATGATTAGGAAAATATCATGTGTATTTTATGATCGATATCAAAAGTATTTAAGTGAGAAATCAAGATCCATTTGAACAATAGAATCTTTCAGCGCTAGGCTTAAAATTGTATTTGAAAGACCAGTCTTTAATCATTCAATATTACTACCTAGTACTATCTTACACATCTATCAGTTACCAAGCCATACCTGAAATCTCCTCTCCATAACTATCTTTGATATTTAATAATACAATCAAATGTTAAAATTCATTTTTTATTTCGTTATTACCATAATAATTTATATATCCTATCCCACTGTCGGTCAACAGATTATTAATATGAGCTAACAATTTGGTGCATTAGGTACTATCTAATTTAGGTCCTCCATGGGGTGAATGTGGCCAGAAAAATCTTCAATACTTTCGCTATTATTCACGCAGTGCTTGCAGACGAGAATTTGAAGCCAATCTAGCTGCTCAGCAATGCAACTGTAGCTATCAGCAAGCAACAGGTGAATTAGCTATAGCAGCAATTCTATACATAAATATCTCATTATAAACTCTCCTAGCATGATAATAGCAGGTTTTAATGACTTCTAGTTTTTTTAGCTACTTACTCTACTTGTACACTTTAAGTTATATTGATGCAAAATGAATTATTTCTATTTTTCCTTCTTGAAAGGCAAGCCACCTTGTACGATTTCAGAATCATTTACTTGTGTCATACCGAAATTAAGTACGCTATAAAATGATATTGTGAATAAATATGTTGCCTAAAAACGGAAATATGTTCATAATTGCAATGATTATCTATATCAATTCAATATTACTAATACAAAATAAGCATTTAGCTATAATTGCTATTTCATTTCTTTAATTCAATTTCTTTGAATCCGTTCAGTTAATACAGAAAACAAAAAAACTTTGAACTCATTTTGTCCGTATCCATGCCAGCAAACTGAATATCCAATCATCTTATCTTACGCCGGTATTGCCACCAATGCCATAATTGATTCGAGTAGTCATAATGGCAAGTTGGCCAATTTATTAGATTCGGTAAAGAACGATCCCTCAAAATACCCAAATTATACCTCAGAAGCCTTTATTCGGTAGGTTGTTGCGATAGGTAAGATGATGTAAACTCTAATTTTGGCATGACAGATCAAATCTTTACCTTCAACGTTAACTATTTCCGGTTATAATTCAATTATTTCCATCCAGTTTAATAGCTTTCATCTGATCTAATTATAGCTTTATCTACAGTAGATATCATTTAATCATGATGCTTTCCATTACAGTGGTATGTATATAAACATACCTGACATGATCGACTCTCATTTTTTAAAGAAAATCCAACTAAATTAGCCAATGTATCTTGACTTATTAAGATGACAAGAGTAGTAAGTTATTAAAGTCATGCAAGTCACTATAAATTATTATTCAGACGTTTAAATATCTGACTTGAAATGTGCCAATAGCCAATTTATCTTGATAAAGCGATAAGAATAGCAAATTATTAAAGTCCTTGCTTACCACTATAAATAGTTATTCAGATGTTTAAATATCTGGTTTGAGATGTGCCAATACTAGAGGTAGCATTTAGGGTAATTTTAGCTTTTTACCCTAAATTTATTAAAGCAAAATGACTACTCTCCATAATATCATCAAGTTAGCTTTAGTTCACAAGTAGTAACAATCAGTCAACTTAAAAAAGTGTTGTTTCATGCAATTTACAGATCCAACATAATTTGTGAGATAGCGTTCTGATCTATTCATAAATAATTTTGAGATTTTCATTTAGATACATAGACCATTGAAAGTGAGCTTTAATGATATGTACTTGTCACAAAACAGCTTTGCAACAAGATAACGTAACATACCATCAATAAGTCAATTCCTTGAACCACGTATCAAGGAACGATATCTGCACTATCAGAAACACTTTTGGTCTACTAGCAGACTACACAAAGACTTAGACGCCTCGTAATTTACGTTAAACACTAAGTTTAAGAATCCTCTTTATTACACGATATACTGCATTTATATACTCTTCCTCAATAGTTCATGAGTCCTGGTTAGTACGATTAACTTTGGAATCATTTACTGAATTAGATATTAATTATAGCTACTGCTCCCCTAATGGCGACAACAGTATTTACGAACATAGACATCTGATGACTAATACAGAATAGTCAAATTACGATATGTCCTATCACGGAACATTTCCACGATAATTTACAGTCTACTATAAGTAAGTTACAATCACAATGATTCGAACTGTAAGTAGATCATTTGCATTCCCTATTATAACTATTAATTTCAGTATGTGTATCTATGCCACTGTCATAATAAATCAGTGCTATATTAAAACACAGTATATCCAAATTAGAAGTTAACTAAATAAGGATAGGCTAACAGAATCATCCTAACATAGATATTTCTACTCTAATACAGTATATAACAATGTCACAGTACTTCTTTAATCTAGCACTAAAATTAAGTAATCTTTCCATACGTTTACTTACATTCTGATTTTAGAGAAAATTTAATTTATTTGGATGTCTACTTTCGAGAGCTTATAACATCAACAACGACGGAGTCTAAAGCAACAGGATACGCCCAAGTTTTAAGTTAGTAAAGTTGATTTGCCGCATAATTAACTATTTATTAAAGCCTTATAGATTGTAGATTGTTTCAGCATTGATTGGTAACTTAGAATAATAATAACATATTCTTTCAGTAAGATCACTTTTCTAATAATATATCAGCATATTTTCAGTTAGAATAAATCAATTTTATTGACAGTCACTCTACGTATCTTTTATTACAAGATAAATTACTACTGGTTATAGGATATTCCTATTCAAGGAATACGTATATCTGTCAGTAAATCATATCAAAGCCCAGCTTAGTGTATCAAGATGATATAGAGTAATAGATGTGCATCAACATTAAAAAATGTATATGCTTATTCAAGGTGATGTAGGAGGTCAATTAGGATTATTTATTGGCGCTAGTATCATCACTCTATGCGAAATTATTACTTATTTATGTGATCGATGCGAGAGAAAAAAGCGAGAGAAACGAGAGATGCGTATCCACCGGCAATCTCAGATGATAAGGGATATCATGCAAGTAGGAGTAGAGAAAAAAGATCTTCAAACAGAGACTAAACCCAATAAAAATAATGATTTTGTATTTAATACTAGCGAAGATGGTCAAGAAACATCTTCAACCAATCCCAACGTTTAGGCTTTTCTCAATGTTTCACTAGTTTTATTCGACATCGTCAATATAAAATAAAGGAATTATTAATCAAGGGTCTCATCATGACAGTCTGCTCACTATTTCTAACACATCTGTCTTGTTATTCTTCTTTATGCTTTCGTTAATTTTAACTATAATTAGCCGGTGTTACTAACCAAGAGCATCACTAAGCCTTTTAGAAGACTAATCCTCCGAAATGAACATTCTTTATCCATTATTGTAAAGCTTTAATCGATTTTACCTGCGCTTGTATTGAACCAACATCTGAAACTTTGTATTTGACTAATTATAGTCGACGGGTATCCATGGAAAAAATTTTGTAGCTTTGTAGCCTTTAGTATCGAGTCATGATTTTATTAAATTTGCAAAGTATCAAAGGCTCGAAAAAAAGCGTAGAAGATCTTTGTTCTAAGTCACCTATGATTGTATATCTGTAAGATTAATTTCCCGATTTTTATTTTAACAGTTTTTATTTCAAATTCATTCGATAATGAAAATGTTTTAATTAAATCACGCATAAGAGTACATAGACTAGAATAATTTATACCGGTACTTGCTATTTTATTATATTTCTAGTCTACTACATAACCTGCCTCTACCCCCACTGTAAGTGTTCAAGTATACTGTTACTTGCGGCAGATACATTTAATAATCAATCAATTCAATGAAAGTAACAGAGTTACCTTCGCTTTACTGTGCAAAATCCTTGGTAGCATATACGTACATGACAATATAATGCATGAAATGTTACAAATAAATCTGTTTAGTAAAGTCATATTGCTTGTCTGCGATCAGTTTTGCTAATAGTTATCAATTTTATTTATAAGCTTCTATTATATTACTCGCATAAATAAAATACTATATTGTGGCCATCATGCAAATCGCTATTTTTTTTCAAGAAGTCATAAGAAGAATCTAAGATATTTTAAAATCGATCACTTTTAGTTATGCATGAAAACTGCTCGTTTACTGTTTGTTGGTCTGAATCCTAGTAATTAACATGGTCTTTCTAACGTGAAATGCATTACTGAAATTTCAGCTATTTAATAATTGCAAACTTGAGTTGCAAAGAGTAGTGAATATCGTATTCTTGGACAGGAAGATTTAGAAAGCGTAAGTATAGTTAGTATATGTGATATTAAAGTGCCAAAGAGCTACAAAAAAAGTTAGTAAAATAATAAATGCGCAATAGCGATCTTTCTGCTGCTAATAAGCAATGATATTTGGCATATAGTAAGTATTAAGCAAGCTCAGAGTTGAGGCTATTTGAGTTGGCTTTAACGCTGTATCATAGGATAGCCATCCTTTAGTTTTTGGCCATTCCATAGCCTATAAATAATTAATTCATTTTTAATGATATTAATAGAATTGAGAGGATATGCATAACATTTGCTATGAAGAATTGCAATAAAACAGTTGATTACTGCTAGAAATACTATTTGAGATAAGACAACAGTCTTCATATTCATCGATACATCCAATCTTCTTTAACTTAAGGTAAATTGCAGTCAATTACGAATATAACGGACTATTCAAATTAACTACTTATCGTATATATTAAAGTTAAAATATTTATCTATAGAAATATTGACATCTAATAACTTGAACGGACAACTTTACTTGTACTAGATATTATTAATCTAATAAAGAATTTAGTAACTCATAATTAATATACTGTATAAATAATAAATCAACACCATGATGGTATAGTTAGAAAGAAACAGTGAAACCACTCATTCTGACGTAATTGTTATATTTGCCGTGCGATGAATATTAATTTAGTACAATGCTATTGCAACAACATTAATATAACACTACTAAGCATCATTTTAAGTCATCGCCATGAATCGATGCTACAATTGTCTCTGTGCATTTGTGGGTATGTGTTGGTTTACTTGAAATAAACATTAAATCAATACTTAACAGTTATTCTGAATTTAATAGATTGGTATTGATTCTAGCCTTCTAGCAAAACCCTTCTTAAACTTTAAATTACAAAATACCATTTATATTTGTTAACACGGATGATTAAATTAACAATCTTAATTTCGTAGGTGGCAGAATAAGTAATCTGGAGCAGAAGACTTCTGAATGACTTATAGTATAAAAGACATATTTATTCTATCCATATGTTCATGAAAACAACAGGAAAACAATTACAAGAAAGTCACAAATATGCATCATGTGTGCATGCTTCTACTCGACCCCAACAGAAAGAGAAAAACATTTTAAAAAGGCATTTTATGGGTAAATTTGCTGGCATTTAAATCATTCAAAGTGCATTTATTCCGATTTATTAGTACTGGATAACCTTATCATTGAAGTTAGAATGTTTATCCGTAATTGCTTTTATTACTCATTCAGATCTGTAACAGCAATTGCACAGGACATAAATTGAGCAGTATTACACTATCTTAAAATTTGCATGTAATGTTCAATAATTTAGGCTATATTTTTATTCCAAATCCGGACCGATTGAACTCCGATAATAGCCTTCTAAGTTTACACTCCATATTGATTTAACAGACTATATGAAGGCTTAGTTCTAACCTTGATACATTATAAATACAGTTTATTTAACTTAAGTCGATATACAATCACATTGCCTAGAGCGATTACCTTATGCTCTGAATCAAGCACCTACCTATTCCTCAGAGTAATTATCCTCTATAGTAGCATTCGTACTTTTTGTACTGAAAAAATTATTTCCCATCTATTGAAAGTAAACGATGGGCAATAGGTCATCCATTATTTCAATATGCTCGTATATTTCTTGTATTATAGGCTAGAATTGGATTTATTGACCTTGGTGATATGCAGTCGGCATATTTTTGGAGGTGATTCGATGAATCACCACCTTCAGTATGTCAACAACACTAAGAAAAACAGCTTGCTTAGTTAGTATTGTTTGGCTTCTTTAAGCGTTATTGATAATAACTTGTTGCTAAGCTAGGAGATAGATCAGTCCAATAGTGTTAAATAAAGTTAAGGTCTTAATTTCGAAATTATATTCTACTGGAGTTTATGAAAGACTTGCATTGTCTTGTAGATATTTCTCTATGGCATATAATAAATATACGCTACAGATGGGTACATTGCAGATATTTGAGTCGTAGCTGATATCGAAATCTTATAATTCAGCTTTAGATTTACAGTAAATAACCGTATTCCTAGCCTAATTGGAGTCTATAAATCATTTCTTAATACAGGAGCCGTAGGCATTCCCAGAATAGTCTTTCAGTGAAAAAATCAAATGTATTGATTTTATTGTATTTTCAGTATTAATTTTGGTTGAGATTAGGGTTAGTTACAGTCATCTCGACAAGAACACTTATTAAATATTTAAATCGAGAGATTTGTTAGTATTCATTTTAAGTTAGAAATGGCATTCAATTTAGAACGAATTACGCTACAGTCATCGATGTTAGTGAGAGGAACAGTAAACTTAGATACTTCGGTGCCAATTTTGACTATAATCGAACCTATTTTAAAGATACTTCGCAGTAATATTCTAGAAAGTGAGGTGATTAATCCACATTACGCGCTTTAGTTGCAGTTTCTGAGTTAGAACTGAAACTATTTTATACGTATTCCTTCAGTAATATTACATTTCAAAAGTGAAGAGATTAATCTGCTTTTTCCACTTTGGTGGTTATTTCTAGGTTAGAACTGATACTGTATTATGGGCATTTCTTCAGTAATATTTTATCCGAAAAGTGATATCAATATATTTGCGTCCTTTAGTGCATACGAAATTTAGATAGTATCTTCAAAAGAAATTCCCACTACAACATAACTATCAAAATAGGAGAGATTAATATATTCTGGATATTTTAGTAGTAATTTCATAATCATCAACCAGGTTTTTATGCAAGACCACTGTAGATTTTTCATGCTCATTATTCTTATATAAATCCTTATTCTAATTTCATACCAAAACATTAATGACTAAGAATTCGGTATCAATGAACCAAGTCCTAATCCTAATTTCTAACTTGTTCAATTAGTCGTCAAATGAGATCATTTGAAAATTTTTGTACTACCTCATCTAAAAAGTAAATGACGACTTTAGATTAAGTATTATAGAACGCCCATATTATCTTATTGACATAATACATTCCAATGAAAAATACGAATACTATAACCAGTTATCACCAATTAATGGAAATCTAAGAACTCATGAATACTGATGAGGAATTTATGACTAATATTAAAAGGATCAGCTGCAGTTGTTTATGATGATTGAAATCAACAATTTTCTGTTTACTTACCTTGAATTTTGAATAGTCTTGATTAAACACTATTAACAATCACGAATCCTATTCAGGCAACGTTTCTTTTCAATAGAAATGTAAATTAGAATATTTTCATTCATTTTACGTGTACATCTATCAATTTACTCCTCGTGAAAGGACTTTGAGACAACCTATAGAAAGTGATTATATTCCATAATTCTGGCTCAAATCATCTATCGTTTTCTTCAAATACCAAGTAATGAATTGCAATTAAATCAACCATTGACAGATTTTATTACTTAAGACCATAGGATAAGGTTTGTAAGTTGAGATGTATGTCAAAAGCTTCCATTTAATGATACAAGCAATTTTATCAACGCTGATTTAAAAAGATCTGACAAAGTCTAAATTAGTTTAAAATCACATCGAACTAAATTGGTGATTATTTATTATTTGTTGTAATGGAAACTAGTCAATTTCTCAATAACACTTTCTTTCATCGCATTGACGATATTATGCCCAATAAGAGTGTAAATCAAACTTTCTCCATGTACCCAAGAGCTTCCAACGTTATTCGAAAGATTACAAAATATCAGTAAACTACTCAAATAATCCAATACTCAAGCATCTCCGAAAGGTTTTAATTCTTGACTTTACAGGAAAAATGAAATAGGTGTATAATATTAGAATTTCTCTCTTTATCCTTGAATCAAATTCTACAATGTGAAAATAGAATACCGTGTTGTTAGAATGCCCTTCGGTAGATCTGCATGAACAGATCCAATAATATCACGCTAAATTATCTGCCGTAGACTTTTCAATCTATACAATAAATTAGAGTAATATAGCATCGATATAGCTCTCTATAGGATCACAATCTTATAAGTCGATTGAACTATGAGTCTTATAGTTGTCATCAAGAATCCTTAATAAGAAGCCGGAGAGAAAGTATGTAAAACAATCTATGGATATTTACGACTCTGGTGATAATAAGTCCAAATAGTATCATTATTAATTCCCTAAATAAAACTGGCATCATTTCAGAACTAATAAACATACTGTGCAGTACTCAACTCTTCGACAACCGTTTAACTTCGTTTTCTATTGATAAACTAAAAGAATTTGGAGATTTATCTTGAAATTTATACTCGTTCCTTAACTGCATCGGATTGAAATTCATTACACCAGTATACCTGTGCCTGCCAAGTATCAACAGTCGAGAATTTAGCCGCGATTACTTTTAAACTGCACTCAAAAGAGGAAGTTTTAGACAATTTTTGCGTCGTTTACTTGATTTAAACATGAAAACTTAAAACTCTTTAGGCCTTTAAAAGTTAGTATTTGTAATTGTGGAGCAAGTCAGTGATCCAATTATTAAACGCTATTAGCCACTATCTAGCCAACTTTACTAATATATCTGTAAGTAATGAAAGTTGAGAATAGAGTTATTGCTTATTTCCTGACCAGGGTTTATAAAATTTGAGCTTTAGAAGTAACTAGTCCTTTATTTAAAATGACTTGTGAATCCATTTATAGATTTCATGCTTGCTAAGCTAGATTATAATTCATTTCGTTTCATAGAAAACCTTCGTGTAGCTATTTGATTAATTAACTTATTGCAGTTAAACAAAAATGTTCGAAATCAGTCCATCAAGACTAAAACCTACCTATAATTTTACTTTGAGCCTTTCCGATACCACATGGCATTGACGACGCCACTACACGAATATTTCTGATCTTTAATCGATTTAATAGCATCATCGTCTTCTACATTAGGCTTAACATTATATAAATTTTAAATTTTAACATAATACTACGTGCACATGTAATTGTATCAACATGTTGTACTCTTTCTGAGAAGAAAACCACAATATAAAAGCTGATACTAGTCATTATCAAAAGCTGTTAACTTAACCCTTCTACAAGAATTTAAAGGAATGCTTCAAATTCAGTATCAAAATTCCTTAATAGTAATAATTAATCTAAGCATGGAAGAGCTAAGATTAAGATCTTCATATTTCTATTCAGTTTGAAATTACTATTTGATTGCAACTAATTAATCCTAGCATTTGTTTTTACAACAGGTTCTGGCTAATACAATTATAAATTAAAAGTTTCCTAAAATTTTAAATAGCTTTTTTTGGTTTCTCGCCATCCAAAGTGGAAATAATTAAGGCTTTCCCTGAATTTACAGTATAATCTATTGGTAAGATTTGATTTTCTATCTAATATTCTTTCCAGCCCCCCCCCCCACCCCCCATTCAGCCTGAACGCTACCTTTGGTCCATACTAACTGATTCTTCTATAGTATATTTACGCGTGTAGCAAGTTCAAATAGCAAGATTTTGCTTTAAATTCTCAGCATATCGTTTGCATTGCTTTTCTTTTCAATTCGTTTACGGTGGAGATAAGTTCAACGGGTCGCTGTCACTTTACCTAATCCTTTTTAACTACTATGCGATAATCCTTTTCACACGAAGAATTCTATGTAATCGATTTCCTTCCATTTCAAGATTGATTCTATAGAAAGAGAGTATTTTATATTTATATTCCAACACTTCAGCTTTTCCTTCTACTCTATCAACATATAAAGCACTTATAGCAGATTGACTTTCCATTTTTTTATGTAATAATATAACACTCTTTGAAGTAGTTTCTATTTCTTCTTGATTGTATAGAGTGGAAAATCATTCTTTTATTACCAATATTTTCTTATCCGGCTGTGGAATGACCGAAGTGATTCATTCTAGAATGATCGTGTCGGTAGTAATATAATTCAAGTAACGATTCATTTCCGTAACCGCTACTAGAAAGTAGATTGTAAAGTGCACAACTGGAAATTGTTAGGATTAAATCATCTCATCGAATCACCACTTCTTCTCTATAAAATATTAACGATTACAAACTTTCGACACTGCTGTACAGCTCTTACAATCTGTCTACTTAAACGATGGATACTCATCCTTGGCAAAGGCCAAGATCAAAATCGATCAACTTGGAAAAGAAATTTGCCGAAAGAACAACTTGCCATGGGCTTGGACATATTGTCGATCAAGACGTTCCCAAAGTACGTCGTTATTTGTGGTCGATAGTAACGTTAGCAGCTAGTGTTGGTTGCATGATTGGCAGTATCCAATTATTGCAGTATGTTTTATCCTTTCCAACGAATATTGATATCGAAATTATACACCAAGATAGCTTAATATTCCCAGCAGTAACCATCTGCAACTTTAATCAGCTTACCAAAACAGCATTATCGGAAGAAGATAATCGACACTTGCAGACATTTCTTAGAATCTATCATCGAAAAGGAGCTATCAACAAGAAAGACCTGGAATTAGCAACAAGCTATTTCCGTAATAAAACAGGAGTTGATTTCCATTTACAAAATTTAACGCAAGATTTAGGCCATCGTAAAAATGATATAATTGTCTCTTGTTTATGGGATGATCAAGTTTGTGGTCCAGAAAATTTTACAACCATTTTTACCATTTACGGCAATTGTTATACCTTTAATTCAGGTCAGAAAACTGAAATACTGTTTTAGATATCTATTTTTACAGCATAGCATTCCTCATTAGATGCATGTATATTATAGATGTATTCCTCTATAGGACAGTAAAGATTGATAGAAGTAGTTTAATTAGATAGACAGAAAATTACGACGATTAATGTAACAAAGATGTTATAGTGTAAAGTGGCTTTAAAGAACACGTCGATAATACTTTTAAGATGAAATTATTGATCTACTATCGATGATCAAGTCTATGGATGATGAGTTGTTGATAACTGTTCATTTTATATATTTTCTAGAACGCAGAGCTTGTAAGCTTCTTTTTAATTTTTATTTTCAGTACACACACTCTTTTTTAAAACTTCACATCTTCCTACCCTAATCCATATACATGCTACGCCTTAAAGATTATGAAAACTATTTGCAAATACCACCTGTAAGGCTAATTTTGACTTACTCCCTATTATCACTTCCGAAATTATTAAGATATTCGCCTATAATACGTTTGCATACTCGTATGATAAGTCGTATAATGCCATGAGAAAATTGCTTTGGACTATTGTTCCATATTATTAATATCGCGAACATCTTTATGGCTATTTTGTTTAGTGATTAGTAAGTCGCCATTTTTTAGACGAGAATGACAGTGGCACTACATAAAAAAATGAATAGAATAAGATTTCCTCAATTTTAACTCGATTTCATAATCAATTTTCCATATACAGTAATTATAATTTTTGCTGTCATACGAATTAACAAGTAAAGCTGTAATCTCTAATAATACGAAAACTTTTCGTAAGTTATTCTTTACCTACAGTATAACATCCTTTTAGAATATAAAACTGTAATAGCCTACTCCTATGGCAATATCGTGATGCTAAGGCCAATTTGATAACAGTATTACAGCTGTGCATAAGTTTATTAGCAGATGCCTGCCTATGCTATTTTAACATCTTTAGCAGCTATAACGTAGAGCTTAATAAACTCCACAAAACTCTATTTTCATCCCAGTCATAATGATAACATTAGCAGTTAAAATCGTTGTCTTTAGATGCATATTGGTCCTTAAGTAATGAGCGATTCTTTTCTAATGTATCAATAGGTGCGAAAAAAGAAGGTATGTTATCTCAGCGTGGGAAAGGCTCTGCACACGGACTACGTTTAGTTTTGAATATTGAACAATATAAATACTCTGGAAAATTATCGTATGGTTCACCAGATGCAGGAATACGATTTGCCGTCCATTCTACAGCTGATTTACCTGAAATGGATGCTGAAGGAATGTCCATACCACCTGGTATGCATGCCTATGCCAGCATACCTGGAGCTGATGTAAGTTAATAGCATACATCAGTGATCAAATTGTGGACAAGTATTAGCATACTGATACTTTTTCTTCTTTATTGGATATTAGCCGTAATCTATATGCAAAAGAATATCTTATGACTGATAATTAATCTAAAGTACAGCTATTTCAATCTGTAATTCCATGCAATAATTTCTGAGTTAATACCGATAGTTTACAATCATGAATCGCTAAGGATTTATAGTTTTTCAATACTGTATAAATATCGTTATCACAATTGATAGTCCTATTTAATATTCCTATGCTAGATTTATCACACGTTAATGATTATTTAGTATTTAAAAACCTAAAAACATCATATTATTCTCTAAAATCATCGTTGAGATACTTACATTGATTGGTAGTAATTTATATTTTAGTACGAGTGTACTGTACTTGTAGGTTGATTTTACCTTACATAACTAGTCGTACCTGCTTGCGGTGCAATCACAATATAAAAGTTACTATAATCAATACTTACCTAATATCAATTACCGAATGACCCTCAAAAGACAATATAATCTTTAATTACCATTCGGTGCAGATATCAAGTTATAGTTATAAAATTGAATTAATATCTGGAGTGTGAAAGTAAATTATAAGAACTGAATATTGCGATAAAGTTTACATTTTAACTGCAAATGAATCGTAATAATAATTGAATAATTGTAATCATATCAGTGACAATGAAGATTTATCTTCAATTAAATAAGGTTATTGAAGGCCTACCAAAACCATGGGGTCAATGTGGTTCACAAAAGCTCAAGTATTTCGATCATTATTCGGTGTCATCATGCAGGAGAGAAAAAGAAATTGATTTCATATTGCAAAGATGCGGATGCGTTGAGCCACACCATGCTAGTAAGTCCTAAACAAGCCAATTTAAAGTACTAAATCATAATAGTTTTACCGTATTTTCAATTTTACATGCCGACTATATTTATAGCTCAACCAAAGCCTTACAGGATAAGCAAGGATAGTGCTAAATACTATTTACAGTAATAACAAGCTATAGTGACTGCAGTGATATGTTTTGATGTACATTATTAAGCTTAAACGAGAGATAATAGACGTATGATAATACTAGAATAAATAGTATTATATAAAGCTATTTACCAGATATTATATAATGCTATTAACTAGATATTATATAATGCTATTTGCTAGACATTACATGAAAATATTTGCTAGAACGTACATTGATAATTGATAGGCGTTTGTTATCAGATTTCACTCTAAGAATAGATATTAATAAGTTAGACTAAAATACGAAAATATGTGCAAATTTCATAATAATAATAATGTATAATAAGAGTATTTCGTTTAAACAAAAATATCTCAGATATCTTAATTATTGTTTTTCCGATCTCACCCTCTCTAAATTAAAGGAAATTTAACTCCATGTTCACCTGAAATAATGCTTGAATGCGTTTTACCACTTATGAGTAGGTTTATCTATTCGATAATATGCTATTTTGCCCAGATAAGAAAATATTGAACTATCTCTATTACTTCATTGTTAGTAAATTAAAAGAAGCGCTTTTCCTTCATAGGTAGCTCTAATCCAGTTAGTGTCGGTATCAATACAAATGTATGTCCTGTAGCTTGCGTGCAAACAGAATACAACGTCGAAGTGTCGTATGCGTTAATCCCTTCCCAAGTTGTGGTTAACGACATTAGCGATCAATACAATGTGACTAAAATAATTGAAAATGCAAGAAATCAACGCCTAAATCTGACAATGTCCAAATTGGAATTCATACGGTATCAAAGCAAATATAAACTCCTTAAAATCCTTTCTCAAACATAATGTTGTTAATCAGTTCATCTGAATTTTGTAATAAAATAATGTCTGACAAAATCGGATGTAGAATATTTTCTAATATATGATAACAATTTTAATAATTACGTATTAAAATACCTGTACCTTTCCATAAAATTATTCGCTACTCTAGTGGTGTCAACAAATTTATTTTAGTTTCATAACCATATACTGTGGTCTTCTATCGTTTACATAATGTATATCGGCAACGTTTTATGTTAGCATTAATATTTACATATTAAAATCCTTGCATTTTTTCAAGGAGATTATTACTACTGCGGCATTTACTATAGTCAATATACCTCTAGCTTAGATGGTTACTCAGAAATTCCTATCTTTGTTCAAGTGTGATTAACAAGTTTAATTTAGTCTTACATCGCTTGATAAAATCAAAATATAATGTGTAGTGCAAATACTAATGCATATCGAGATACCTCGTACTTCTTCATTATAAACATAACTATTTTCGCGTTAGAATTATTATGCAGTTCGTTACAGAAGGAAGTTACTATAAAAATATTAATTAAAACTCATGAAACAAAATTTCATTGTTTGATTTCGTTGTATAATTATAGTCAATTTATATGATACTAGAATTATTTATCAACATAACCGTTATTTTTACTTATTCTAGCGAAAATTTTGCTTTCCTTGATGTCTATTATAAGGACTTATACCTATTTAAGACAATCCAAAAACAGGCTAGCGGATTTGTGGCATTTCTAAGTAATTATCCCTAAGAAATAACAAGTCACTACTATCACATGGATATATTATTAAGATGTAAAGAGTGATATAAAGGCTACTTTTTAATCAACCTATTTCTCTTCTTTGAATTACATTGATTAGGTGATATTGGTGGTCAATTAGGACTTTTTGTTGGCGGTAGTTTCCTTACCATGTTCGAATTTTTTGAATACATCTATGATAAATGCTTTCAACAAACGAAAAGAAGCAAACGTGAAATTAGCCGACGAATGCAAAGTATACGAGAAAAAAGGCGCCCCGAATCAATGGCTTCATCAACATCTGTTCGTGGTAATTTATCCACTAATGTCCATAATTTTAAAGTCAATGAAAGCATTTCATCACATAATGTAAGATCAAACGGAATAAAGTCTAAGTTTAGAAGGTCTAACAGTGAACATCTCGCAAATATTCGAATTAGTCCATCCAGTATTGACTAGGGTCTAGCTACGTAGTTCGATGTTTAGATTATCATCGGTAATATTTACTATTCAATAAATCATATGATTTACAGCAGTAAGGTAGTTCTAATATGCGTAACTGCGTTGGAGTTGTCCTGGAAGTCAATTTCACTAATGGATAAACTATAATAAAATTAAATGTGATAATAAATGATATGTTCTCATTGACCATTTATGTAATTAGCTATGATATCATAATTAGGTATTTTAATTTTCAAAAATAAGATAATATATCCTATTTGAGCTACACTTTTGATACTACCCATCAAGCTAATCCATATTGTTTCAAAGATTTCTAACCAGAAAGACTTGTTAATCTACAGCATTGGTCATATGTCGATAAATAGAATTAAATTCTAATTTCTCTAATTAGATTAACTTATAATATGCCCTTGATATTTAGATCAAAATAATATTCAATATATCCTGGTAGTTCAAGCAGGTGGAGTTAAATAGTTTTAATGTCGTAATTTTAGTTTTACTATTGTGTTATCGCTATTATGGTTATGTAAGATACCGAAAATTATTATTAAATTATATCTTAATGATAGTCTTGTTTCTTATTGCTTTTGCCATTCTATATTCGGATATTTAGGGTAAAATGAGCATACAAACTAATGCTAGAGTTGAATCATAGCTAAGGCTAACCCTAACATTAGCTAATCCTATTGTAAGACACTGATCATTCTTTATAGTTATTATATTATACGTTGCGTATATGCATGGCGCTTAACATGAATTAAGCAAATTTACTAACGGTAGACATGAGCTGTAATATAAGATGGATAAATACTCATATTAATTATGCTATACAAAATCCATATATATATATTTAGTATACATAACATATACATTCAACAAATACAAATAGTTAATAGGTTATACGAAAAAAGTAAATTAATAACGTCAGAATTAAACTGGTACAGGTTTGTAAAGGGTGTAGTATAATCATGCTATTGTAAGCTACATTTCATATAGGGTAAAGCTCATAACAATAAAAATGAGGAGTGAAATCTTAAAAGATCTTTGTAAGAAGGTTTGCTTTTATGCATACTGTTATGGCATTCGAATGTGTAAGATACGGTACAATTAAATCTTATCTTATATCATGAATATACAGTACTTGCTGCCGCTATTTTATCCACCCTACTATTAAGAAACTATAGTGAACGAGACTACTGCTATCTTACTAAAGTGTAAAGAAAGGCTTAAAATTGAGCTTAAATATTCACACTGGATATATGTAAGATTGTATTGAATTCCTGTAAATTTTCAATTCGAATTACTGTATTTTCTTAAGCAAAATTGCATATTATAGTATAGTGTATGTGTTTGACGATATAAAAAGCTCTTAATCGTATCTGGGCATTTAATAAATCGAGATGTTACATGAAAAAAGTATATAAATGACATTACAAATAAAATTAAACTGATTATTTTCTACAATACAGGATTAGATTTGACAGTACGCAACTTCATGTAAAATTTAAATTCTATTTAGATGCAAGCCATTACAAATTGTAAATACTGCTTAAGCAGGTTATTGACCGCAATTGTTATTATGAGTATCTCACCCAAGTGAGAAATTTATTATAGGAAGAAATTAGCCTTATGTACCCACCTATGATGAGAATAGTAAATGTTACAGATTATCTATGCAAACTAATATCATATTTAAATTTTATTATATACTAAAAATTACGTATACTTCAGCTTATTAAATGTAGGTGCAATTATGAATAAATTATTCGTGTAAGATATATATTATTAGGGGAAAAACTGGCCTTTATCGGTCAATCGCGGTATTAAAAACATGCCTGAATTAAATATCGAACACGATGTGACTAGTATCAATTTGAGTTTTATTTATTAAACTTATTTCATAATCAGCTACTATGAACGTTTCATCTAGGTCACAATAGATGACAGCAGGCAGCTAATCTTATAGAGAGCAAATCTCGATATTTAATATACCTAAATTCCTCCTATTTTATCCATCAATTGTTATTAGAAGAGAGCAGGGTCATATCTTTTAAATGTATGATAGTAGTATCAATTTATTCTGAAGTCTGAACAAATGAATTATTTTAACCTTCAGCTTATTCGTACCAACAATAATTAATTAACGATAAATATGTAAATAGCAGAAGTACCGTCAGATTAAACGTATGATCCAATCGTAGTGGAATACAGCACGCTAAATAAAGTTCTAAATAGTAAGGTCTAGTTTTAATATCAAGCTTTAATAAAGAGGATTGGAAATAAGATATTTACGACTCTTACATTAGAATCTAGCTTTTATCAGCATGCCACTTCTGACATGCAAATCTTTTAAAAGTGATTATAGTCGCTGATCAAATTTATCACAACAGTACTATATTTTTATTTTAATATCAACTATTGCGACAAAAAATTATTAATAATATTTTGTCTTAAATATTTTAAAGCTTAAATTTTATGAATTCAAAATGAATTGCAACCAATGTAATATCGGACTCCTTTATTCAACTTTTGTAAACATGTTTTCGTTGGCAAATAGTTCAAACCCTTGACTCCATCTGTTAACTCATTTCCACTATCAATAAATACCACACCTAACCTTGATTTTTTTCTAACCTTCACCTCTAACATTCCCTCACTCAATCAATAAAGCTAACCTGTCATATGAGTAAAATGCCATATTGTCGAGACTTCAACCACTAGTAATTGGTTCTTGTTGCATTCGCTTTCAAAACAATATTCATTATCAATCATATTATACTTAATATAAGACAAACAGTAGGATGAAAATAGTTCATAATATGACTACCATATTTTACTGATAGATATTTTCGTTAAAGTGATCAATACATATAGAATATGCGACTACACCTATCTGATGCCTTTCTTTTAAGTTCAATTGATCAAAATATACAGAATGTATAAACTGTATTTATCTGCATTCATTACAGTTAGTAGCGAATATAAATTGTTTCAACTTATAAATTTAGGAATTTTGCTACTGTAAAATCGTTTAACTATAATTACTCGTCATCTTCTACTATTTCTATAACAATGCAGCAATAAATATAGTCCTAATTGTAGGCCGGAATAGTTTCATTATTGAGATCTGAAATAAATTTTCTATTGATTTTAGAGAAATTACTCCAGTGCATAGAGTGCTAATTCTGATAACATGCATTCTACTATTTAGACTAGATTGCTGTGCCATTATCATACAGATATCCAAACTTTGCAATTACAGTATAAGAAGATTTTAATGAACTTGTAAAAGATCTAAAGTAGTAAATATTTCTCTGCTCTCTAAATTAATCTATTAATTAATTATTGGTAACTTATTACTAGAATAAGACCTGGTATAGTTTCGTTAATACTGCTACCTCAGAGTAAATACAATCTATCGAATTAAATGGAGAGATAATTGAAGATTTTATATCTTCAACTATAAGATGGTCATATACAAGTGTTCTGATTCTCTCGCTGAAGTTACTGCAAGAGTAATAATCTGATACGAGAAAACAAAGCTACAATGTTAATTTTAATATTCGTTTACTTATAATTTGGTTGCTATTAACGTCTAAACTAATATTAATGCAAACGTTAATCTATTTACAGCCTACATTCCAGGGAAAACTAAATCACTCTTCCAACTTATCAGTATGTATTATAGCAGACATGAATAAATAGATGATGAAGCGTTACATCATTGACAGTAAATAGAATGAATTGGATAAATTAATACAGCTCAAGCCTTATACCACTTGGATATATTGTTGAGGTAGTATTAAATAATAATTGCTTACCAGATCTGCTTCTTGTGCTGAATTTTAAATTCGACTAAATTACGATTATTTATTTGACAGTACTGTATAGAGTCATTAATAATTAATTGTGGTGTACCGCTGACATGAAATCAGATGCAATGGTCATAGTAAAGTTCATAGTGCAGAAAGATAGCTGAAATCGAAGATAGAATTAGGCTAAGACTATTTTAAAAGGACCAGTAGTGAAAGTCCGGATATTTTAAATAAATTTATAGTCTGCAATCTCGACCTAAAAGGTTCCAGTTGATATATATAATCAAAATAAATTAATCTTAAGTGCTATGCCTAATTGCCTAATTAAAAAGTAATGACTACAACAAACAAATAAGTTCAATTATTCTCCTAACTACTGTAGTCCTAAAGTTTTACAGAGTGTATGTCAGAGCATACGCCTAAAACACTATTCTTAATGGCGTGTACGAACTGATCAAGATAGATTGACTCCGGATGTACACTGAAATTTGATGATAAAATTCAATTGATAATCGATAGTTTCCAATTTTAATCAGTGTATGAAACTTCCTATCTAGCCTGTTTATTCTAGTTACTCAGATAGGATAAGAAAGCATAAAATCGGAGCGGGCAATGAAACGGTTAAAAAATTAATCAGAGCCAATTTTAAAACATAGACATTCTATCTTAATTTTATATTAATTGATAATTGATCATGATTAGTTGACGCTAAGTATCTAACATCTAATAACAAAGCAATGATAATAAGATACGATTGTGAGCGATTGTCTCTAATCTAACCTGCTTGACTTGGCTAGATAAGATATATAATATCAAAATCGATTTTAGAACGGAATAAGTTTATTCTATATTGACTATTTATTATACATGCTTAAGCTGTAGAATTATAGTTAAATTTACTATCTACCACGCTCAAACTCTCAATTGTAGCCGAGTAAAACTGATCAAAACAAATTGACCTCGGATGCAAACACCTACTCAGGGTGACAACAACATCAAATGACTTATCTATTACAACAAATATAACTGATCGAAAAGAATTGACCCCGGATGCCAACACCTAATTACAACGTGATGATAACATGTGGTTAAAATTCATTACTTTTATTACCAATCAACGCCGATTATTGTTTTCTTATCTAGTCAGCCTATCTAGTTTTGTTAGATAAGATTCATAATATGAATTTATTGGTAAGTTAAGATATAATTCAGCCAAGATATAAACCAATTCTAAGCGAATTTTCTATACCGTACTCCATACCCAACTACTCTAACTAGGCCGCTATCCAGACGGAAATAGCAGTAAGCTAAGTGGGAGGAACGCTCTATGGAGAATAAATATGTAAACATGAATGGATTGATTGCTATGAAAGCCGATGATAGAATTCGAATTGGATATGTGATGACGCATAAAAAATATAATTAAGAATCCAATTATATCAATAACACCAGATGGTTATCGATATTGGTGGATTTTTATATCTACGGCAGACGAAACGTAATCAATTGCTATCCCTCTATATTTCTGGTAACATATCTTAATCAACATGTGGGCACAAAATAAACAAATTTTTTTCCTTGCATCATAGTGAAAATCATACCACTTAATTTGATATTAAGACGGGGCATTGTCCCTTCTTGAATAATGAATTCTTAGTCGTAGACATTGTTTTGACCAGTCATGATGATGAAATTTTGAAATAGAAATAAAACGACTAAGGATATCGATATTGTTGGTTATTAATCACTTGATCATTTTATTTAGGTAATATGAGCAGCTTGTCTTGCATGAATCTGAATTGCTTCCGTCTTTTAAGTCGTACCGTAATGCGTTATAAAATTTAGCTGATGATATTTATTTCAACAATCACTAGAATACTTGTGGTATTTCATCAATCAATTAATCAATGTTATTCAAGAAAATATCCTCTTATTCTATCTGACTGTAATTAATCTTCATTTTACAAACATTTAGTTCAAATCTATCAGAAGCTATAACAAATGATCTCATGTTACCTTACCATATTAAATCTTGATATTAAGATCATAATTCACTGATAGTCTCCCTAGAAAATTATCAAACATAGATGATACAATATCTTTCCTAGTTGTAATTTTTGATAGGTATTAAAATTCAATTGATTGATTACTTATATATTTACGATTCTAGAAATCTTGATTTCATGGATATGAGGCCTTGAACAACGATAAAATTCATTTTAATCAAGATCGAAGCTCTCTAATAGATAAACAATTTTTCCATTTGATCAAGGAAATAATCGTTTTGTCTGTCAAGAAATTTAACTTAGTACCAGTAACTGTCAATTCTTTGACGATTTAACGATAGTTTTATAGTGATTATATTGACAAAATACCATCAATCCTGCAGATAAATTGAATCATCATGATGGTTACTTTCTTTCAAGCTATCTATAACTGCCTTCAACATTTTGAAATACCAGCTTACTTCTAATTTTTGTTCGCTAACAAAATTCCTTGGTTGAAAAATATTGTACTTCAACCTTTCATCAATTCCTTATCCTGATATATCATTTTCGATCTAAGTTGGCAAATCTTATCTTTATAATAGCTATTGCTTTGCAATAGTCAAGATTATACAGTCATAATCGAAGGATTTTAATATAAGCCTTTCTTCCACATACTGCCATTCTCATCTTTAACTTTAAAGCGGTAAATTTAGCCTCAGTTTTTATTCCTGTTACTTTGCAGCATATGAAAGAGCGTTACGAAGACACCGTTTTAAACCATTTTATCTAGCATTGATCCACCCTCCAGTAATCCATCCATCCCCTTCATCGACTAAAAATCTGGGTTTAAAACTTGATATCATCATTTTTAATCTTAATTGACAAAGCTTATCATTTTATTCAACCGCCAAAGCCTATCAAGTCTCAAAACTGACTGTATCCAACATTTGGAAGCAACCATCTTAATCGCTCTATTTTCTGTCAATTAGCGATATCCATTTTAACCATCGTTTTTAATCGGAACTAGAAAATTTATTCTCTACTCTACACACTAATACCATTCAGTAAATAATAGTTTGAAAAAGGAAATTATATTCTCTATTGATCCTCTGTAGCATTAATCAAGATCAGCCTTAAATCTTCTGTCATCGTCTATCAATTGAAAATCTTCATCATACCTTGATATCGTCGTTATTCTTAACCTTCCTTGGCAACATTTATCCTCTATTCTAGTCGCTTTTAATCAAGAAATTAAGATTCGACTTTATCAATCCTGCCAGCTCCGTAATACCTTTAATTCTCTTTCGTCGATTGAAGATATCGATTTTATTTCATTTCCAATTAGAACCCACAAGCGCTTCACTTATTTCAACCCCCGTAGCTATAGCATAAAATACCGGTATAAAATAAATAGAACTGAGAAGAAAATATAAATATTAATAAAGAAAAACGAAATTAGACAGAAGAGTATGGATAGAAATTTCCAGCAAAGGCCACGAAAGCCAAGTGTTGATTTTAGTACAATAACTACTATTACGACAAGCACGAAAGATCAATCACAAGATAGTGATTTTTTCTCACAGCGACAGAGCTCACTCAATATTTCATATCAGCATGAAGAAGATTTTGCTAAAAGGACATCATGCCATGGTATTAGTCACGTCTTTGATGATGAGACCCCAAAACTACGTCGTTTAAGTTGGGTATTTCTTACTCTTGCTATGGCTACAATTTGCATTATTCAATGCGCCGATCGAATGATCTATTTAATCAGTAATCCAACTAAAATTGTCATTAAAAATGAGATACCACCGCGGATACGATTTCCTACCGTTACTATTTGTAACTTTAATCGATTTCGTAATTCTACTATTAATGAAAGCAATCATTATCGTCTACAATATTTGTTGCGCTTAATGAATGCACCACAAGCACCATCTAAAAGGAGTGAATTTAGTTTCAGAAACGACCTCGTCAATTATTCTCGCAATACTAACGATGATTTAGATTTATTATCAAAGGTTGGCATACAGCGCCAAATTTTGATTCGATATTGTAACTGGGATAATCAACCTCATTCATGTTCTGCTGAAAACTTTACTCTAACTTATACAAAATATGGCAACTGCTTCCTTTTTAATGGACGTAAGTAATCTATCACTGCACCTTTCTTTATTAATCAGAAAAATATACTTTGATTTCGTAAAATTGTTAGCAGATTAGTTTGTAACTTAATTAATCCGTCAATCTACGGTATTTCTACGTTTTGGATCATATCTACTATGATACTAGAAAGTCTTAATTTCATTGTACTGTATAGCTAGGCCAAAAATTCAAGCATATCGAGGTGTTAAATTCCCCTTATTTACGAAGTTAACAATATCTTACCCATTGCTTAATCAGTAACCAATAAATTACTAGATAACTGACCGATATTAATCATTTAGAATCGGCTGATAATGAAGCATTATATCAGAAACGAATTGGCAGATCTCATGGTCTACGTCTGGCTTTCAATGTTGAGGCCGATCAATATACAACAATGAATCCAGAGCCAGATGTTGGGATAAAGTTTCGTATTCACGAGCCTGATGAGCCAGCCGATATTGAGGCTCAAGGAGTTGCAATACCACCAGGGTATCATGCTTATGTTCGTTTAAAATATAATGAGGTAGGAGAATATGCTAGAATATCATATCTAAACTCGGGTATTGAGATCAAATACATAATTGCGATATTTTTCGTGCTCCAATTGCCTTGTAACCCTCCTAGCATATATTAGCTTTCATAGTGTACTCAATTGCGTAATTTTAACAGCACCTAGCCATACAATATTTGATATCAAATGAACTGAAACTAATTTTATATTAGTTGTAACCTGTGCACATTTAACCTATAGGCTGCTATAATATCCTGATAACTAATTACATGATCTGTATTTACAGTAGTTTAAAATTGAGCAATGTACCATGCTAGAACTCCTCTTTTAATATTAATAAGATTATCGCAATAATAGTAGCCAATGATGTGGCTCCATTAGTATTAAATTAACATTTCTACCGCACTTTGTTCTG